ATGAGCAAAACCTGACGACACTGTAGGTTAGGTGACTCAGGAGACCGCAAAGCGTATTCAAATCGACGTACTTGTTACTTCTTGACATGGACCAAACACATTTTTCTTTCTGAGAAATACCCAGTATTGAACGGCACGCAAACATACCGAGCCACCGTGAATGAAGGACGTTCTTAGGATACGTGATGCCCATCCTTGTAAACCAACAGGCTATCTGTAAAGATTCTTAGCTTGGGCAATTAAGTCAGCATGATATCCAAAAGTAGTTCCAAAGCGGGTGATCTTCGGATTGTCCCAGAGCACGCTGGCCCTTACAGTGATTAAGACTCTTATTGTGACATGATCGCAAGTCTAGTCGAGTAAAAAAATATCCAGACGTCGATGCTCTCAGCAGTCCTTGACTCGAGGCTGAGTTATCAACACTGCTATCCAAATTGCAAATGTGAAGCGCTCTTCTTTGGTCCGTCGATAGTGTGTCCCCTCTAGAACTACGCTTGGCAAGCACAAGACTCTGCAAGTTCTGCCTCAAAGTAGTTGCGGTGAAGAGCTGTCAATGTTGTACATCTAAAAGACTGAATTTGGGGCAAAAAGAAGGTCAAGTAGAGGCTCCTAAACACCGCATCCAATGCAGCTGAAAGCCAACCCGGATGATGTAGGGCGGTTCAAGAGTCGGCGCCTCCCAATTCATTCTCTACACCAATATTCTCAGCTCTCAGACTTCCACAGTGGATGACGCTCTTCACCCTGACGCCTTTGCTTCTTCACGAGCCTCAACAGTGTAATCGTCAGCATGCCCTTAACTCAACCCAAGAGGGTGCTCATCATAGCCGCAAGACGCCCCGTCCAGCCCGCCTCTAAAGACGAACACCCGAACGCCTCACACGGAGAAAGCGCGCGTCAGCGCATCTTTGGACTCGAAGAATTGACACCTATCATGCACAGCATCATTCCTCTCCTATCCCTGAGCCGCCATAATATCCTTCTCAAAGAAAAAGGGGGAGGACAAGGGAAGATCCCACTAAGCTCAACAAGCTCACCCAGGGATTGCTCAAGCAGCCCACACCCGCCACCAGACTATCATCACGATCCCTCCCTCCCTCCTCCCTCCTCCCCCTTCCCCCCTCCCTTACCCCAGCCTAGCCTCTGCAACCAAACCCCCCTCCCTCCCCCTTTCTCACAATCTCCACCGCCACCTCCTCAGATCATGCAGCCCGATATCTCACCGACATTCGATCAGGTGGTGTCCTATTAGATGAAACCGCCTACAGAGCACACTACCGACGTGCTTTCGCCCAACCCCACCCCCTTCCCCCACCACACGAACACGGCATCATCATCGCGAGACCAATTTGGAATCCATGCCAAAATATCCATGCTGACGATACAGCTGCGAGGCGCGTAGAAGGAGAAAGGATAATGGTTTAGGAGAGCTGGCGGAGGGGCGCAGATAAAGATGGGGCATGGTGGATTTGGAAGGGCTTTGGAGTCAATCTAGCCCCTTTTTCATTCATCTCTACAGCATGCTTTGTCAAGTCCTGTTTGGCCTTGGGCGGTGCGTGGGGATGGAGCGGAGGCGGAGACAGTGGCGTGTGTACACGCGTGCGAGGATCTTGGGGGTGGAGGCGTGGGTGAGCTGGGTTGCTGCTGATGGGGCCGGGGCGGAGAACGCGAGGAGATGTTGTGGGGGAAGGAGGGGAGGGGATGGAGGGGATGGAGGGGTTGTCGGGGTCGCTGACGCCGCGTTATAGCTGGGAGAGGGAGCGGGGAAGTGAATGGTGATGTATTAGCAGATGGCTAGGTGGTTGGGTGGTTGATGGAGTTTCGAGGCGACGGAGGAGGTGAGGGAGGGGAGAAACACGCATCCTTTGATGTGTATGTATCAGATGCTTATGCTAAAAGGGGGCTAACAAGGACCCAGGGGACGTTCGCGGGGTAGGCCATGCCGCTTCCAGAGGCTCATCTTGCAGTATTTCGCCATCGCGCTGCTGGTTGGATACTCTGGACTCTCGCGACACTGGCGGAAATAGCTGCCGTTGAGGGGGGGTGGAAGGTGCGAAATTGGCATGTTTTGATGCTAATAGCTGCAGCAAAGGCTCGTATTGGAGTTGTCATACTTGAAGCATATAATGTGTCTCGCAAGCAATGCTGACACGGCAATGCGACTGGTCATGGGGGCAAGCAGTGCTATATCTGCGCTCAACCTTATACTCGACAGCAAGGAGTCTCCTGAGGACGAATTTCTGAATCAGGAGCAGGCAAACATGCTAAGGAATCTTGTAAATCGTCGATCGGAACAGCTAGTTGACCGCGCTCACAGGTACGTGGGGATTCAGTGGTCTTAGCTTTAAAGAGGCCCCTGGCTTGTAAGACGGCAATATATATGAAAGATTGATGAGCTGGACGAGACAGCTGCCAATAAATCAGATTGCGAGGAAGGACGGAGGTGTGGCAGCGAAAGCGTGAAGGGAGTTAGTAAAGCCCATGGTGAAGTCGGCGAGCCATCAAGAAGTAGGCTTGAAGATCGATGATAGCAGGTTCTAAGAATCTTTCTGCAATGGGATTGTCACCTCTCGTTCGCCAAAAATTGAAGCGAAGAGGCAGGCGCATAGCAGCCGATGTGAAGGTGGATCCCGTACAGGTGAATATTCATTAGCGAAGGTAGAGGCTTGACATGCGATTGTTTAGCTTGAGAGGGTGCCAGCTGCATGCATAGGTATATGGCATGCATTTACTTGGCTGTAGCGTTCTCATTCGGACGGGCATTCGTTCATCACATTTGCCCCTAGAGTTGTAGGTTTGAGCCAAGCTCCGCCTGTCATGTTTTAGTCAACCCTCCCTTGACTTGATCCTGTTGTCAAACGTAGCGTTGTATTATTCTCCGTACCCCCAACGGGTGTCCGTCCAGTAATCCAGACCACCAGCCATCCATTTGCTCCCGCTGAGGCTACGGAGCCATACCCTCTTCCTCCAGGGGGATCCTATGCAGACATTTTGTAACTGTATCGCTAACCAGCCCAGCGATATCTGTGATGGCCGCAATATCGTACCAAGGTTGTGTTTCGATCACAATTTCAAGCTGGCAGCTTCTACTGTGCTGAAACAGCGGCAACTTGACATAGTCTGGAAGCTCAGGCGGCGGATTGATGGAGAATATCTTGGGAGTGCTGGCTGATGGGTATTCGTAGAGGCGTCGCGCCAGGTCAAAGCAGTCAACCGGGTCTGGGACATAGGTGGAGGGGGAGGTCTCGCGTATGAGGCATTCGAAGATGGGGGAGGGGAGGGCAGCGTGGATTATGAGGAAGTTGACGACAACGAGGTTGAATGCGAGGGTTGAGTACCTAGAGATCAGCATTCTTCATCGTCGCGAGTTGTAAGAATTCGAGCAGGCAGTAGACTGGCTCATGGGTAGGCATAGCAGTGTCGCACGATGACGCGACCGCTTAGAATATGTGTTGCAGGTCCCTGCTTGCGCATCAACAGAAAGGGTACAATGTTCGACACTGGCGTCAAATGAAACAGTGAGAACACATGAGGGTCTTGCAGGGGAGGTCATCATCACTGCGGAAGTGAGGTTGGCGCAGAAGTCGGAAGACACCAGCTTCAGTCCTTTGCGACATGATTTCCTGCACGTCATGCCCTGAAGGAAGCCGCGCAATCGCACGAAGCTTGTCTCCCTATAAGAACACGATCGATGATATCAATGGCAAGTATCTTCATCGGTGTTTGCCTAAGATATGGCAAAGAACTAGGTCTGAAAGAAAGGTTATTGAAAATCGAACCTTCAAAGAAGGAATTTCGGATCGGAGCAACGTATACCCGAAAAATTGCTTGGCTTTCTTGGCGGCAAAATTGAAAGGCTCCCCTAATGCAACCTTGACAACATCCCCTTGTTCGACAGGCAATTGTATTTGAAAGCAGGCCATTTTGTAAAATATCAAAAAATCCATCGTCAACAATGACACTATCTAAATTGAGGAATGGGCTTGTTCCATACAATTCCGCGCCTGCCGACATACCTGGACTTTGCTAACATCCATTTTCATTATGTGAAACTCCGAGATGGCTGCCTTATCTTTACCATGAGGTAACCACGTTCACATGTTCCTTTGGTACTCCTCGTGTGACGTCTCTGCCTAAACACTGACCCTCTTCGAATTACTTTTGGAGCAATAGTCCAGTACTGAAATCAATTGATACGTTGAGGAGATTTTTGCATTTTTTCAAGCTGATAACAAGGACCTCCGTACACAATGAAGCCGATTACTCAAACGTCAGATCGTCACTTGAATCTTATCATCCCGGGAAGATCGGTATCGACCTTGAGCATCGGGTATTACATTTTTAATCAATGAAACACGGAGATAGATACGAAATTGCGGGAAGTTCGCTCATAACCCGCTCGAAACACCTTGCGGAAGTATTTGCTCTAGCCATTTGGAGAGTCCGTCTGGTACATAACAGTTCCATACTTCTCAATCGCATCTATGCAAGCTGAATATTCTCTGCTTTTGTGACGAACAGACCAGCTGGGCTATTGACCCAAGTAGTTTTCTTGCAAATCGTCACCCCCTCAAAGCCTCCTTCAAATGCAATATTAAGCGACGAAAAGCCCAATGAAGAGGAGCAAACAAAGCAGCCAATCATGGATGCCAAGAACCGAATGGGAGTCCCCTTATGAGGTGTTCTTATCCTTCGAGGTCCAATGTTTGGATATTGACCAGCCCGTGTTGTTAATTTTAAGATGGGTTATTAGGCGAAAAGAACACAGAAAAAGTCTACTCACTATTTTAATAGCCACAGTCGTGTAGCGTTTCTGCATCTTGCTGCTCCACCGTCCATCGAGAGACTACCTCACCAACATCTTCAATACGCTTGAGCTTCTTCAAAACATAGGTGCAGATCCTAGCTCGGACGTAGCTTTTCTCGTGACCCATGGCAATCAGAAGTCGATCACATCGATTTCATCCACTCTACATTACCCAAAGCCCGAAGAACCTCAATCATCCACGGCCGAACCACTTGGTTGCCCTCCAAGCCGGTCCCTCAGAGATCACACCCGCCCTACCCTCTAGCACATCACTCGCTGACTCGGCCTCCGCAATCACCCCCGCAAAAGAGCTCCCATCCATACCAACAATCACATACCTCACCACCCTCCCCCTCTGCTCCCACAAAAAACTCCAGTACGGCTGCTCCACCCTCCCAAACACCCTCCACCTCCTCCCCCTCCAATTCAGCGTATACCGCGTAAACGTGGCCTCGAACCCTCTATCCCTCAACACATCCAACGCCTCCTCAATCCCCAAGGGCGGAGGCCAGGGCAAGGGCAACAAACCTCCCAACCCCTGAGCCTCAGCCATGGTGGGGTTGAGCGTGTAGTACATCAGCATCGACCAGAAGACTCTGCCCTGGTAAGTGGAGAGATTGATGGATGCGTTGGTATAGTAGGCGGAGGAGACGGCGAAGTGCAGGCGGGCGGAGGTGGGATTGGAAATTTCGGCGTGGATGTGGGCCGGGGTGGCGAGGTGGCCGGATTCGAATTGCGTGAGGTGGGGGTGTTCGAAGGGGATGTCGGTGTAGGTGCGCTCGAGGCCGGAGGTTATGGTGCTGAGCCAGTGGGACATCTCGTTTTGCGCTGTGGCGTTGAGGCTTTCATCGCGAGTGCCAGGTGATGTAGGGATGGCGTGAGGCACGATTACGGTGATGAGGAATAGGTGAAGCATCCCTAGCAATTGAGTGACGACGAATGCTCATGAGTCACATGGGGAACTGTGCTGAGCTTTGCTGCTGATCATTGGAATGCTAGGCTAGCAAGCGAACGACCTTTACACCATCACGCGCGTCAGACACGTCCCGATTCGCGCCGTGGAACATCGAGTGCGTGCAATAAAGTCATAAGCGCGTGTTTCAACACGCCCTACAGGTTGCGAGACATCGTCTCAGAGGGGGTTGTGAAATGCTCATCGAGGTTCAAAGACGAGAGTTGCTCTAATGTTTACCCTTTGCCATCCCAAGTGGCTCGTCACGAAAGAAGCATGCGTTTCATCAGTGTCGTTTAGCTTTTAGCTTGAGGCTTCAGCTTTGTTTACCAGAGGCACGACCATGTCCACAAGAGTATGATGGTTGAAGATGATTAAATTGGCACAAACAGAAAGACCTGCTCAATACTTGGCAAGTTAGAGTAGGGGATACGGAAAAGTGGATGGCAGGAGTCAGCGTGGGATCCGAAAAGCGAAGCAGTCAGATATAGCACAGGGCAGCACGACACTGGCAGCCAGATGGAATGCGATCTCAGAGCTCATGGACCAGGGACGTGCTCGTGCTAATGTCACATGGTTTATTGAAATGCTGAAGATCCTCTGCACGTCCACGTTTCGTTGAGATTCCCCTGAGCTCTAGTGGGCACCAGAAGAAGTCTTGGTCGGATTAGCTGGTAAGAAGAACCAGCGCAGAATTTTCATCAGAATCGATGGCCTTCTCTTCTCCTCATTCATTATCTCCACAATAAAACGATGCGACCGCAAATACGGGAAGAAAAGCGCAGAGTTCAATGCCCATGGCATCAGCTTGGGGATGATGAACAGGGTTGAATGCTCTACAGCCTCCATTCCTCGATTAAGACTTTCAGATTATAGCGATTGCTCAAGACGCAATACTGCAAACCTCTCTTTTTCAAGAAGACACCCGTGTCCATTCACACTGCAAGCTCACTGCTGCTTAATGCCCGGCCCTGCGAACATGGACATAGCCGTATTACCTGCAAAGCCCATCATATCTAGAATACGTAAGTCAGTCAGTCAGTCAATCTGCTTGATACCAAGCGTCCCCATCCCTTCTCGAAAGACTCACGATCAGTGAACGTAGGCGCTGGACCGCCAGCACTTCCTTGATAGCCCCCTGCTTGCTGCGCTCCTCCACCCCCGTTCGTATTTCCGTACGCATCACCTGCATCGGTCAGTAATTGATTCAGTCCATCATCTTGATTCTCCGAACTCACCCTGCGCTCCCCCACCATACCCACTCGCCGCATACGGATCCTGCTGAGCGGCCGGATAGCCCTGGCTCGCGTACGGATCTGTCTGCTGCTGCTGCTGTTGTTGCCCTTGCTGTTGACCATACCCACCCTGAGCAGGACTCGGATTCCCTACCCCACCCGCTCCACCCCCAACCCCAACACCTTGCTGCCCCTGCCCCTGCTGCTGAGCATCAAACTTCTTCTTCGCCTCCGCATCCTGCTGACTCTTCACCTCCGCGGCCTTCGCATCCGCCGCGGTCTTATCCTCCAGCGCCTTCTTATCCATCTGCGCCTTAATAGCGCTCGCATCCAACTTCGTCTGCGCCTTCTCAAAATGCACATGCATAGCCGCCGGATCCGTCCACTGCTTACTCTCGCCCCACCACCACCAGAAATCGCGCTCCCATTTCCCATGCCTCAGATACTTCCCCGTATCAAACACGTACACCTGAAAATTCACATTCTTGCCCGGCGCGACTTCGAGGTTGAGGAGATCCATGGGTAAGATTTGGCCGGTTAGAGATTGGAAATCGTCGTGCTCTTGGTCTGTGCAGATGACGATGTTGTATTGGCTGTAGGTGGCTTCTTTGATCGCGTTCACCGCGTTGTCCAGGAAGTTCTTGCGGATGTTGAATTCGTTGTCTTCGTTCCGCATCGCTTCTTTGTTTATTGCTGCTTGTTCGCGCACGATTTGTGCGATGTGCGCGGCGGCGTCCGCGATGCCGACGACGGTTTGGGTGGCGGCTTGGGCGCCTTGGGTTACTGGGGGGTTGTTAGTGGATGGTAGGGGGGTGGTGGGAATGGGAGTGGTGAGGGGAGACTGACCACCCATTACGACTTGTGCCATCTTGTTTGGTGTGTGCTGGTGTTAAGGGGGGCTGTTTGTGGTGGATGTTGCTCTGATTGAGGAGTTGGTGTGTTGCGGTACCTGAGAAGGTGAGGATCAAAGCTTCTTTTTGAATTGAAATGCTCGCAGGGGCAAAAGCCACAGACGGAGGACATATTCCATGTTCAAGTAAGTCATTGGTTGCAGTGACAAGCGAGCTCTAAATGCATCGCTTATGTGAGAGATATCGCTGACTGAGCCTGGCCGCCACTAAGCGCTAGCCAACTCGCTGAACTTACTCATGTTCTAGATCCACTATACTCTTCTCCGCGAAGTATCATAGCAGGCTCGATATTAGTATACAATAAGAAGAGAAACCGTGATTACCATTCGTCCGCTGATCATGAGGTACCTTGAAGTCGTGATAATACATGCTAAAGCCAGATGCATAGGCCATCAATTCGCCAGGTAGGCGTAAGAAGAGGCTGAAAATTCCACAGAAACCAGGTCCATTACTACATTCTTCGAAATCTGCCTTGTTCAAAGGAGGCTTCCTTTTCCCAAGCTTCTTGTCATAATTTACCCGTCGACAACATGGTATCTCGAAGTGTTCACGTTACTTGCTAAGAGCAGATTCAGGGGCGCATAAGTCGTGTAGCAGGCGTAAGAACAGACTCCAGTCTTGAGTGCAGTCAGAATCATTAATGCTCTACCTTGGAAATGTCTTCTCCGAGGGACTTTCACTCTTTTGCAGCCTCTTAGGGTATCGAAAAGCTAGAATTGTCGGTGATATCTTGTAGCCCTTTGGGGTAAGTCAGTCCAAGGCGTTGAGCTTCTTCTGAGGAATTGCCACCATTACCACTACCAGTCGTCCGACGTTGACTCTGGCGTGCCGCTATACTATCGCCTTGTGGTTGACTTACAGACTGATCATGACTTGCCGGGGCATTGGCAGACCCACCACTGGCGTCGTTTCGGCGATTGTCAGGACGCGTAGTGACCTCTGACGGTCGGCGTTTTGACGGATGCTCTTTAGATGAGGTTATCGCAGAGTCACTAGCTAGTGATCGCTGGCGTTTGGCTGTGCTCCGACGGCCACTATATGGCTCACCGCTAGCATCATCGCTGCATGTTGAGCCGATTGCATCCTGGTCGGAAGACTTCTGTGCCTCACCCTTAAGTCTCGTTGACTTTCCGGCGTCAAAAGCTCCAGTATCCAATTGCTCAAGGTCCTGGATCGCCCCTCGGACTACAGAGCCCGAGTCGTCTCTACTGGTCGTATTCTGTGCTCTCGGCGTTGTAGCGCCTGAACCGCTATCAGAATCGGTCTCATTTTCGAAGAGACCCAATCTCTGACCCTCTTGCAGACATCGCGTTGCTGTATATCGGTCATTTGGCGCGAGTACAAGCATACCTATAGCCAGAAGTTCAGCCATTGGGCCCCGTCCGGCCTGATGATGGCGGGCAGCAGTATCACTAAGTATGCAGCAGACTTCAAGATCTGAGGGTCTCTGCTTCGGCAACGAAATGGGATACGTGTAGGTCAGAATTATGACCCCTAACGACCATATATCAACAGCAGGCGTGTAGTTGCGCTCAGACATGACTTCTGGGGCCCAGTATCCACGCGTACCGCATTGCGTCTTCATCTCCTCTTGGTCCTTGGCCAGTCCAAAATCACCCAATTTGATGTGCAACGGATACCGGGATGCGACGAGTATATTCTCCGATTTTATGTCCCGATGTGTGACCTTGCGTGAATGCAGATACTCGAGAGCTTGTAGCGTCTGCAAGAGTATTTGTCTGCACTCACCTTGGCTTAGAGGACTCTGTTGATTGATCTGCATTACGTTACCCATGGGTAGATACTCCATTATCAAGAACGGTTCAGCGCCTTCTCTGAACTCGATGACGCGCACGATATTCGCCTATCAATCGTCAGTATCATTCTGTTCACTGTAGTCGTTAGACATACGTGTGGATTGTTGTCCATGATATCAAACTCCTTCCGATATCTCCTGAGCCAATCGATACCTTCGCCACGTCTCTTCTTGAATGTTTTCCGAGCGTACGTCGCCCTTGTACGTTCATCGACTACCTTGTCGACGCTGCCGAATGCGCCACTCCCCAGTTCTAGCCTTGTAACGAAGAACGGTCGTTGCCTAGGACTACTTGGCTGGCTGACCATTGCGGTACTCGCGTCGCTGTGGATTCCAAGCAGATCGACTGGAAGGTCAGAAGTCTCGGTATTTTGCACAAATTCTTCCACACTGGCGTCGTATTGTTCTCTGCATTCATGGTGATCTGGTAAGTGAATCTCGAACGAAAGCCCCACGAGATGGACTTTGACAATCATCTTTTGCTCGCCTTCGTCTACAAGATCTAAGAACCAGGTATACTGGCAGCGCTTTTCGTCCCCTCCCTGGTCATCGTAGCTGACTGACATGCCATTTCTCGACACATCTCGAACCATTAGGTGATGCTTCTTATCGGCTGCGATACCAAATGTCAAATAGAAATGAACACCACTCATACCGGAGGGGTGATGATTTCCGAGGAATACGTCGCATAATCGGCGATTGGAACCGAAGGCGAACCCTTTAGAAGGGTCTTTTGGACGTTTGTCGAACCTTAGTACTATGCGAGGAGCAGAGTCGTTGTCCCACTCGCTCTCGCTCGGTGTAGTCTCACGGCTGCTTTGAGTAGATAGATTCCTAATTGAACCAGGTAAGTAGCGATCGCTATTATAATCATGGCGAAAGGCGTCGAGAGCTAAGGCTCGAGTGTCACAAGGAAACAAAGTTGCAATGATAGCAGGATCTGACATTATGATCTATGTGACAGTGTGGCAGGGTTCAAAGTATGTGAGTAGAGTATGAGTCACGTTTAAAGAAGTGGATGTGAAATTGCAGTCAGATGTTTTGTTCAGGAAGATATCGTAAGGATGGAAAAGCTCTTCAGAAGTTGACGAGTGGTATATGATCTCATCTGCTCTTATGTGTTAGGCTAGCGAAAGAAGACGCGCCCTTACACACGTCTATTTGTACACGCGCAAACAACTCCAAGGACTTCTCCAATCGTTATATGTAGTAATGCTGACACATTTTGTTGTAGTCGTACTACACACTTGTCGCGCCAAAGTCTAGTGCTTCAGCTTGGGGCATGTTTAGGGATGGACACCTGGGAGCGCGCCTTATGAGCTAGTTTCTATCCCGCGTATTGACCCGTAACTCCCAGCATATCGTGTTAATGCGGCCAATTTGTATGTGAGGCTTCCCCAAAACGGCCTAGATCGTGGAATAATTGCGGGGTGAAAGCGCGGGGTCACCTGACCTCGGTGATACCTTTATCCGAGCCCGCCATATTTCCATCTTGCGCAATCATTCTCTTTACATCTTCACTACTACCTCTCGAGGAAATCTCGCACACCATGTACACCTTCGAAAAGCTTCTTCAGCTACGCGTGGAGGACCTTCCTGCGCGAAAGTAAGACAGCCATACCCTGAAGCGGCAGCGTTTGACTACTTCGCTAATGTTTAATGTTGCTCTCCAGAGACATCAATGTGTTCGAGATTGAAGGGATGGAAGACTTGACGTCAGATCAACAAGAGCAATGCATGGTAAAGATCAGGTATATGAAGCACCCTCCATCACCTCTGCAATATCACTGCTCTGACAGCACCAGAGACCTGGGTGACCAGCTCTATGACAAAGAACACCCGCAAGGCCAATACGTTGAGCCTTTCGATGCAGACGAATTAAGGGATCGACTCAGGTAAGTCTTTGAATCCCACACACACCCGAAACTTCACCCTACCTGTACTGATTCATGTGGAATTCCAGATCGATAACCCCCATCGTTTCTTCGTGTGACCTTGCCGCAGAAAGACTGCAGGATGAAAAATTCGCTTACAAAGAACTCCTTCTTGATAACGGCCGGCCTCTTCACGACTTGGAGCACGGGCCTGATCCCACCAATGTTGATGGACAATATGAGGATATTCTAAAATACCTGCAAAAAGAAACGAAAGGCTTCGGCGAAGGGATCTTCCAAGTACAATGGAGACGCTGGAAGACATTTCGCCGAGCGCAGCAACGATTACGACGGCAAGTCGCTCATGATGGTGGATTCCACGATGTCCAGGAACGGATGCTCGAACGTCGACAACAGCATAAACTTGATGCTGAAGTGACGCTGTCATTGAAAGAGCCGGACCAACAAAGCCAGCTCACTGAGTGGCTAGAGTACCAAGACTTCGAGCTTCGAGCACATGAGCGGCTAGAAAGGGGGCTTGCCGAAACGGGGGAGAGATTGCTATCCAACCGTGAAATAGCCCAGGGCGCCGGAGTCCTAGTCGTCAGACCCGGCCGGGTCGGAGCCGACTATCATTGCTATGAGAGCATAGATGAAGTGAAGCGAAAGGAAGACGAGGAGAGCAGGAAAGAGGTTCTAGCTGAGCCGAAATTGCAATTGGCAGAGAAAAGATTGCAAATCGCCGAATCGAAGATTAGGCATCGCACGATCGACCAAACCACATGGATAAAACTCTCCGAAGAAGGAATCGCACCCGCGCGTGTCTTGTGGGCAGATGCCGTTCGGAAAGCTCAGATACTTGACCGTGAATGGCGATCGCTGGATACTTGGACTACATCGAGATTGATGGAGCTAGAAGCATCCTCGCGATCCTCAGAGGAAGCTCATCGAAAGATGCAGCTTGAGATGGCCTCTGCAGAGTTCCAAGAGCGGGACAAGCAGCGTAAACTGCTCTCAGCAAAAAGTTGGGAAGCCATCAAGAGCAAAGGAGGTGCTTGGAGAAAAGTAATGTTTTTAGAGCGAGTCTACCAAGCCGCGCAGGAAGACAATTTTGGAGAGGTTATAAAGCGCGATACCCTGGTCAAGAAGCTTCGGCAAGAAGTTCGAGCCGCAAATGATGAGCTCGAGGAAGCAAGGGCCTCGTTGAAAGACATTCGCCTCTTGAAGAGCATCATCAAAGGGCAAAACCAGATATCCAAAGACATAGAAAAGAGGAGACAGCATGACACTCTGTTGCAATGGGTCGAGAGACAACGGGAAAAGATTGCCCAAACTGTCATCGCGACTGAAGTGTATCGCAACTGGCGTGCGTCGAGGAAAAATCAAAAAATTCAGAAGCAACCTGAGAGAAAGAGGAGTGGAAAACAAGGACAGAGTAGCACCCGATCGTTTCTGAGCACCGTGGATCCTGGAAGGATATCGAAACAGCCCCAAAAGAGGTACAATTTGCGTCCGAGGCCCAGCGTACAAACCAACGCGACACCGCCCAGTGACGCCATGGACATCGATATCGATGAAGTCAAAACAAGAGATGAGCAAATACCAATAGCTAACGAAGGCCGGACGAGAGACAAGCAGGTCGGGACGACAGATGAGCAAGTATCAAAGGCCAAGGAAGTCAAAGCGAGAAAAAAGCTAGTGCCAAAGGCCAAAGAAGCGATGCCTGCTCCTCTTCGTCCTATTCATTCATCAAGGATATCTAAATCAAGCGAGAAGCAATCAGATATGCCGGGCAGAGCTGGCGCAAGCTCAACAGCCCCAAACAAAAAGCGCAAGCGACCAACAGATGAGGATGAACGCTCAACAGCCCCAAATAAAAAGCCCAGGCGACCAACAGATGAGAACGAACGCTCAATAGCCCCACATAAAAAGCCCAGGCGACCAGGAGATGAGGACGAACGCTCAACAATCCCAAATACAAACCCCACGCGACCAGGAGATGAGAACGAACGCTCAACAGCCCCAAATACAAACCCCACGCGACCAAGAAATGAGGAGGAACTCGGACGGGCGATACCAAAAGTGCCTAACAGGAGAGCGAAATCGCAGTCAGATGGCGCGCCGCTGCGCCGCAGTGCACGACTATGCAAGCCGGGTTGAACACCTGTCAAAGCGACTGGTCTTTCAAATTATAAAGGAGATGTTTGGTGCTATGCTACCATCTCAAATCCAGAGTTCCGGCAAAGTTCTCAATCCATGCACGGTGGGTCAACCTCAGCAGGGCGCAGCTACGCTACCTCAAGACCTCTGCACAGCTTCAGCGCTGAGTTGCAGCACCTTTACCGTCCCATTTTCCGGAACCTCCACGACGGTCCCACCGCCCTCGACTCCTTCGAAGGGAGCAACGACCCTTATAAGCGTGACATACAACCACCCCTGGGGTCCAGGAAACTCTCTACCCGCTAGACCAGAAGCTCTCTGGCACCTATCCAGTACGATCAACCCTCCAACGACAATATCCAATGGCCGTATGTCTTCTTCCGCTAATGGATTCTCTTCCGTACTATTCAACAATATGCCACAAGTATTGAGAACGTGTCTATCCTCGATCTGCCATATCACGGGGAGCCGGTGGGAAGTCGCCTCTGACGGCACGTGTAGTCCGTAATGGGTTGGTTCATTACCACCAGGAACCATGGCTACTGTCGCCACGGCGTTCATAAGATCTTGACAGTGCTGGTCGACCGGCAATTGACGTTGGCTGGGGAAGCATTCGAATGCGAGGACCACGGATGTCAACAGGAGGACGAAGAGAAGATGCATATCCGCTAAGGAGTTGTCAGTGTTAAGAATACTAATGCTGCCGGCGGTGCTGCCTTTGAGGCTTACAGGATAAAAGTCAGAGCCCCTGGGCAATTGATGGAAGCGAAGACGCCTCGGCGTCTCCTCCAGACACACAGTGCCGAGTCATGGAAATCGCTCCCGACCCCCACATCCTCAGAAGCTGTTCAGAGGAGACGTTTCAGCAGTGTCCGAAACAAACCTCGCAAATGCATGAGCAAGACGGGGTTCGCAAATCACAGTTGCTGCAGAGGCGAGGCGCTAAAAGCGCACAACCGCCCTTATACCGGACTCGACATATGCATGTTCGGCGGGAAATGGTATTTTAAGAAAGAAATAGGCACCACTTGCAGTTGATTTCAGTTCAAAAGAATCCTGCAAGTGGGTCGAGGATTTACTGATCAGAAAGAAAATAGGCACCAATTACAGATGATTTCTGTTGAGACAGAATCCTGTGAGAGGGTCGACGTTATCGGGTTCTCCTAGAGACGGCATGTTAAGGCCGCTCGATTTTCTGCGTGTCTACACGTAGTAGCAGCGACGCAGCTTTCGCTTGCTGGAAAGCAACCAAAGTGTTTGTATGTCAATAGGTCCAATCATCAATGTTATACCGATTATGCTGGACTATGTGCAGTATCGAATGCACCAAATCCTATCTCGCCTTCCTCCCTCCCTCTCATCGTCACGTTCTCCTCATCTCCATCCACAAACCTCACAGACTGGTTATGCAGCCGGCCTCGACTCCGCTCTGTCGAATCTTCAAGCTCATTGGAAGTATGCACAGCGGCACCTTCCGCGTAATTGATGGCGTGCATCTGTATCACCGTCGTCTTTAATTCACTTCTTTCCTCTACACGCACCTTCTCCCCACCACCGTCTTCTTCCGCCTCCTTCTTTCCATGCCCTACCCCGCTCCTTCCTCGTCCCTAGCCACTTTGTCTCACCTATCCCACCCCTCGCTACCAATTCCCGCTGCCGCCCCCAACCTTACTTTCACTATACAAAATCCCGAAGCCCCGCTTCTCCCCTCCTTTCCGCTCCGCTCCGCTCCCCTTCCCTCCCCTCCCTTTTCTCCCTTCCCTTTCACACGCTCCACTCACACCCAACCTTCCCTCCACTCCTCCCCTTCCCTTCCCTTCCCTTCCTTCCTTCCCATCCCTTCCCATCCCTTCCCTTCCCTTCCCTTCCCTTCCCCTTCCCTTCCCTTCCCTTCATCACACAGCTCTCTCTGTAACGACAGTGGAATGGGTTATTGATTTACTAGGTTTGCTAGAGAGAAAAAGTGCCGGGCGCTGGGCAGCCAATGTTGAGAACTTGGTTAGATGCCTTATTCTCTCCTCCTAAATGACACACTTTACTCCTTGCAGAGGGTCTACATTACGATTCGTGTCCCCGAGTATTGTGGTGTTGTGGCGTTGTGGCGTTGTGGTGTTGTATGAAGTGGAAGTATTCTGGACTTAGCCACGGCCTGGTGGCATTGAGGGGGATTTGTGTTTGCTGGAGAAAGGGGTGGGAAGGTCAATGGTTGTGTAGTTGGTGTTTTGTTTTGTCCGGTGCCTGGAGTTGCGTTCGGGTGTGGGGGGTAAGGTAGGTGTGGTCAAGGTCGGGGTTGATGTGGATTAAGATGGGGATGAGGATGGGGATGGGGATAATAGGATTAATGGGGTTGACGGGGTTTCGGCGGATGGAGTTGACGGGTTTGATGGGGTGGATGGGAATGGGAATGAGAATGAGGATGGGCATGAGGATGGGATGATGTCTGCACGCGTCATGGTCTCGAGGTACTCGCTCATGCGTTCGTGCAGATCCTTTACCAGCATGAAGGTGTCAGCGGAGAAGCTCTTCGTGCGTGTCCGTTGGGCAAATATTTGCATCTTATCAGAAGTTAATAAGGCAATGCGAAGAGAGATACGCGGCAGGATTCCTAGTCTCTGGCGGGGGAGAAGGTAGGGGGGAGAGTGACAGCCTGAAAGCATACTAGTACACTTCTCAACTTCTTCTCGTCTTACAAAAGTCTGTGAAGCTTGAATGAAGGTATGTCTATTTCATTATGAACTCTGTTGGATATGTAGTAAGATTATTAATTTTTGAAGCCAATATTTGCATGCTCATTTCGTTGTTTGAATGAATGTTGTTTCCTCCACCTCCACATTTCCCATCTTGTTAGGCCGTCGATCTTCCTTCCCTAGCTGGTGTGCTAGAAACTTGGTCGTTAGTCCAGCACTCAAGTGGTCAGTGACCCTAAATCCTCGAACCTGAGTGGTATGAAACTCATTTCTTTTCTTTCTTCAAGCTCTCGTTCTTCTTAATGACCAAGTCCGCGAGCTCGTCTTTAGCTTTCTCAAGCATTGCCTGATTCTCCCTCATACTTTCGCTATCTGTATCTCCACTGTCCAACAAGCGTTCGATATTTACTTCATAAGGTATCATTTCCTTCTCCTTAGCATCAATATCTGGGTCGAAATACTTCGTTCCTCTAAAGTCGTGCCTGGGACTCGGCATTCTGGATGTTTGGAAGTCTTGATCGGTAGGCGTGGTTGCTAATTGTTGATAATTTTCGAGGTTCGGAGTGTACTGAAGAAAGATAAAGCAAGAGTCCAGAGCCAGGTATATATACAGATCGATCAGAGCGTGTTTCGATGGCCATAGCACAGCCTAGAGGCAAATGCTCCAGCTCGAGAAGACACAACTGAAAGAACTGGCTAACAAGTCTTCAGGAGCAGACCCGTAAGAAGGACTCCTGCAACATCATTCTGGCCGGCCAAAACGTCAAGGCCTGGAGGATGAGCTTCAACCGACATTCTGGATACAATTGGGAGAAGAATACGAAGTCCACGTGCGTAGAGTGTGAGGATCCATCGAATATACCAAAGGAAACCTCACAGAGCTGCTGCTCCAAGACCCATACTCTTCGTACGAAACCTCAACGACTTCTAGGCTCCACAACTGTCGCCGCTGCGCTGGAAGCTGGAGATACGACAGCCCACGAAACATAATTTCATTCAATACATGGAGAAAATTACGTACGAAGAGATGGTCTTGCCTACCCAACCAAATTGCATTCAATACAGGGAGAAGAGTATGTCTGAAGAGTGCACCTTGCATTTCATTGGTATGACTAGGAGATACGTGGTAGGATTATTAATGCCTGAAATCAATATTGCATACAGGGTCTCCTATCATCTTCACTTCAACCCTAATGAGAATAGACCTTGCCATCAACTGCCACTCAAGTCGTGTAGTCTTTCCATTTCAGATTACGAGCTCAATCTGAATCAGCCTCTGCGTCGGCATCGGTGGTGAAAATTCCTTCACTTGCTTCGTCTTCACTGAAATCGTTTCCAGTCCACCTCTTATAACTCCCACGAGGCTCATCAGGACAATGATCCTCGTACGCAAGCTTTTCTTCGAGCTTTTTGGCTTCCTTCTCTTCTTCCAGTGCGTCGAGCCTGGCATCGAGCTCTTCCTCCTGCTTCTCGAACACGTTGTCGTATCGATTCTTTAACTTCTCGGTCTCAGGATGTGTTTTCTGAATTGTCCTTCCCACTGTCGTCGCGTCGGGTCTCAACGTTTGGTTGCTATCGATTTTAGGCCCCATTTTACGCAGCAATTTCTTTGTTTCGCGTATTGCTTCGACCGTCTTGTCTATCTCCTCACCGTAGAGATCCTCAAAATAGTTCCGGTTCCGCCAATGTAGAAGCGCACATTGGTCCGGGCCAATTTGATTAGGGTTCGGTTTACCTGGCTCAAGGGGACAGGTTTCTCTCCTAGGGGTCTCAAGAAGATCCTTCTTCTTAGTGTCAGAGGTAGACATCGTTTGTAGTTCCTTGTTTGCGGATGAGGATGGTTGCTGACGAATAACTGAAATTTCACTTGTTTCTTGAGTTCGTTGCAAGTCGAGGGCGTGTTGAAGAAATCAAAAGCATGAGTGCAAAGCCAGACATATATACACATTGATCAGAACCCAGTGCTCCAGCTTCAAAAGCTGCAATGCAAAGACTGGCCCAGAAGATTGAATGAGGAGGCCTGTGAGGACGGCACTCCTCAAGATTTCCTCTGCATATGAAACTGGTATGCAGGACGAAAATTGAGAAACATCCAATGCAACTGGAAAGATATCAAGAATTCAGCTGCATGGTAACACGAGTGGGTGAGAGATAAGATGCAGTTGACCACTAAAGAACAAATTCCTCCCAAGTAGACATAGATTCGAAACCCCAACTACTTTCAAGCTCCAAGATCGCCGCTGCTACCACCATCAGAAACGAAGCAGCGTATCCTAAGACTTTGACTTCACGACAAACAGGAACAGTAGCCTTGATTGATATGCTATTGATTGTGAAGCAAAGGCATTAATGTCTCGTCATCATTCCATCCTAAATCAATTCCTGCAAGTTCTGCCATCTGCATGAATGAATCTATACTCTCATCCCATCCCCTATCTCTCAAAGACCCGATCCCCTTGCCAAAAAACAAGACTCAAGCAGCTTCAGGAGGAAAAATATGGCTCCGATATTGCCCTCTAGGATAGAACTTCAAGAACAACTTCTCATGTCTACCCGCCTCCAAATCATGTTGATCCTCAAGCTTCTTGCGCTCAGCTCTTAATTCCCTACGCTGCCTCAGGAGCTCTTCATATTGCTTCCGTGCCAGAGAATCTTTCAAGTCTGGATTAGACGTGTTATCCTTGCGAACTGTCGTTTTGAGGTACTTCTTGATGAATTTCTTGTAGTTAGCAATATTAATTTCTTTCTCTTCAATCTTCTCCTCCCATTCTTCTTCCCTCCGAACTCCACGCTCGAAATGGAAGGTAGCACATTGTCTCTCGTCCCCCATGTCGCGCTTCCATTCCGTGGGTTTAGGTTCTTTCTCAGGGGGAGGCCCCATGCTGGAAGTAGACATGGTTTATGGACGTGTGGTTGTTGATAAACGATGCTCTTTAGGTATGCTTAAGATTGTCCGATGTCGAGATTGTTCAGGAAAAAAGGAAGTGGAAGACCGGGACTTGGTATAAGAGGCAATTGAGTAGGTCGTACAGCAACATACCGCTGCACATCCCATGCATAAACGCTACAGCATCCAGGACTACAATCGGAGAGATAGGGTGGGAAACGATGTAAGGAAACTTCTATATAGACGAGCCATGTAGCACATGTCCGAGCGAATCTTAGCTAAACAAGACGTGGTCAGTATCTCACGGCCATTGAAAAAATAATCTAGCTCCTCATGGATGATAAAACGACCGCTAAACCAATGGGATGCATTGGACCCCAGAAGAATAGTTCTATCCAAACCAGTCGTGCATTTGAAATTCCAGCGACCTGCAGGCCCCACAAGTTTCGCCGCTGCTTCGATAACAACTCGTAACGAAAGAGCCACTTAGCTTACTTACCAGGCTGATGCATCCCCTTAATAGCCGTAGTCAGGAGGTAAGGACAGCCACGAGCCTCCTAAGAAATCGATAACTCCAGCGCACTATGCTCTCGCGCATCCTCAGACCAATCATCATCCTCAACCCTCCCACCTCGCTTTGGGATGATGCCTCTCGAAAACCACCCGTTTCTTCCTCCACACCCCATCCCTAGGCGCAGAGCCTGTCTATGACAGCTCTTCTCACACGTCGTACGTTGCTGAATAGAATGAATCATCGTAAACCTTCCATCTTTTTTGCACCTGCGACAGAAAATCAACGCTATGGCAAGCGTTGCGTAACGCGTAGCGAGGTACATCAAATCTCCAGAACATGATCAAGGTATTCTATTGATCACAGAAAGGCTTAGAATCGAGCGTATGCGATCTCCTCGAAAAACGACCTTCGACCGTATCTCTGAACAAAGACCCTAGCACACACAAAGAAAGGAGTAACGATAAGCCAAATGATGAATACGAGCAATCTTAGATGGAAACTCCACAAAAGCCCAAGCACAAGCTCATTGCAGGAGTATGGCGGCAACAACTCACAAGTAAAATTCAAGGCTCGCTACTACTACCAGAAGCAAACATGCAAGTGTTCGTCTCAACTCAGCTCTTGCATCACCAGGCACAGCGATGCGATCTTCCCATTGTACGAGATGGATGTATCACAACTGCAGCCTGCGTGATGCCGGACGAGCAATGACTGGCCGCTCCTCCCCTCCTGCGCGGCGTGAAACGTCTCGTTCCCTCCCAACCCACCTCACCCACCTCAAGGAGAGGCGGACTGCATCCCATCCCATCCCATTTCCTGTTCCTGTTCCTCAACAATAATCCTCCACATTTATCAAAGAAAAAATCCAATTCCTCCTCACCTGTACACGCTTTTTGATTTTTGACAAACATCCCTACCTACTTAGCATGCTCCAGCTACACCCCTGCCTCTGCATCGCCTCCCCCCGCCTCGCCTCCGAGGAAAGCTGCGCCTACGTCGTGTACAGCAACCTCCAATACGTCCAATGGCACTACGACGAGCGCATCGCTCATCTTCACCAAATATTAAAGCAAATGCAAGAAGAGATGGAGAAAGGCTTTGATGAATCATTGGAGGGGGAATGTCAAAGTGATGCGAAGGAGAGGCAGATTCGACTCAATGTCCTGCAGAGCAGCGTCGAGGAGTATAGAGAGAGGATCCCTGAATTGAGGGAAAAATGCACCAGGGTTGTGGCCAGGGCGAGGAGGCGGTTTGAGATACATTGGCCCGAGGGGGGTTGGAGGGGTGGTTGAGGAAGAGGGGGGTTGTGCGTTTGAGAGAGTTGGGAAGGAGGAGGAGGGGGGAGGGAGAGGATAGGGGAGGGGTGGGCAGGAAAGCTAGATACCATTTGCCGGGACTTGATGGTGTTGAGGAGGTGTTTCGTGGTGATGGTGGCGACGGCGAGGGTGCTGATTGTAGTAGTAACGTCAGTGAGTTTGGTGGGGATGGGGACGATGAGCGAAGAAGTGTGGATTCGCAAAGTTCGGCTGTTGAGACGGTGATTTATTCGTGGAGAGCTACAGAGGGATAGGTCTTTGGATGTTGCGGTCGCACTTAATCTTGGTGGCTGCAGGAGGGATTTCTGATGGTTCGACGTGCTGCAACGTATGCAGTAGTAGTTCGTGGTTGGACGTTCAGGAAATCAAAGCCTAGACAAAATTTCTGTATTTTTGTAGAACGTTCTGATAATCCCCTCGGCGCTGTGCATGGTCTTTGATGTACTGTAAGTCGCCGACTAACAGTGTTCTATCGGAACACATCATATAACGATACGTATGCATTGAATTCTGTATTTCAGAAGACCTCTACCAATCAAGGTACTGTGGTAAAATTCTTTTTTCACTTCTGATTAAGGGGTGTTTTTACAAATTCTCAATTCAACGAAACTTCCTACAAGGGCTGTGATCTTTGCAGAGCAGAAGTGCTAGACATCGTGCTCCATCATACTCGTAGCTACACACTCACCTCCCACATGATCCCGTAACACCAGTGACACAATGTGTCACTGTACGACGTGGCGGTGGCGAAAACACCGATCTCGGCGAGTCACCTTCTGTACAACACAGTTGAAACAAACCCCTCCACCTACGTACTCTAAGCTTCTCTTGCTTTTCTTTCTTTCGTCCCAGCTGGAAATACCTTGATCCACCTCAAAAACCCACCAAGGTATCGAGAAGATCAGTCCCTCGTGCCGACTCAGTCAGAAACCCTTCCAAAATCCCTCCTACCCAACGCTGACTATCCCTCAGCAGCCAACTCACATCCCATCATCTCGCCTAAAGCATTCAAAAATGTCAAACATCAACCCCGCCAAGCCCAAATCCCCGAATACCCCTCCCTCAACACCCCAAAAACCCACCCTCAGCCTCCTCCCCTCCCTCAATTCCCTCACCCTCTCAGACGACGACGACGACGCAACTCCCCGCCCGCGCCCTACCCTCAAGCCCCACCAGCCCCACCAGCCCCTCGAACCGCACCTCCCGCCCCACAACCCCGATTCCGCCCCCGCAGCGCCAAATACAGCATTTTCATACCCCCACCACTACCCCACCAGAGCTACCGGGGCTGAGTTTCAGTGAGCCTTACAACCCTCGCCCCCGCCCCTGCCCCCTCCCCATCATCCACCATGAACAAGACAAAAACTGTGAGAAAAAGGGAGAGGGAGAGGGAGAGGGAGAGGGGGGGGGGAGGAGTCGAAGCACGCATCTCACACCTGGAAACAGAATTTGGCAAGATGAAGGTGCAGGTGGCGGGGATGGCGGGGGTGAAGGAGGAGAATGATAGATTGAAGGAGAAGGTGAGGATGCATGAGGAGTATTGGGCGAAATTGAAACGGTGGGTTGATGTTGCGCCGAAGGGGGATGGGGATGGGGGAAAGGGGAAGGGGAGGGGGAGGGGGGAGTTTCGATGTCGATGCGTGGGAGGGTCTGTATCGCGCTGATTGATGGTGTGGAAGGCGATACATGCTTGGGACGAGATAAGGGAGGCGGCGAGCTTGAGGAAGAGGGAGGAGGGCTGGAAATCGTGCTTTTTGGGGAAAGCTGACACGGAGGATGGCTGCTCGGGGTGCTGTCGTGCGAGCCAGCTGAAGTGTTCTGTCTTCGATGACTATCGTTGTGTGAAGACAGTCACGGGGAGTTGGGGGTAGATCATGTTATGTTACAGTACTGGAATGCATTCAAGCCATAACTGTCGCTCGCTAGTCGAGAACGTGAATCTTGGCTTTGTTCGTAATTGGGAAGTTTTTGCTTCTTCGATGCGCTGCGGAATCTAGAAAATTCATCTGATGATTTTTTCTGACAGGCTAAATTCTGGATCAAATTTTTACATTTGGGTGCGTCAGATTTTGAGATTTCTCTCTATCGAAAAGTTGGACAAAGTGGGATTGTAAAGTATGGATGAGTGCTCGAATGTGCTGCAGTCTTTCAATATTTATTTCAAAAATATAACGTCCCTGCGATAGTTGCTCCGCTTTGCTAAGAACTTTTATGGACACTATATCATAGTCCTCGTAAATTTGCAATTACTTCGTCTTCGGCTTTACAGACTTCCTAACCTAACTGCCATCAAGAAAATGACCGTCATCCTCCCACGCCATCCCCCCACCCCCCATCCCGCCTACAAAACCCAGACCTCTCCCCCTACTCCCCTACTCCATCACCACAGTCCTCTCAAACTCCATATCCGTCCGCCTTCCCCCCACCTGCAAACGATCCCTCCACGCCCTCAACGTCAACCTCCCCACTCTCCCCAAACTATGATACTCATGCCTCTCCATATACCAATCGAGCACCATATTCCTCGCCTCCATCGTCCCATTAACCCACCGTTTATCCGTCTCACACTTCTGCATCAGCTGCGCCATCGTGCTCATATTCGCCTCCGCCCACAGCTCGTGATGCGTGTTTCTGCTCTGCTTCACCCGCAGTAGGCGCTTGGACTGCTTGTATCGGCCCATCTGGTCGCGGATGAAGGGTTTGAGGGCGGCGTTCATGTGGTCGATGCCTTGGAGGCCGCAGATGGCGCAGTTTTGCTCCATGGCTAAGGTAGGTGGGTCGTCGCTGTATGGGGGGCAGGAGCAGGGGACTTCGTGGACGGAGTGGAGTTGGACGGCTTGGGGGAAGGGGCGGAAGGCGAATTGTGGCATGCTGAAGACTTGGGACCTTGAGATTGAGATGGCCTTTGAGGATGTGGATTTTTAGATCGAGTTGGGTTCTTGTGAAGATTTGTGTAGATGTATGAGAGATGGAAGGAGCTGGGTGTAGTAGAACACATATATATAGTCAGCAAGGACCCTTCTTGACGTGATAATGGTACCACAAGGAGCTGGTACGACTGTTGGAGTATCAGTATGCAGCTATGCACGAAAGTCTCCGCTCGCCGTTGTACAGAAGGTCGTATTCAGGCAACCTGCATCTGTATGATTACCAGGCCAGCTGAAAATCGTTTCTTACACTTAGTTTGTCAAGTCGAAAGCAGTCTTGCACCACCTCGTGCATGGTACCACCTAATCTGTGAAGAATAAGACCCACAGCACTCTCCAAGGAGACATTTTAGATAGTCGAGAGCGGAGGGCCAGAATTTGCTCTGGTGGAAGGAATGGTTGAATATGAATGTCAATATCAGCTATCTGTAGTCCGTCTTGTCGGATTGAGGATCTGGTGGCTTTGGCGCCGCGAGAATACATAGGCCATTCTCTCGGAGGTAATAAGGATGGCGATGAGAAGGTAGGATTGTAGTGATATGAGGCTCCAATAGGCTGATATATGCAACGAATCTTTCGAACCTGGTCCTGAGTCTGGATACGCGGTTGTAGTATTCCAACCCGCGTTCACAATTCAGTGCTGAGATGTCAAGTCAGATTGAGAAACTGCATAGAAAGAAGTCCTGTGACACCGATGTCAAGGTCGTATAGACAGGTCGTTACTGTATCTCGGACGGAAGTTGTTCTTGCTTCTCTTTTCCATCTCACTCTGCCTCCAAAAACTCGTCGCATGCCCACTTGAAAGGCATTCCCTAAGCACGCTTCATCAGATCTGCCTTCAGGAATACGCATCATCGCCTACTATGCCTGCAATACCCAACGTAAGACTTTCAATCGACCACACCATCCGACACTGCTGCTGTCGCCCCCAACATCTCGGCGAGTTCCGAACGCGAGCGCACGAGCGCAGGTGTGCGTGGGCAATTTTGATCCGCATTCGAGAATTGAACACTGCGCGCGAGCCTAGTTTTGAGGGGCGAATACGTGCGATCGGTCACTGGCAAAGGCTTGTCGGTGTCCTTCAGGGCGGGTATCAAGAGGATCGGTTGTGGCCGCAGGCAAACAAGGTCAAACTGGAGAAAATATTGAAGGATATTGAAGAGTTTCAGCGGAAATTGAGGCAGCTACAACGTAATAGAGATGAGGTATTGAGGTGGCACCTGGAGCTTTTCGAGGAGCATAATTCTCCAGTTGAGGGATGGCAGAGTTTGGGTTGGTGGAAGGGGTATTTCGATATGGATGTTGACCGGAATTGGAGAGTAGAGACACAGTCTGTTGACTCGTTTCTGTCATGATGCGTATCGCTCATTGTCCTCGGATGGATTTGCCGTCCCTTGCTTGTGTGTCTTCACAATTGAGGCAGACGGACAGATTTTTGTCGCTTTCATCTAGACGCCGCAATAGCTTCAATCTGGCGCTCGCACAATCACGGACCCATACCTCAGGGCTTCAAGAGAAGTTAAACAGAATACCTCCGAGCCTTGTTGCTCAATCGGCCGCAGGAAGCTCAATATCCACCACCCACGGCAGCTGCAGCGAACACTCCTCCGTGCTCTGAATTGCCGCATTCACAAACAGCGTCTCCTCTCCGAACCTCAGCGGCGCCTCATCACCAGCACAATGACTCGTACTGATGCACCCTTGTCGTCTCAACCCCAGATCCCTCTCATCCTTCTCTTTCTTGACGTCCTCACTATCGAACTTGCCTGCCCTCAAGCCCTTCAACGTCTCCACAACCTTCGTTCCCGCACCATCAATATCCGTGAAATGGCTAGGCTTCTCGGTCGGCTCTTTGCGCCACGCAACTTTCTTCGCCCCCCATCCTTCATGGATGTGTCCGAAGCAGTGGAGTCGTGGTCGGGCGCGTGCCACTGCCTCGAAGAGGTCGGTAGAGCCGGCCCGTTGTTTCGAGTCTGTGTAGTCCATGATCCCTCTTGGGGGGCCGTGGGTCATTACGAGGTCCACGCCGGGACGAATAGAGAAATTGTGGCCGTCGTTGGGGTGGAATTGGAAACCCCAGTCACTGAGTGAAGGTGTGAAAGGGCTGGCATAGACGGTGAGGGTGGCGCCATTGGCGAGGGTGAAGTAGTGCTCGCCCTCGTCTAGGAAAACAATGCGAGCAGATCTTGCGTCTTCGATGAGTTGTCGAGCTTCCCCGTAATCGCCATAGATCTTTTTGACAAGGTCTGGTTCTAAAGACGACTGAGCTGTGGCTACTTTCTCTTTGAAGGCAGGGGTATCCAAAGTGAAGTCATGATTGCCGGCAATTATCAGCTTGAGCGGCGCCTGGACTGCCGCAAAAGACTTTAGTGCTGTCCGGAATTCGTCTAATTTCGATTCTTCCGTCAGGTCGCCACAGTGGATGGCTACGTCTGCCTGTGGAATTGGACCATCTTGGGCTCTAAAATCATCACCGTGAGTATCTGAAATGATGAAGAAGCGTGTCTTTACGAGACCAGGAGAAGCAGCGACTGACATTGTGACTGGTATAATCTGTAAGAAAAGTAATGGATACGGTAGTAATACTAGGTCTTCACTGTAGTTCTACCTACAGGAAGCGTGAGTGTCCCTACGGATTGAAGTTATGAGTGAAGCTGAAAAAGAAGTAAGGAGACGAATGATTGAGAATAAAAAGAATCGGGCACAAGCCAATGTGAGTCATGTGCAAGCCACTAAAATCTGCGAAGTTTGTGGAAGCCACGGTGGCAAATTCGGAGTCAAGAATGATTATGTCCGAAATGCTTCAGCATTGCCTAAATAGGACAAGTGCTTATATAGTCAGCACCTAGCGCATCAGAAGCATGTAGGATGAGCGTTACGCGAGGTGATGAAAATAGGAACGTGGTAATGCGAGATGCGGAATTCGCGGGCTTGTGGCTCAGGATCCGCAATATGCTCTGACTTCCGAATGGTTCAAGAGGACGCTACCCAAAGAGAAGATTCCAGTCATACTGGAACCTCAATGCATTCCTCAGTAGAGAATCGCCCTCTTTCTTTGCCCGTCCAGCCTCATCAACCTGACACCTACGATCTCAATTCAAGATCTTCCATACTAACATCCATGCCAAAATACTCCTTCCACCAGCACAGACTCTGCCACCCCACCCTCATCCCCTCCATCTGCTCCTCGAAAGTACTGAGGTACCACTGAAGAAGCTTGTTCCTCTGACTCTTCGTATTCTCGAGGTTTGCCTTCTCACGCCAAATATCCCTTCGTAGGTCCTGCTCGCCGGCCTCGTTCGCTACTCTCCACAGTGGGTCCCGCTCACTCTTACAATATAGTATTACTAGCAGGTTTTGCCAATGGCGAATCCTAAGCATAGGTTTCTCGATCCAAGGCGCATATGCCTTGTCCATATCGTAGATACCGTTCAATACATAGAGGGCGCAATCTTTCTCGTCATCTCTTGTATAAATTTGGCCCCACTCGAGAGATAGGCACTCGCATTGTTGTGGAGTGTAGATTTGGCGACTGAATTCTGGTAATGGAGGCATGATGGATGGAGATGAGTGATGATGAGGATTGTTCCGTCAAGTCTCTGAATGCCTTGGGCGTCTCTTGTGATGATTCTGCTGCGGAAGCTCGGGAGTAAAGGTTTTAGAGAAGAAAGAGAAGAAGAAGAAAGGGCGACTTCAACAAACTTTCCACTCACTTGCGTCCGTTTATGCCTCGATGCCACCAACCTTTTCAAACTTCTCGTCTAGCGTGAAAGGTTAAGTGACCCAACATCCTAACAATCACAAGTCTATATGGCGCATTTTTCAAGCAGGTCACCGGCAAAAGGCAGGGAACGAGCTCGTCGGAGCGTTGGGAGGTTCATGCTGCAATCGTGCTATAAATAAGAGGGGTTTGCGAAGGCTGAATTGTTGGAAAGTAGCCATATCTCGCTAAGATTGCTTCAGGTTGCGGGCAACTCTAGTGAGATTTAAAATCTTTCTTGCCTGTACAGCGCGAATTAGCTTCACGAAAGTGGCCCAATGCCTAGCCACTCACCAGAGTTCTGCCTTTTAAAGGTCCTTTCTGCCAACTCCACTTCCTCTGCCTGCCTCATCAAATTTCTCATCTCAACCCCGACCATCCACCTCCTTCAAATACCCCTCCAGCTCCCCAAGCAGCTGCACCGTCTCCCCTGGATTGGCAATCCACGCTGTGGTACACGCCAATCGTGCCTAATCACCCGACAACCAATGCGTCAGCATATACTCTCCCATCCCACACTGTCTCCTCACCCTCAAACCCTCTGCCACATGAAAGGGTGAAAAGGAGAAACAGACTGGAGTAGAGGTTGGGGGAATCGTAAAACACACCTTAAAATCATTAGCACCCGCACTCAAAAATTGGTCACCTATATGGAGTGTTTCTTCCCCTTTGATCCCCCCTTGCCCTTCTTCACGCGTGCCAATCCAATTCTGCACGGCCCTCACCCCCAGACTCTTATCCCCAATATCAACGAAAACATCATTTCCCCCATTGAAAGCGCAGAATGGCACCCTCCTCCCTTCCTCGGACTCAGCTTGGGACATTTCAACGACTTGCTGCGTAACCAGCACCGTCTCCTCGAGCTGCTCTCTCGTGAACGCCCCGCCCCTTCGCGGGATGATACCGACTGCACGTTCTTTCCTGAATATAGTCGCGGGAAGGGAGAGGTTGATGATGCATTCCCTCAGCGCGCCTTCCGCAACATCTAAGAGGGAGGAGATGGCGGGCTCAGTCCAGCCGCGCATCTCAGGTAACATCCACTCCTCCCTCTCCACCCTACTCAAGAGCGCCTTCTTATTCCCATCAAATATGAAGAGGTAGTTCGACTCCCCGCCCATAACGACCAATTTTGTCTTGCCAGATCGTACGTTGTTGAGACTTCCCACTGGATCATCCGGTGGTGCAGAGAAGCGTATGGCGGTGTCGATTGCGTTCAGCAGGCCATGCAGACGGGCATGGTAGGCGGCCGGCTCTGTGTAGCCGGCTGCGGTGACGATGCCGATATGGATGCCGCGGGCAAGGAGGGCGAGGATTTTGTGGATCACAGGGTTGGACTTGTCGAGAGCTGAGCCGTCAGGGTAAAGAGTTAGGTCGCCATCGAAGGTTATGAGTTTGAGTCCCCCAACCCCAGTCACTGCCCTGTCCCAGGTCTCCTGTCTCTGTGATATCCGTGTGGGGTTGGATATGGGGTCGGAAGTAGTGTCGTGAGAGGGGGTGTGGGATGGCGACGGGTGCACCAAGGCCATAAGTTGGGCGGTGTTGAGAATGGCGCGGACGTCGTTGAAGCTGGGCGCCACAAAGCGACGGGAGCTGATTCTTCGTTTACGGTCTTGGTAGACAAAGGCCTTTTCGAGGGGTAGCGGGGTGAAGAATGTTCCTGTGGTGGGAACGAGGTGCTTGAGCTTGCTGAGTCCGGGAAAGTGATGGACTTGGTGGTTGAGGTGGTCGGTTATCAGGGCTTCGACGTCGCGGAGTATCTCGGCGTAGCGCCGGTGAGTGGTTGTTGCCATCGTTGAGAGGAGAGAGGTGTCGTCATTGGGTGTGGTTGGGCTGGTGGAAGCGTAGGCGGCGGTGGGTTGAGAGTGGAGGACGAAGGGGACAGCGAGGAGGCCTTTGATCCATTCGATCAATTGGTCGCGGCGATGTGTCTTCAAGGCGTACTCGACACGGTAACGAGTCGTCATTGTGGCGACCGTGGACTCTCGAAGATGCCAGCGAGGCTGGAAAGTCTAGGGCCCAATCGATGAGGTGTGGAGATGACAGAGAAAAGATTTATGGAAACAGAATATAATAACACTTAAAGAGAAGAGGAAATTGAGATGCCACGATAGAAATCGCGCGATGGTAAGAGGGTCAGCGAAATCAAGGATGAAGTACGGAGATAATGAGGAAAAATAGTTCCTAGATTTCGATCGGATTTTTTGAGTCGAGGGGAGGGGATTGTTGGGAATAGGTAGAGCTATAACCATCGAGGTATACAAATAAATGCAGAAGTTCTCTTCTTTTTAGAAGAAGACGCTCTGTATAAGGGAGAGGGCGAAGGCAGCTTAATCTTTTGCCCTCAAACGGAAGACTTTCATTCATATTGGCATCATTCACTTCGCAGCAGCAATTTATCAATAACGCCTACAGCGGGGCAGGACTGTCCCGCAGCAAGAATTGTGAAGTAGTAAATACGAGTGAATAAACAATATTTGCGGCATATATTCTGTCTTGTCTGCCTATCTAATTTCTCCAATCTGGTTCGAATTGGCCAATCACAATTAGCATGCATATGTAAAGTACAAGATCCGAGACTACGTCATCATGATATCTATTCTTCCAACCAGATCAATCTTCCCAGCACGTCTACCCAAAACTCTTGAAGAAATCCTCATCCATTCCCAACCCGCTACCTCCTCCGACGAACGCGGGAATTTGCGGAGGCGGACTGTACGAACGCTTGGGCGCTGGCAGTGGTTCACGCTCTGATGGCTTCCTCGTTGGTATTGCTTTCCTCCCGTTCGTAGATATCTTTCTCACAGGGCTGGCTTCTTGTTGGTCTTCCTTCTCCGCCTGCTCTGTGATCACCGCGGGATCCATGCTCGCAGCTGTGCCGTTACCATTCCCGTTCCCGTTCAGATTCATGTCGTTGCTCTTTCTTCTGCCCCATCCTTGCTTCTCGGCGTTCATTGTCTGGGAGAGCGTGAGGCTGCTGGTACGGCGCCAGAATGTACCGCTCTTTCTCTTCTTGATCGGGAGGGTGTCCTCCGCAAACACGGGTGTAGAGGGGCGTGAGTCCTCGGTGATAGCGGCGTGGTGGGCGCTGTTTGTACCATTAGGGCTAGTCGCAGTGGCATGCCCATTCTCGCCCGGTGTAAAGCCCATACTCAAGCTGCTCGTTCGCCGCCAGAATGTTCCGCTCACTTTCTTTCGTAGACTGGGTTTGGGCGAGGAATTGACACTGTCACCACCCGGTGTTGTAGGTCTGAAGCTGCTAGAGCTACTATCCGAGGGCGAGGTCTGATCGTATGATTTGCGCAATGTTTTAAAGGGGAGGATCTTGGTCATACTGCTGAGACGTTTGGATGATCGGCCTTCCGGTGGGGTTTCTGTATAGAGGTCAGACTCTTGCATTTTCGAATCGTGAACTCGAGGGAAACTGACCTGGTATGGGCTGTGGCTCGTCTGGAAACGAGCCAGGAACGTTCATTGCAGGGGATGAGAAGGCTTCGGTAGAAAGAGGCGATTTTTGGCGCTGGACTGGTTTGCGCTGAGGTGTTTGAGGAAGCGAAAGGCGATCTTTGGGAGGTACAGGTGGCGATAGTGCGGGGGGAGGAGCTCCTTTGGAGAGGGGACTCGATGATCGGTGTTCGCTGCCGTGTGGGGATGAGGACCTGTTCGGGCCCATTGATGTACGGGAAAGAGCTGAACGGATGCTGTTCATGGATGGACGGCGGTCGGACGCCATGGTAACAGCTGTGGGAAGAATTCTGGTGGTCAAAGCTCAACGAAAATGCAAAGTATCCCAGCCACCACGATCCAGCGTCTGCACAAGCGAGAATGAAAGTAGGCCACCAGATACGAACTCGATCTCGGAACAGCGGTCAACGAGAGGAATGAATTACTGTAAATATGAACAACGAAGGGAACAGGACTCGTGGAAGAGCAAGAAGTGAATGAAGCTTGGAGCAAAAGTGGGGAGAGCGACACTGAAATGCAGGATTCTTGGCGTGTTTTTTGGTGCATTAGGTTGTGCATCACTGCATGGAATTGCGTAAGCCAAAGCACCAGAAGGATTCAGGCGATAGGCTAGAAGCTCCGGGGGACAAATAGGAAGATGAGGCCTAACGGCCCGCCCGAAAGAACGCTTTGGCATCCCCCGAGCTTGACCGAGTGTAGCTAAGACCTTGCCTAGAGCTGGCGGGCTTCCAGGCACGTCTAGGGGCGGGTGTACTAAGGGCGGATAAGAAATATATCTCTTGGCAGAGTCTGCACTGTGGACGCGACCTCGATCTGGGTGTGAGTGACAGAGCGCGAGCAGTGTCAAGCTTGTGAAGAACTGCAGTACACCTCTGCGCTCATCTGACCAATTGCCCCGCCTTAATTAGGCTACGAGGAGGCAGCATGCCGCCCTTTAAAGATGAACACATCCTCGTCCGTTACACCTTCATCTACCCTGCCGTTTCCTCATAACATTATTTTTGCGCAAGCTAACACGCATATCATGGCCACAGATCATCTCGCCTGGATCACAATCCACTCTCGCCCAGCTTGGCCTTCCAGAATCCTTCACGCCCGCCAGATTGAAGCTGCCCACCCGCATGTTTGCGGCGGAGACGCCAGGAGAATGGGAACCTCTCAAAGTCAGAGAAAAGAGGATCCAGAAGCCTCCCAAGACCAACGGTGTGACCACGAATGGTCAATCAGATGTGCCGATGACGGATACGAATGGCGCGGGAGACGATCAAGGTCAAGAGCAAGGAGAAGGGGAAGATGAGATACAATACGAAGAAGATCCTACAAGCGACGAGGGCGCCGAATACCCTATTGTCCAAGGCCGCATCGTCAATTGGCCGTGTCTGTTTGCTTTCCTAACGCATATCTACAATACACTCAGTCCACCATTTCACACCCCGGTCATGATTCTCTCACAGTCATGCTGGACCGCTCAAGATCATGAGCTGCTCACCAAATGGTTCTTCGAGAAGTTCAAAATACCCGCCTTCTGTCTTATGGATTCCGCTCTTGCTGTCTCGTACGCCTTCGCTACGCCAAATGCGACCGTGGTGGACGTAGGCTATGAAAAGTGCGACGTTACTACCATCAGCGAATACGTTGTCAACGACCTAGGCAAGGCGTCTGCGGTTCCTGATTGCGGAGGCGAGGCGATGACCCAACAACTCTACAGTCTTTTGAAGTCTCAAGATTTCACCAGCGACATGTGCGAACAGCTCAAGAAGCACCCAATATGCGAGATCCTACCTCCAGGCACAGACTTGCCCACGGATCTAGGCCCAGAACTGCCTCCAGCAAACCCAGCCGCAGCAGTCTCTACCGGAGCTCTTGACTCTGGTGATGGACAGAGGCCGAGCATAGCAGCACAAGGTGGTGCACCACGAGGTCCAGGCATCAATACAGAAGTTGGAGATGCAGACGAAGATCGGGACGCAAAGGAAGGAGATGACGACGGAGTGCTCGACGTCGCAAATATCGTCGCAAGCGGCAAGACGAGCGAGTTTCTCGCCCGAAAGGAAAGGGAAAAGGCAGAGAGAGCAACGGCAAAGAAAAGTGCCGCAGCACAAGAAGCAGCAGCGAAGCAGGCTCGACTACCAAACTCAAAGAAAGCTAGAACAGCGTTCCAATACACCGAAAGAAGACCAATAGAGGAACTCACCGAACCCTCCAAACCCGCGACAAACGGCACATTCACTCAAGACCCTCCGCCCACCGCCGACACCGACGACCCAACAGCAGCTGCTCAACGCAAAGAAGAGCGCCGCATAGAGCGCCGCCGCCACCGCGAAGGCGGACTAGCCTTCATCCGAAAAGAGCGCACCGTAGGCGTCGAGCGCTTTGGCGCTGCAACCTCCACTGCAGTCCTCCCCCTCGTCGCCTCCACAATTCATCGCGCAATTCTCTCAGTGCCAGAAGTGAACCGGCGCTCCGAGCTATGGGACTCTCTCATCATCGTGGGCAACGGCTCGAAGATCCGCGGGTTCAAAGAAGCGCTCTTGATGCTGCTGACCCAGAAATACCAGATCAGTCCCAACAACGCGACGATCTTCACGTCCGAGCTGCCGAGCCAATTCTCCACGCCCTTAGCGACGGGTGCAAACACCCCACTACCACAGCAAGGACAAGGACAGGGGCAAGCTCACCACCCCCCAGGCGTAAACCCGCTCCTCCACGCCGCCACCACCGCTTCCCTCGCCGTGCCAGGCCAGCACCATCCGCAATCCCAACACTACGGCAACCAACCCTCCGCCGTGCCTCCTCCCCCACCCCAATCCGCACCCCTCGGCCCTTCACCCGCCCGGAACCCCGCAACACCATCCCTCCCACCCCAACCCGCACAGCCAGCACTCCTCGCACGCACAGACGCCCACCTCCATAAAAGCGCTCAAGCCGCCGGAGTATTTCCCCGAGTGGAAAGATTACGGGATGGAAGAGGCGGCGTTCCTGGGCGCACAGGTGGCTGCGAAGGTCGTTTTTGTCGTTGATGGTGGGCTGAGTAAGGGGTATATGAGTCGGACGGAGTATAATGAGGTTGGGCCTGGGGGGTGCATGAGTGTTGTTTGTAGGGTGGGCTTGAGTTGAGGGGGAAAGGGGCAGAGGGAAGAGAGGGGAAGAGAGGAAGGATAATAACAGGATATCAAACTCATCGGGTGACAAAGGTAGATGCAACTAGCTACAGCACGAGAACTTTTGGAGGCGGAAAAGACGGTGTGTATGTTGGAGAGAGAGGAGAGGAAAGGATAGGCAGCGCTGTAGCCACATTTCCATTTAGCTAGATAATTGGTAGGATGTCTAGGTTGCTGCGATATCGACAAGAATTTCTGGCAATACCTTGTTGCCTATCCCATCTACCCCAACCCACCCTGAACTATCCAACCATCCATTGCGATCACCATCCGACGAAGCATCCATATCCAAAATCAGCTGCTCCTAAATCCTCGAATTCTCTAAGCAGGGATTGCTAGATAGTCCACTCATGGCCCCTCCCGTTGAAAAGGCATTATAACCCAAGACCCTCCACAACCTCCCTCAACGATCTCGTCTCCCCTCCTTCCTCTCCTTCCTCTCCTTCCCTGGCTGCCCGCCATGTAAACCGCTTTTCTCCCCCGCCCCCACTCCTCCCCTCGCCCACGGCTATCAAGGGATCCAGCTCCAACGCCGTCTTGACTTTCCACCATCTCAACTCTAAACCTTCCTCCTTTATCTCTATCGCAATGCCATCGCCGCCTCTATTCTTCGAGGGGGTGGGACGCCGTTCCATGACCTCGATCCCGATTTCTGCGTCTTTCCATGATGGGATGGTGATTTTGATGTATTCCTTGATCGCATCTTGAAGGTGTGAGGTCAGGGCTAGGACAAGGGCGGGGAGGGAGGGGTGGATTAATGCTGGTGTTATTGCTGGGGCGGGGGTCCGGGGAGAGGCGGAGGTGGGCCTGGAGATATTCGTCGTGGTGGTGGTGGTGGCGGAGTCGGGGTCGGGAGAAATTGTGAAGGACGTGCCGGGGTTAAGTCCGCCTACTGCTGTGCTTGCTTGTACGATGAGGGGGCTGGAAGGGCCGGGGAGGGTGATTGCGAGGGATGTGGTTGTAAGTGAGGACAGGAGGGTGGAGATCTGTGCGGCGGTGGTTGGTTGTGGTGGTGTAGGTGAGGGAGGTGTGGGCTTGTGTGTGGTCGAGAAAGTGAATGGTAGGCTGGCTTTGGAGAGGGAGGTTGATAACTTTGTGAGAAAGTCGTGCAATTTAGCGATCTGAGATTGGTGCTCGAGGATCTCGACTAGAGGTTTGAGGATAGGGTGGATAGTTCGAGGCGGGTTGCGGTCTCGGAGTGGAGGAGGGGTCTGTGAGCGAGTGTGTAAATTCTGCTTATGGGCTTGGGAGAGGAGAAGCCGGAGAAGGAGCATTATTTGCTTTAATGTGAGATCGTCTTGTGTTTGCTGACTTGCTTCATGTCCGTAGACTGGTTCGAGGGCGATCTCGATTTGTTGGTGGTTTTTGAAGGGAAGGAGGATCTTGTCTTCGATGCACTGAACGCCATAGCTGGCGAGGTGTTGTGCTTCTCGATTCAGTTCGAAGAAGACCTCTTCGTCGTAGATGCTGTTTCTAGCATCCAGGATATCTCTTTCGAGCGACCCTTCTGCGTGAGGGTTCTCGTAGTCGATAAGTGTGGATATAACTTTACCATTTTGCAGACAGCGTAAGCACAGTCTGTCATTCTTTGCATTAGGACCTCTGTCCAGACTGATAGACCCATCGCCATTTTGCCGGAGAGCAGCTAGGCCTCGATCTCGAAATGCTGGCGCTGCCTCAGCAAAGCCGTACCGAACACCGAGGGTGTGCTTTTCACGAGGAAGTCTGAGAAGCGACCATCCATTCTCCTTGGCTTTAAGAACCTCTTCCCAGTACTTTGTCTCTTTCTCGACTTCCCGCTCAAGCCGAGTCGCAGACTTGAGGATCGAGTTTGCGGAATCGTTCAATGACTCCATCCTCACCCCCAAAGCCAGCATATCACCTTGCTCTTTTTCGGCATCTATCATGTCTTGAGCTTGAACCTTTTCTGCGCCTAGTGACCCAAGTGGTAGGTTCTGCTTCAGATAAGGCGACAAGGTGAGGCCTGCCGGACCTGGCGTACGTTGCGACAGGAGGAGAGAGATGAAATCGAGGGCCATTGCAGTCTCTTGATGAGCTTGACTGGAGTTCATCAGCACACTGCGACCGCACCTCCAATGGCAAGCTTACTTGACTTGCTTCAGCATCTCTTCCTTGGCTTTTTGCACCTTTTCTTTCTTCGACTGCGGATCTTCTTCGTCATCTGTAGGCTCGTCATCTTCGCTTTCTTCTTCGACAGCTTCTTCAGCTCCGTTCTTGATCTCTTCTTCCAGGCTCTCTTCGGTCACGTTGCGAAACCCTCCTTTCTGCTCATTGATGCGCGAAATCAGGTACTGTAGATCGTTTGGGATGGGAAGTGGTGGCGCTTGAAGAGAAATGGACACGCTAGACATGGTACGGTCGGAATGACTTTAAGCTGATGAGCAATTGGGTGAACTCAATGGCCTGCCGAAGCCTAGCAGGGTCAGTAATGTTCGATTGCTGCTTCACAAGCAATGAATAGAATTGCTTAAAGCGCGATTGTTTATTCATTGGCTGGTATGCTGACTCATGTGGCTGACGCCGGGTAGCGAATGTAAAGCAACACTTCGGCGACTTCCATTGATAGCCCCGTTGGATTGAATATTTATACCTCTCAATGCCCTCAAGAGTCATGCATTCCTTGTCCCTTACATTCTTACACCTCTACACAGGACCTGTTACAGCTCCATAACACATGGCGAACCTCTCAAGCCATCCTAAAATGACGAAACGAATCGGGGTCATGACAAGTGGGGGTGATAGCCCGGGGATGAATGGCTCAGTGCGGGCAGTCGTGCGAACGACCTTGAACTCGGGCTGCGAGGCCTTTGCTATATTGGAGGGCTACGACGGTCTCGTGAACAACATGATTAAGAAGATGGAGTGGGCTGATGTTCGTGGCTTTCAAAGTGAAGGCGGTACCTTGATTGGGACCGCCCGATGCGCAGAGTTCAGAGAGCGAAATGGAAGATTGAGAGGTGCAAAGAACCTGATAACCCACGGTATCAATGGGCTAGTCATATGTGGAGGTGATGGGAGCTTGACCGGGGCAGACACCTTCCGCAAAGAGTGGCCCGGGCTCTTAAGTGAATTGGTAGCGGCCAAAGAGATCACACAGGAGCAGCAAGACGAATTCTCATTCCTAAACATCGTCGGCTTGGTGGGATCCATCGACAATGATTTTGCCGACACAGATGCCACGATCGGATGCTACTCATCCTTAGGGAAGATCTGCGAATCACTGGACACCATCGATTCGACTGCGTCCTCACATCAGCGAGCATTTGTGATTGAAGTCATGGGACGACATTGCGGCTGGCTTGGACTCATGGCGGGTGTAAGCACAGGAGCTGATTATGTTTTCATACCTGAGCACCCTCCGCGACAAGGCTGGGAACACGAGCTATGTAATACTATCTCAAGGGCACGTGTACAATCCCGAGAAGGTCACTCATCTAGCTGACTGCCTGAATAGCACCGCAAGCTTGGCAAACGAAAGACTGTGGTTATCGTTGCCGAAGGAGCTCATGACGAAGACCTTAAGCACATATCTCCAACGATGGTCAAAGACGTTCTTGCTGGAGCTCCTTTGAAACTTGACACAAGGATAACGACACTTGGCCATCTTCAAAGAGGGGGCTCCCCGTGTGCCTACGACAGACAATTATCTACTCTACAGGGTGTGGAAGCCGTCAAGGCTGTCTTGGCAGCGAAACCGGGGGACCCGTCCTATTTCATCTCTATAATCGAAAATAAAATTGTCAAAAAGCCACTCCTCGAGGCGGTTGCATCCACTCTGAAACTAGCGGAAGCTATCAAGGCCAAAGATTTCGAGAAGGCCATTGAGCTTCGAGGCCCAGAGTTCGCTGAATACTACGAGGCTTACAAAATCACCACAGCTACTGATCAGCCCGGCCTAAAACTACCAGAGAATAAGGTAAATATCCATTTCCACCCTGATCTCAACTCCATACTAACATTGAAATCCAGCGAATGAATATCGCAATCATCAACGTTGGCGCTCCTGCTGGTGGAATGAACTCCGCCACTCGGTCGGCGGTAGCTTACTGTCTTGCACGAGGTCATACACCATGGGCCATTCATAACGGGTTTCCCGGTCTGGTACGGCATCACAGAGACAAACCTGAAGGCTCTGTTCGAAAGTTGGATTGGCTCGAAGTTGACTGCTGGATTAGCAAGGGTGGCTCCGAGATCGGCACCAATCGAGATATGCCCTCAAACGTAGGCCTTTTTGCCACGGCCGACTGCTTCCGAGAATGGAAATTCGACGCCCTATTTATCGTAGGCGGTTTTGAGGCTTACACCGCCCTGTCAGAGATGCGGGCTGCCAGGAAAGAGTTCCCGCCATTTCGAATTCCCATGGTACTATTGCCCGCGACCATCAGTAACAACGTCCCCGGTACCGAGTACTCGGTAGGAAGTGATACCTGTTTAAACGCGCTTGTTTCATATTGTGATGCCGTCAAGCAGTCAGCATCAGCAAGCCGGAGGCGGGTTTTTGTCGTTGAGACTCAAGGTATGCCACCTTTATCTCCATCGATGTTTGTAATTGCCGTATTTGAGCTAACGATCATCTATTCAAGGCGGAAAATCAGGCTATATTGCTACAATGGCGGGCCTTGCCATTGGTGCCTTGTATGTAGCAGCCATTTCTGGTCATCGAGACAAGGTGAAGCTGACTTCTCATACAGAGCCGTATATACTCCCGAGGAAGGAATCGATTTACAAACGTTAGCACGTGACATACAGCACCTTCGAGAATCCTTTGCCACGGATAGGGGCCAGACACGAGCCGGTAAATTGATCCTCAATTCTGAGCACGCTTCTGCTACGTATACCACTCAGCTCATTGCGAACATTATAAAAGAGGAGAGCAAGGGGAGGTTTGAGTCTCGTCACGCTATCCCTGGCCATTTTCAGCAAGGAGTAACGCCTTCCCCAATGGACCGTGTCCGTGCTGTCCGCCTCGCAGTGAAATGTATGCAGCGATTAGAAGCCTATGTGGGCAGGACAGGCGAGGAGATAATGGCAGACGAGAACGCGTACGCCGTTATTGGAATCAAAGGAGCCAGCGTAGTCTTTGGGAGCATGGCTGAATTGGAGCAGGAGACCAATTGGAAAGACCGGAGACCAGTATCGGAGGCTTGGTTGGCGAACAAAAAGATCGTGGACGACCTCAGCGGACGCCCGCAAGTGCCGTGAGGCTCTGAGGTTTTGGGCTTGCGACGCTTGTGCGCTATTGGATATTAGTGCATCGTCAGTATGTCAATACCTTCATCATAACTTCCATCCGTATGTACCTATTATTACAATCGCTGTCATGAATCCAAAATGATTGATACAATCAATCAAAATTGCTCTTGAAGTTGAAGAGATTTTCTAGGTGCTCTATGCAAGCCTAAGATTGAAGCTGACCCTTTTATACTCTTCTTTTAACCTGCCATTTTGCTATCTTTCTTGAGCTACATACAGCATATGTGGAGTACATCAATCATCAAGCGCCCAACATATATTCCTCCAATACCCAACCAACCCCCCTCCCGAAACCATCCAAGCCCCTCACCTACCCATCCAACGAATGCACCATATCCCCCCTCACATAAACCCGTCTCGTATTCCTATCATCCCCGCAAAACACCCACTTCGCAATCCTCTCACTCCAAGTCTCCTTCCCCCACAGCTCCACCAGCCCTTCGCTCCCATCAACGACCTCTCTCCCCCCATCCCCATCCCCACCCCCACCCTCCACCTCCTCCCGTATCTCCTTCGCTAAACGCTTCATCCTCTCTTCGTCCGTCTCGTTGCTCGGTTCAACGCCAGACATAGTGGTGGCGGCCTGCTGCTCCTCCCAGCGCATCTCATTGAGCCCGATGAGTTGCGCATCCCACTCCATCCCGACCTCGAACGCGCCGACTTTGTCGCCGAGACCGAGACATGTGGCGCCCCCGCGCGTGGCGAGGTAGAGGCATTCTTCCGGGCTCAGTTTTACGCGATCGCTTTTCTCGCGCTGCTTGGCCTTCCCCTCCCCGACTGCCTCACCTTCGATGCTTGCGCCTCTCGCCTCCACCCCCGCTAACACCCGACTCACAATCCCCGCCTCCCTCGCCGCGCTCAACATGCTCCCACTGAACCCCCCACTCACATCCGTGCCTAAGCCCACTTCGATCCCGTCATCCAGGAGCGCTCGCACGGGACACAAGCCGCTGCTCAGGCAGGAGTTGCTGACGGGACAGTGGGCGACCTTCGCGCCTCTTTCGCGCACGAGTTTGCGCTCCGCGGGGAAAGGTGGACGGCGTGCGCCAACACCGTCTTCGGACCTAGTAGGCCGTAGTGGTCGTACACGCCCGCGTACGTGCCCGCGCCTTTGCCGGGGAACAGCCGCTGCACAAGCGCTACTTCGTCCAGATTCTCAGAGATGTGCGTTTGGATTGGTAAGTCCTCTTTTTCTGCCAGCGAGCCAAGCCCGGCTAAGAGCTCCTCAGAGCAGCTGGGCGCGAAGCGCGGTGTTATGATTGGTTTGATGAGGTCGTAGGTGGGGTCGAGGGATTTGATGTGTGCGATTGTGGCGGCGGTGGCGGCGAGCGCGGAGGAGGCGGAGGCGTCGCGGTAGTAGGGGGGTTGGAGGTCCGTGTCCATGTTTGTGCGGCCGATGAAGGCGCGTTGGCCCCGGGCGTGGCAGAGGGTGGCGAGGGTGTTTGTGGAGATGGTCGAGGAGGTGGCGTAGTAGGATGCTGTGGTTGTGCCGGAGCGGAGGGAGGTGGTTAGGAAGGATGTGTAGACCTAGGGGTTGTTAGGGTGGGATTGCGATGTGGGGGATTGGGGTCTGGGGAGAAGTGGTGGGGGAGAGGGACACTCACGGCGCGAGATTTGGCGGGTGATGACAGGGATGATTCGAGGGGAAAGGTGTAGGTGTTCAGCCAATCGAGGAGGGTCGATTTGCCGAAGATACCTGCGTTGGGATGTTGAGAAGGGTGCGTGTGTGTGTCTGGGACTTATCAGCTCCGGCATTTACGGCGCCTTTCGAGCGTGTAATGAATTGGCACAGGGTAGTCGAAGGCGATTTGACAGAAGCAGAAAGACATTGAGGAACAGCGTGTTCAACCAAATTTTGGCGATAAACCTGAATCTTGATTGAAGAGATCTTTGGCCTAGGAAAAATTCTCAAAACAACGCCAAGGCAGTCTCCGTTCGCATCGAAGGCTCGTGATTCTGGTTGTTCATAGATTCTATCCAATTTGAATAGAGATAGAGACAGCGTACGTTTGGGGGAAGTGATACTGCCCTCATTTTGGACTGTCGCTTTTTGTTCGAAGAGATACAAAAAAAAATGAATTTGATATTCACGCGAGATCACTCCACCTTTTTCCTTCAAGACATAATTTTAGTGATTTCAAAAGGACATGAGTAACCTCATATGTGTTGCAACCAGCAGACAATGCAAAATCCATCTTACCAACGAATCCTGGAAACCAGAATTTTCGCACCACATTTCCTTCATCATCTTCCATCCAGTCTTGATCTACAATCTCAATGCCCGCTTCCTCCGAGGATAACGTCTCTCTCATCACTGCCGTACGACCTTCTGAAAATGACTTGTCTGAGATGTCCATGATCCGGGTGATGACACCCTTCTTGTTCACAAACACGGCAGCATGCTCGATGACACGAAGCTCGCCAAGCTTGGGCGTGTCGATGATAGTACCCAAATAGACCTTTGTCATAGGCATGTTGATAAATGTTTGGAATGCTACTGGGCAGATGTAAATGCACGAATCAAACGATAACGACAAGAAACACTCGTTTTACAATGGAGCCGTTAGCATTGACATCTATCGTACAATCACGACTGTGGAAAAGCACAGAAAAGATGTACGACGGTAGAGGCTGGTAGGTAAAGGCGGATGATAATGAGTGTGTGCAGTGCGTATCATGCTGTCGGCGATCGCCGACGGCCACATTCGAATCAAGCCCTAAGCCCTGACGCTTCCCCTCTTTAGGATAGTTCTACGGCGATTTCCGCGGCAGCTGGCCTAATTCTATCGCGCTGTCGGCGAAGTCAGCGCTCGACATGACTTCATCACCATTGGTCAGTCCCCCTCCTCTAAAACGACGACGTGTCTCTTTGCCGGAGAGACCATGTGTAGCAATCTCCTCAGACATTTCTGATCCTGGTGAGCATGGTGTCTCATCGCGCGGAAGCTGTCCACCGCATGCGTTACGAGTCTTCTCCTGGAACGTCAATGGTATTGATCCCTTCCTTCCCGACAATACACCAAAGATCACGACTTTCTTGAGCTCGCCACCCCAAACTGAAAAGCCTACAACACATCAATCGATACGGGCAAGCCTCCTCGATTGGTCTTGGCCCCATATCGTATGTTTGCAGGAAGTGAAGATTGCTCCCACAGACATAAAGACCCAAGCTGCCTTCAAACGCCAAGTCAACACTTCATTAGCCGTAGAAAATGATGGGGACCACGATGGAGAATCACCTCAAGATCACCACTACGATGTCCACTTCTCCCTTCCGAGAGATAAGTACAATGCCACAGGCTTTGGTGGCAAAGTTCATGGCGTTTGTACGTTAGTGAGGCAGGATCTTCCAGGTGTCAAGATTGGAACTGTAAAGTGGGACCTCGAAGGTCGAGTCATCATTTGCGAAATGACGACAGATCAGCTTGCAGTGATCAATGTCTATGCTGTCAATGGCACAATGTACGATTATCGTGACCCCGAAAGCGGCAAAGTCATTGGCACTCGCCATGACCGGAAGCGTTCTTTCCATACCCATCTCTGCAATGAAGTAAAAGCATACGAGGCAAAAGGTTGGAACGTAGTCATCATTGGCGACATCAACATTTCGCGAAGTTCAAAAGATTCATTTCCGCAGTTGAGGCTGGGTGAAGCGCATGTGAGAAATCGCGCGGACTTTGAAAGGAAATTCATCACAGAGTTGCGCATGGTCGATACTTTTCGTTTTCTCAAAAGAGACGAGAGAAAGTACACCTACAGACCAACAAACAAGCCATGGGGCGAAGGCGGCGATAGGGTTGACATGGCGCTCGTAACGAAAGGACTGAGTTCAAGGCTTGAAGACGCAGACATGCTGGACACGGAGAAAGACAGAGGCCCAAGCGATCATGTTCCACTATATATATCACTTTCAGCCCAGTCAGGTGACACGCCCACCTGGCGGAGAACGGGAAAAGACAATTGAACCCAAAACGCCCCGAAAGTCAACAAAGACCCACATCACCAATGATAAGAACGCCGACCATGCTTCTTAATTCCAGTTCACATCACATACTGCTTTCCGGCTTCAAAGACGTTAATGACGCTGACACCGACCACTCCGAGGCTCTTTGCTGGTTTGAAAATTGCTAGCTGACTGAAACCACTCCCATGATCGACCACTGCTGAGCTTGTGCTGGCAATGTTGGACAAGGCCTCTCTCTGAGCCTGACTAGACTGGAAGACGACTAGTGATGCTGACTACGATGTATCCAAGACCTGAACGCTGACTAGGACACTGCTGATGATGATGACGACGCTTCAAAGACCCGAATGCTGCAAAGACGCTTCTGACAACATGACCGCAACAGCTTTTGCTCAATCATGCTCTCGTCGGTGCCTGCCTCTTTCTTTCAAAGTAGGATTTCATGCTGAGGAGATACTTCTCACTCGTCCCCAGTTTTCGAGCCAATAAGGCGACAGGGTTGGACATGTACTTTTTCTCTTCAGACTGGTCCAATTTGAATCCGCTCAGAGCCTGACTCCGGATGCAACGACCCGCGGATGTGTTGCTAGGCTGTTGGCCAGTTGGAAAATGAGGGGAAGACTTACCTGCTGCATCAATCGCAGACAGCAGGTCGCCTCCAAGCAGTTGTCGCTCCGCACCAATTGACCCACTTTCGACTGATACTTGAAAGCTGTCCGAGGACAAGGTCGGCAGAAGAGTCGGCGCGACCCATTGAGCCCCATTTTCTGGTTGGAATACATGTCCTGAGCTTAGCTGAGCCTTCATCGCTTGCGTAAGCTTTTCTTTGTCCTTCATCGCTTGCACAAACTTGTCGTTCTCCCTCAATGCTTGAATCTCGAACTCAATCGCGTTCTGCGCAGCACACCTATCCTGGTTGGCGCTCAGCAGCTGCATGTTATACCAACCCGCACGATCTTGCTTCCTCAGCGTCCGCTGATTCTCTAGATGCTTGTGATGGGGAACTGAACTCAATGTATGGAAATCTTTGGAGCAGTTCCATGTTGCAATCATCTGTGCTTGTTGGGCGCGAATGACTCCAGACATCTGCAGGACCCAGGTTGACAGGTCTACTCCCGGCTCTGATGCTGCCTTCTCCACCATCCACGCTAACAGGATCCGATAACGGAGAGGCAGCTCCTTCCACATCGATGGTACCGTAGAGTCAAGGAAATATTCATTCGCAACCAGATATCTTCGCTCCGAGATGCTTAGCGTGGAACTTTTTCTTTTTCCGACCAGGTACTTGAGAGCCGGCGAAGAACTGTTCCAAAGATGTTTTGCGGTCTCGATCATGCTGGGTGCAAACTTGTCGGGATAGAACTCGACATAGTGGCCAAAGAAGGTAGGATATTGGACGACATCGTCATATACGTCAGTATCGCCACCAGCGAGGCATTCTAATGATGCCAGTTCTTGCTCGTTGAAGAGGATCATGTCCAATTCTTGCTCGGTGAAGGGGCCCATGTCGATAAGTTACTATCAATCTACGAGTCAGATACGCCTACGACAGAAAAAGCTGTCAAACAATCTACTGCTTGGGCACTATACTTCACCTTTGAACAAATGGGAACTTTGGAAAAGAGTAAGAGCTTTGCTTGGGTGAGGAGCTTGGTCAAAGATGGAAAGTATGTCTTCCAAGAATTTTGATTGATTGATGAGCTATAGTTGAATATCTTGAAGACTATGAAGAGAGAAAACATTTCGCGGATTGCGAGGGGGTTATATACTCGTACGAAGAAACACAAGTGTCACTTATACTTCATGGCTTGAGAAGAATACTCAAGTCGCATGCTCAACGAGAAAGGGAACTCAAGGCCAAAAAAGAGCCACTGAGTCACAGACATAAGCATAGCGAGGATCCTCAGCCGGCTGCACACTTCCACCTAGGTCGAGATCCTGGGACAATACATGACTCCGACTCCACATCGCTCGGATTTCAGGACGACCATGGCTGGTACCACAGAAGTATCGTGCTGAATAAACGCTCAGATGTTGGGCATCACGATAAAGATGGCTGATGCGGGGAGAACTTTCAATTCACTCAACGGTGTGGCTTTGATTTCATCCCGAGTGGAGTCCCTAAGCTAATGAAGGAGAGTAGTGATAGAGGTTGAATGTTACCTTTTGAGGCACATCAGCTTTCTTCTATTACCCTGGATGAGCCTACTTCCAGATGTTCGCTTCGGTTGAACTTTTGTTAATACCGAACAATGTGAATATGGATACCTGGTGGCTTCAATCTGTTGTGATTGATCACCAACGGTCTCATTCTGCTGGATGTAATTTCCACTAAACTCAAATTGCTATTACGATTGGCCCACAGTAATGTCGGCTTTCAGTACACCACGTGCCATGGCTTTGTCTGGTCAGCAAGTCTCTGACTAAAGAGTCTCCATTCTCTAGAGAGCTGCTGGTGGCAGAACTCGATTCTTGGTTAGCCCTCCCATAAGATTTACCGGTATTTTCAACCTAAGTTGGGCATTGATGACCCTCCGAAAGTGCCTAAACCTCTGTCAAGCTACTCGTGGCACCTGTGGGAAGTTTAAAATATATCCCTTGAGTATCTGACACGGGCAAAAAAAGCAATGTTTAGGTTGGTGGCGGCAAAGACTTTGAAAGTTACCAAACATTCGAACATGACGATGGCTGATGCCACCAACCTAAATTCATCACGGCAGCTTGAGGCTTGCACTTCCCTCCACAAGAGAGGAATGGCGGAAGTTCACGGCAGCACAAAAGCCCAAGTGGCTTCATCACTTTGCAATCAGCGCTACATTGCATGGTCGACAGTGGCTGACTCTGAGTCATTGCCCACTCACCAAAAACCCGGCCAATGAAAGGGATCAACAAGCAAAGATACGATTTTGAGGCTGTTGGAGGCTGTTGGGCTCCGCATCCGTGGTGAAGCACCTTTTCCGCGGCATGTTGGCTCCGATATGGGCCCTGTCACGAATATGAGCTTGGGCAAAGATTAAGGATGAAAGGAATATTAGGTAGGTTTCTTTCATTCATGAAGAAGGCCTTCGCTGTAGCCCACTTGAAAACATGTACTGATGGAGATGAATGACATCGGTCAGCGAGCGGAGTCGCCTTCTACCAACGGGGTGCTTGTGATCCTACGCAAGGGCGGATTCCTGACCGTCATGATGTGATGCCTCGGGTACCATAGACTAGAAATGTGAAGAGGATCGTAGCGAAAGAGCAGGTAAAGGCTTCTGTTCGTAGCCCATTCCAAAGATTCATTACAGCCTATACAGGTGGTGCCAAATGAGACAGTGGATCTTCCCTTGCCCAAGCACAGGAGCGATCGAGTAGCACAGATGTCTTTGCCTACAATTATTCAAAATCTCTTTTCGTTCTGATTTTTCAACTTTTGATTCCCAAGTATGACCACATGTAATGATTTTCTCTTGTCTCTTGTAGTCCTTGCTGTGTTAAGCCCTTCATTATAAGGTGGCAAAAAAAGCAGAGGACATTTTCACAAGAAGTTAAGATTCTGTCTATGCAATTTTCATAAATCAGGGCAGCGCCACCAGCGCCATCTCACACCTCCCGATTTTGGTGATACCAATTTCTTGTTGTCACAGCAACCATTCGACCCAGTTTCAACCCTTCTTCTTCCTCTTAAGCTATCTTCAAGAGCTGACTCCTCCCCCTTCTTCATCGAAACCTGGGACAGGACTTCTAGAAACCGTCGACAGAATCTGCCACGATCAATCACTCTCCACCTATCTGTGGCTATACGTTTATCTCGAGATGCTCTTGAAGTACTCTACAATCAACATTTCTTGCTTGCCGGCAAGGGCTCGCCGAACGCGCTCGGAAGCGCACGAAGATTCAACTGCATCCTTCGTGGATGATAGCAAGTCTGGGTCCTGTATACTTTCTCATTCGTGAGGATTAGATTGATAGAGTCTGGTGCCTTGGAATGCACGATTGGTGTTGGGCATTAATATTTTGCCTACGCATGACTCAGGCTTACCCCGCGTCTTCTGTGCGACTTCTATCGTGGTCAAGTGTGCTATTGTACCTCCCTGGTCGATGTACGACATGAATGTAGCGCATAATGTGGTTATGGCTGTACAACCTGCTGCCAGTTTATAAAGGTCAGCAAAGCCGTCCTCAGTCATCTTACTCTCATTCTTCTTCACCACACTCTCCAATTCCAACACTATCAAATAACCTGACTTGCTCATACTCACCAACATCGAGCGATGCAATCCATTTTGAAAATGTCGAGCACCCCAGACAGCCCTCCTGCCGACAAGGTTAAAACATGCGACTGTAACGATCCCGCTAAGAAAACAGGACCAACTGCATCAAGGTCAAAGTCCACAATCAGTTCCAGACAATGGACCGCCACCACGATCAGAAGTAAGAAAATGAGCACAACGACAAAGACCTCGCCCTGCTGCAATCAGAAGGCAAAGTTCTATCAACCGAGTACGACGTCAGCAATCGGCGAACAAGAGCAAGAGCGCCTCGAGACTGACAAATCGAAAATGAATGACAAGAAATACAAGGAATTGAAGGCTACAGATGCTGATTCACTGAACTTTGCGGTAATAGAACTATGAGGTCTGGTTGAGTTGGCAGGGCAGGTGGCAATTTTGGATAAGCTCTCTGAGTCGACAAAGCACTTTTGATGAGATATCATGACAACGTGTACTGAAAGACAACGGCTGAAGATAGTTAAGCATGCATTTTTGACGCAGACATTACAAATCGCGATTGTGAGCAGAAAGGCCCACACTGATTTTGATAGCGATGACGTTACCAGCTCTATGTTATTTCTGTACGACGTTCAGACTTCTTCAATTGTACCCCCTGAAGCTATATGACGTACACATGGCGTGTTACAATGCGAAGCCCAAATGAGAGTTCGTATGGAAATCAGAGAAAAGGCGTTCTTCTCGCTCTTCAGCAGACTTTCAATTTGCAAAATATCTACAATCCCTACATTGTCAAACACTCGGTATATCTACATTATCAATTATTCAGGGACCACTCACTCAAAATGCCTCCTATTTCGGACATTGGCCCTTTACCATCTAGATATCCACCTCATCCCGACCCTGAGGGCTTACAGCCCATCCCACGCGAAGACTGTGGATGTCCTGGCAATCCCAACGCTACTGAGGATCACTGTTCTCGCATACACTTCCGTAACGAGAGAGCCATAAAAAGGTTTTACAAGGAGAGGATCGATTCCAAGAAAGCACAGATCAAACGAACAGAGGATGATATAGAGAAGTGGAAGCAGAGGAACTATGCGATGAAGAGCGCAACCATGACACACATTGCCGTTCTGCATCGGCAGTGGCGTAAGTTCATCAGAGCTTGTAACCAATTAGGGGACGAATGCGAGGCAAAGCTGGAGGAGGAAGAAGAGGAATTCTTGAGCCATTGGAGAACGTTAGACTAACCCTCCTGGAAATAGATGTAAAAATTTTGGTGGAAGACGGACGACTAGGGATCCTTCTCTTCGAGACACATTCTTTCCTGAAGGACTGGTTGTGGTGGTGAATATCACCTGTAGTCGAGATAGAGAAATCTGAAGGTCCGTGAGGTATTGATTTCAGACATTCATAATACTCAATCGAATTCGGTCCTTTTCATATAGAAATACCATCCTCATTGAGAGAAGTCTGTTACTCTTCTTGTCGTACAACCCGTCCGGGTACCTGTACCACTTCGAACGATACGATACCCACAATTGAAACACACCTCTCTTCCCTCACATGTGAAACCTCCCAAGGATTTCGCCACCCACCATCAACGACTCGTCTCTCAAGATGAATCCCGACGACATAGACTACGACGCATTAGACGACTACTACGGGTCCGACTCCGACCAATCCAACGAGATCCGCCTCATAGCCTCACAGCCCCCTCCCAACCTCTCCAACGCAGAACTAGGCCTCCTCGACTGCGACTGCATCCTCCATCCCGAATATGCGTGTGAGAGCAACTGTGGCTTCACATACCAGCACAACTGTACCATTTTGAAGCACTTCTATGGCAGCAAGATCGATACGAAGGCACGATCGATCAGGCAGACGGAGGATCATATGTATCAGTGGATGACGAGCACGGAGTTCTACAAGGAGAGGCAGCAGATGCAGATTAAGACGCTCGTGGAGCAGCATAAGCAGTTGAAGAAGGATTGGGGGGAGTCGAAGAGGATTCTGTATAGGAAGTGTGAGGAGGAGAAGGGAGTTTTTGAGTTCCATTTTCCGAGGGGGCATTGGGAGTTTTGGGGATAGTACTGGGGATAGAGATGGGTTGGTTGAGGAGCTGAAATTGTTCTTCCTTTGGGAAGAAAACTTGAATTCAGGGAATGCGATTTGTATTGAAGGTGTGGTGAGGGTTAAGGACCAGATGGGTAAGATAACAAACTTGTAACTTTACACGGATGAAATGCTGTACATAACGATTTGCACATAACGATAGGACTCAACTATTCCCGTCGGCTCACAACATATCTTAGTCATGTCTTAGTAATCTAACGCAAATAGCACTTTTACCCCTTTTGCCCAAGATACTTCTACAAGCACCTCAGATCGGCTTCGCAAATCAACGTATCTACCACCTGTTCACCTCAAATACCGCTCAGAGCACGACATCCTCCAGAAAGAATTCAAATTACATCTTACAAGAACCTCCTCAAACACGGCACGCGTCCCTCACAGCGCCTGAGCTGCCAGATCTCTTCTTTAGACCACCCTCCCTTCCTCTTTCGGTAGCCCCGAAATCCACCTCATCCAGTCCATCCTGATACCCCCTATACTTCGCCAACTTCACTTGTCTCATCTCTTCAAGCGATGAAGTGGGTGTGGACGATGTCGTCGCTTCTTTCGATGCGGGCGGTCATGTTTCAGTGGCATTTGCTGAGGATGAAGAATAGACAGACGGGCTTGAACGTGATAGGTCGTGAAATGCGGTCCTGGAGTCAGAGGAGGAAGATGTTCGTTTGCGAATAGAAGGATAGTTCAGACTAGAGGATGGTGATTCGCTGACTCCAAGGTGTGTTGCTGGACCTGACGAAACCACCGATATTGGTCCGTTTGATGCATACAACTACGCAAATGTTCCAGACTAGAGGATGTTTATTCGCTGATTTCAAGTTGTCTTCCCAGACGAGTCGAAATCGCCGGTATTGGTCGCTAAGTTGCATACAGCTACGCAGCACGAAGCTGCTAACCTTTTCCCTCATTCTATGAGGCTGATGATGTTTTCGAATTGTATGGTAAGTGCGTGATCCATACCCTATAAACGCTGGTGCGGCATTTTCGTTTCAAACTCGCTGAGCTTTCTCGTGCATACCTGGCGGGCTGTGCGCGTGCTTCGGACCTGCATATTTTCAGCTTTTTGTTGGGAACTTTGGTATGGAGTGGATATTGGTGCAAATGATTGCAGTACGAGAAGTGGGTTTTCTTGTGGAGGCTTGCGAATATGGTGGTTTGTCTATTTGCCCATGAGCTTTTCTCGTGGAGTTGAGTCTGGAGAATGGCTTGAACGAGATGCAGAAGAGGAATATCGACTTTCTACTGTCATTTGGCAGTTGTCGTTGCCTCCTTCTCACTCCCGGTGTTTTGTATCGACTTTCTCCACTTGATCTTTGGCTTGCTTGATGTGATGACGACGCGAGGGCAGCAGAATGTATCTGATGTCTAGAATATCTGTCTACAAATACCTCGAGTGCTGCTCTTTCACGATGTTCTCTGCAGCACTCAGACTTACTCCTCAGTCGACGATACATATTAGGCAATTGAGCATCATCGAACATCAGGATGGATTTCACCACAGTCTCCACCATCAGGAAGAATATGGATAACTTGGGTAAGAGGGCGGCAGATATTGTGTCTACAATCCAGGCTCCACCTGATCAAGAGACGGAACCAACATGTGACTGCCCACCATCACAAGTGTCCCAATCTCCTAAACCTAAAGACTATACGGATAAGTACGAACTCAAGTGTGCTCGGGCGTCGCTCGGGTTCATGGCTCGTAGCTTGGACAGGAACTCTTCCGGCTTGGAAGAGAATAGAAAGTCGATAAAAGATTGGAAGCTGAGAAAGAAATGGTGGGATTTCATTGACAGCAAGAAGGGAAGTTGGACTGAGTTCTCGCACCAAGAAGGGGTGCCCAATGATCTTGAGCATAGCCAGAAAATCAGGGAAAGCACGAGGAAAAAGGACGGTTTGAGGTACCGGATCGAACTTGACCATTTGAATGAGCAATGTCGTCAGCTTGAACGCAATATACCAAGAGACTTCATCATTGCTGAGGCGCATTTCTACCTTCATCATGGACCTCAAAAAGCTCTCAAAAAGTCTCACAGACACAGTCTCCCAGCTCTAGGACATGAAAACAAAGGAAATATGAAGGAGGTATGGTATCTTACAGACAAGCCAGAGTTCAAATACGAAACGACGCCGGACTACTATTCTTGGCTAGCCTACGCTGATGGTCAGGAGGGCACTATGCCTGATTGAAGGGAAACTTTACATGCATTACACCACTACTGACTGACACTCATTATTAACAATGGAACATTTTGGATGTTTGCAGAATGAGAGGATCAACACTAAACACAATAATGTTGAGTACTTAGAAGATAGATTGACAGTATCAAACAAACATGCATTATTCTTTCACATTAACCTTTCAAAATGATTCCTTCTTGCATGCGAGATAAGAAGACTTCAAAGAAACCACCAAGGGTAGATACCTGGCACGTTAGATCCATCCCAAATCGAAGAGATTGAAGCTTTCCCCTAACGTACAAAACATGTGCATAGTGATTTCTGTCATTGAAGCTTTATTGAGCCTAAATGATGGATCAGCACTTGTTTCTCTGAATCAATCTCGAGGCACTGACGATGATCTAGCATTTAGAACTAAGTGATGGTAGAGCATATGCGAGGGTGACGCTGCTTCATATGCCACATAACCTCTCTTGAAAATCATATCGGTCTCGTAATAGGTATCACGTATTCTTCAATGCTGTGATTCACTCTATTTATGCTAACCGCATCTTTAATCACAGCCTCCTTCCTTTGCCTTCCGGTATTTGTACCAACAAACTCCCCAGACAGATGTGTCAGAACCCAATTCTCTACCCTTTGCCAAGTCGATGGCTTCCAAATAGAATCTGAGGTCAAAGATCGTCAGAATATTTCTTTGAATATAGTTTCCCCATGCGTAGCTCAGCTGATGGAGCATGTGAGTCACCCATATGCTTGCACGTATTCCTCCCGATCTATTTGAGTAGCACTTGTCTATTGGTTCTAACCAACTGACAAGTCTAAGTACCACCAAAGTATATATAAACAATCGAGTCAAGGGGTGCCAAGCACAAACAAGGTTCACATTGCAGAAAGGAGGAGATATAACCCACGACTGAAACTCTATCCATCTATGAAGCATATAACATTGAGACTGAGAATAATAATGCAGCATGCATGTATGCCTAATGCAAAGCATGGACCCAGTTCCATGGAGGTATGTTACCACCAACTTCACAAACACCAGAAACCCACATTCGACCGCGAATTCTCTGGAGACATTCCCAGCCCTAGCTTTATCACTAGAAATCGACATCTGAATCCTCGACCACCCCCTTTCACGCTTTCAGACACACCCTCCCCCCTCCCCCCAACCTACTCCTCCGCCTCCCAGAACGGATTCTCCCGTCCCCTCTCCTCCACCCTCCCCCCACTCAACATCCACCCCCAGCCTCCATTCCCTGCATTCCCTCCCACCCCTCCCTTCTTCCAATCCAACTCCCTCGGCCACCCCTCCTCGCGATCCTCCAACCTCGTCTCAGGCCAACACTCCAAAAACGCCTCCTCGGCCACGGCAACGCCTTCTTCCAAATCCAGCCTCAACAGCCTAATGTCGCGCTCCAGAATGCCCAGATCGATGCGATCCCGGCCGTCGGAGCGTGTCTCCGCTGCTGCCACTATGCCGAAATATTCGCGGTCGGAGAGGGTGTAGTTCCCGTGGGGGAAAATGTGGTTGTAGAATGCTGTCCAGCGGTCGGGGGGGGGGGAAGCCCCGCCATTCGCGTCGCCATTCTACGATCTGCCGCTCGTGTTTCTTACCCCGGATCAGCGGTACGTAGTGAGTGAGCTGGTTGAAGATGTTGCGGAAGGCGTTCTGCGCGCAGGAGTCGCGGGCGCGCTGGAGGGAGGACGTGGTGGTGTAAGTGTCGATGGGGCGGCAGCTGCAGCGTCGTTGTGTGGGGGGAGGTGGTGGTGGTATGAAATGTGAATTTGGGGGAGGCATGGCTGTGAGTTGGGGGTGATGGTGGGTGTGTGGCTAGTCTGGGTCTTGGAGTTGTTGGTGTGGTGACCTTGAGAAAGGGCCTTTTTTGTGGAGAAGGGAGAGAGCGATGTGAGGAGGAATTTTGTTTCTCTTGTAGGGACAGAAGAGACGGGCGCGGTGTCGTACGAAGATTTTGCTCCAGACGCTGTGGGACGTGGTGTTGAGCTGACTGGCCATTTTCCTGTGTTGTGCGATGCTGTCGGACGAGATACATACTTCCTAATAGAAGTGACACGGTCAGCTCGCGTGATTACCGTTGTCAATGTGGGACAAAGCTGAAGTGAGGTAGGACAATGCGAGAAGTGTCGTATAAGACACTTGTTATAACTCACCTGAACAATGCCGCACATTGCTTCTTTTCTCCAACAACCTGCCATCATCCATTACCGTCCAACCTACCAGCTCACGCTCAATATCCACATCGATCTCAATCAATTACCGCACCATCCCCTTAACAACAAACTCCTCTTCATCCACCATGCCCCCTCCAACCCCTACAAAATGCACCTGCGCTAACCCCCTCTCCCCTCCGAAGAAGCCACCTGCGCCTTAAACTCCTGGTGCAACATCCGCCGCACCCTCATCTACATAAACCACAAAGCCACGAACAGCAACAAAGCAGGCTTACTAGCCTCCACACGACTCCAATATCAGACTGCCCGCGACAAGACCGGCATCTCGCTCAAAGCGTGGGCGGGAGAAACAAAATTCGCGAGCTGGAAGGACGACGATATCGCGTTGATTGAGAGCAAGGGCCGGAAGGGGGGGATAGGCTGGTCTGTGAGGACACACAGAAGGCGATGGTGGGGTATATGTTGGAATTGAGGGATTTTGAGGAGGATTGGTCGGATGAGTTCTATATGCATCATCCGGATGGGATTTTTAATGCGTATATGCCGCGGGATCTTAAGCATGGGAGGAGAGGGCAGGTGGAGTTTAGGGAGCCTGAGGTGGAGGAGGAGACGTTGGGGTATTTGGCTGAGGTGTGGCTGAAGTACCGGTAGCTGGGAAGTTGGAAGTGTTAAGAAGACTGATTTGGAGGGGGAGTGGATTCGGTTGTGTTTTGAAGGATATTGGTATGGGTTTTGTTTGTTGAGAGATGTTTTTCATGAATGCCTGCGTGGTATAACTGGTGGCGATAAAGATCAGTTCATCAGGAGGAAATTGGCTAAGATAGAGGATTCTTTACTGTCATAGTCAAAACTTGCGCTCTTGTGTGATGATCGGAGCGCACCAGGAAGGTGTTGTCCATAAGGTCACCTGGAGCGAATCAGGGAGTTGTCAGATATTAAGGAGTTTATGGCATCGTGATCGACCATGCTGCTCAAATAGAGCAGGAGGAAGGCATGCAGCATAGATCAATGAATTACCCGAATGCCTGATAGTGCCAATGCAGCCATTAAGTCGAGCTGATCTTGACACTATGACTTAGATTGTCCACGAGCTAGGCGGTAGATATAGAAGTCGTCCCATTGTCCACCTTGTGCGCAGAAATGGTGGCGCCGTTTAATGTGCAGTTGCAGTTTGGTACATCGCGTATAATCTGCCTGATCAAAGGCTCAAAATAGTGAAGATATCGCTAAATGCTGTGAAAGGTGTTCGCCGCGCACGAGTCTTGATTGTTGTAAGGGTCTTCTTAGTCGTCATAGCAGCGAGATGCACGGCAGCGGTATTTGCCAGCATTAGATAGTAGTGTTATTGTTATTGCTATGCAATCACTCTTCGAGTATTCAAGAAGGAGCAAATAGGTGAGCGAATGGATCGAGGTTTCTATGAGAGGTATACTCGAGTGTCTTGGCCGTTTTTGAGCCTGATGGCACGACGTTGAGCAAGCGTCAGCAGCACAGCACTGAGTACTACACAGCAGGGGTACCATATAACAAACCTTCACCTCCTTCCCCACACTCCCCCTCTCCCCTTCACAAAGATACTATCCTCATTACCACCCACCATATCCTAATCAACTAAGTATCAGCGTCAATCTCTCCTATAACCAGCCTTATTAGTAAAACCACAAGAATATCAAGGGGATTTAACAAACCCTTAGCATTATCCAGAAGATCCAATTTTTGCCACGACACGGCCTAGCCGAGGACGGATGAGACGGTTAAGAAACCTATCAACCCCACCCTAGAAACCCTAGTAGAAAACAACAGCGAGGATGGGAGTTGAGGATAACGATGTGTTTAATTTGGAAACTTTCGGGCATAGGCAGTGCAGAGCTGGTAACGGATTTAAGGGGAGAAGGCAGCCTAGAAATCTCTCACACATACAACCTGCGCACGCGCGTGGAGTCCAAGTGATCAGTCAGCCATAAGCCTCCTTTGTTCATGCATTCATCATTGCAAATCAATAAACGATAAGTGAAGCAGACCGTAACCGAAGGAAAGCAATTCGAATATATGCAAGGAAAATAGTGAAGAAAGCGGGACCGCCTCACCGCGTCAGACAATCCACGCGTAGCCGTTGGAAGCCCTTCTCTCTCTCTCATTCCACGAGTACACACAACACACAAGCAAAGCCAGCAACCCGCCCATCACTCCACTCACATTCGGCCCCCATATATGTCATTCACGCCTCAGGTTTCTGCGCGCAGAAGGAGTACCTGCAGCACAAACATTAGCCTCTTCCTCTTCCCTTCCCTTACCCTTTCCTCCCTCCCCCTCCATCCCTCTCACGCCCAAAGCAAAGAAAAAACACACTCACAACGGCCAACTCGTCCTCACCCCCTTCCCACCCTTCCACTCGCTCCTAACGCCCACCAAAAACACCTGCACCTCCTCCTCCGTCCAGCCCAGCACCCTGGAATAGAGCGCGATAGTCAAGCCATGCAGACCATGAAGCATGGCGACGAGCTGAAAGGTGCCCACTTCGCGCACTTTGGGATCGGTGGGCCAGGTGCCGATGGGGATGCGGAATTCGTGTGGAGAGTTTGGCGCGGAGGTCGTAGCCTATGCCGCCTGAGGAGAAGTGGTTAGTTGGGTGGTTGGGGAAGGGAGAGAGGGAAGAGGGGGGAGGATAGGGGGGAGGGAGGAGATACCATTCTCCTTCTGCTCCTCCAGCGATCGAAGCTTCAAGGACAACCCGATCTTCTGCATGCCGTCCTCGCAGGTATCGCACCATTTCTTGACGGCGGAGTCGGCGGGGAGCGGCGTGGCGGATAGGGGGTCGAGGGACATTTCTTGGGATTCGAGCCAGGCGCCGGGTTTGAGATGTCTGGGGTGGGAGAACGAGATGTGTTAGCTGATCCCCGGGGCAGGGATGGGGGGATGGGGGAAAGGCAGAAAGATAGGGGATGGGAAAGGATAGGGGCAGGCAAATGGTTGGATGGGTGAGGTGGCGAGAGTACTTGAAAGCCTGTTCGTAGAACTTATCCCAGTTGTGCAGACATCCAATCATGATGCGCGTGTGGATGTAGTCGAAGTGGTTCTCGGGGAAGGTCCAGGGTTGTTCTGCGTCGTCGACCTCGAACTGGAGATACAATCAGGAATTGTATCTTGGAAGCATGAAATTGAGCTGACCTGCGGAACCCTAGAGACGGAGCATTAATGATAGTACATCACTGGTAGAGAGGTTGAAGGGCCATCACCATTGCGGCTGAATAGGACTCAAGTCCGTTCCTATGATCTTGTCTCTATCAGATCCAGTCCATTTCTGCTGTACTGAGAAGGCGAGCCTCATACTTCAGCATCGGGGAACTTATCCGCTTCATCGTACTCTCAGCACTGCCAGCCTAGCGGTGAATGTGAAGACGAACACATATCGATAGCCCATATTCCTGTTCGCAATCAGCTACTCTGCATGGCACCCTGGTCGCATTACCATCACATACCTGTCCCAGTGCCCACATCTAAAATCTTCGCTGGATCCTTCCCAATAGGGGCGAAATGGGTCTCATCACGATAGGCAAGCCTGAAGGCATGGTACTGCAGATCCAGCCTACAGCCATCATCACCATCATCAGCAAATCTCCCCCTCTCAAATCTCGAGTCAGGCATCTCACCGTTCCTGCTCTCGCTGCGACCCAAACCCCGCTTAGCATCGGCTCATACATCGTCGATTCACACTCATGATAGTAGCGTGCTAAGCTCATCATTTGGCAACACATGTTCTAACTCAAGGCATCAGCCTTGGCTCCCCTACCCTTTAAAATCCCACAAAAGAACGACATATTACATACTGCCAGCCTGGTAGGCATGATACCGTCTCCTATGCTCATGCTGATACGCAGTAATACTGCTCGTGATGTAAGCGGTGTAGGAGGATTCCCTAAGGCCCCCGGTAGCCCCAGGTCAGTCAACCCCTCTGTTGCGCCAATCAAACCCCCCATCCCCAGCTCTCATGACTATCACAGCCAAGGGATCGACTCACGTGTCCGACTCGCCCAGTGTGGAATCTCCCGCCTCACTCTGTGACCATCATGCCATCGATCAGCAAATGGTCTTCCGAGCATGCCCGAGCCGGAAACAGATGGAATGGAATGGGGCGGTCTGCTCTGGTGGCGCTTGGATTCCTGACCTCAGGTTCCCCTACACCGCTAGCAGTCCAATCCAAGCCAGACACACCCCAACCCAATTTCAACCGTGCCCAACTCTAATTTAAAATGCAGATTTTATTTAATCTCCGAGAAGTGACAGGTACAAGGTCACGAAGTCACTCTGTCGCTTGTCACTTCCCGTTGCTCGTGATGGCAGGGTTGAAGAAGAGGGTGTCCTGAGCAAGACTGAAGATCGATGAGATCCCTTCGCATGGGATTACCCCCTCTCCACCCCTCCACCACGGGATGGTGTGCATGCTAAGGCGCTTAGTGGGATGCAGTGTGATAGTCTCGCCCGGCCCAGCCCAACCCCGAGTCTAGAACTACTAGAGCGAAGATAACATGTCATTTTACGGTCCGTCATCTCCCCTGCCCCCCGTCCCTTCTTACCGACCGGCGCGTGACGTGGCCGAGGTAGTGCCTCTAGCAATATCAGTGGCTTCTTTAGAGAGATATAGCAAACCCTCGCTATCGCCTGTCAGTGGTGGCAGCTAGTGGGATCGGGGTTCCAATTTCCTAGGGATGGGCGGTTGGGAGATATTCCGCCATTTGCAGAGGGTAGATCGATCGATGAATTATCGTACATCTGATGTGGGAGATGCTGGAAATCTAGATGTATCGGACACCGATGTCGCAGGGGAGGAGGGTGTGGCTGATCAGTGTTCTAGACAACGTAGTGGTGTGGCAGCTTTTCGGTGTGAGTGTCTATCGTCGATTGGAGCACTTGATGAGAAGAGTCCTGCGGAGGTGCCGTCAAAACTAAAATGCTTGGCGTGAAGGTTTCTGCCGCTGACTAAAACTCCGGGGGTAGGCTATTTAGAAAGATCCCCTAGAGCGATCTTACGGGGGGTACTTATAGGGGCTTCCAGGGGGTCCTTCTAAGGTCTCATTTTCAGAGGGTCAGAACTTTTAACAACACCTTCCGTTCACGAGCCTCTTTTGGCTAGGACTTTGCGAACATCCAAGATCTAGCGATTCAAAGCTGCGCATATTATACCCTCTCTGCGAAGATTGAAATCGTCTGGTCCCTAAAGCAACACTTTCAGGCAGGAAGATCTGATTGCTTCTACGCGTAGGGGGCACGCTAGGCTAAAACCGCCCACAACTTTCGGAGGATTTAGGCCATCAGAGGTGATAGCAGCCCGAAACAATAGCTGGTGCCTACTCAGGGCTTTTTTTGGTGAAGAATAAAACCGATGATTCCGGGGCTATTCCTACTTTGAAAAAATTAGAAAATAACTTCTAAGCCCAGGCAGCTCCTCTAGGGGCAAAGTGAACTGAATTCCCAATCCCTTTGGGGGCAACAAAGATGCAAAACCACAAGCCAGCAAGAAGTGAAGCAAATAATGAATAAAATGCAGTATCTAAACTTTTCCCACCATCAACGTGTACACATAAAACCCCCTTTCCCCTCCTCAGAATCTGTTCCCTTCATAGGTCAAACACAAGAAAAGAAAAGACAATCTCGCTCACACCCTAACCCCCTTCACCCTCAAAATCCCCATCCTCTTAACCAACCCTCCAACCCCAACTCCATACCTCGCCTTCTTCTCCTTCTCCCCAGCTTTCTTCTGCTCTCTCCCACCCCTACCCCCAATTCCACCCCCGACCCCATTCCGCTGCCCATCACTGCCCGTCCCTGTTCTCGTCCCACCCCTCTGCAACCCTTGCCCCTGCCCATCCGCAAGCGTACTCGTACTCTCAATGCCCACCCCTACCCCCTGGGCCCTCCTCCCCGCACCCGCACCCATACGTTCCAAACTGCCCCTCCCCCTCCTCAAACTCAGCAAGGCAATCTGCTCGCCCATAGTCGCCCTCTCCACCAGACACTCCAACCGGATATTATACCCCTCATCGACCAAGAAGGCGCTCAAGCACGCCAGACTGATCAGATCGCCGCCTAAGTCGTAGAACGACGTATCGAGGTTGAATTCGCTGGAGGAAGTGAGCGACTGCTTGCCCTTTGGCAAAACGATCCGCCACGCGCGACGGAGCGTGTCGGCGATGTCGTAGACCTCGCGTTTCTTGAGGCCCGAGAGCGTCGCTGCTAGAGAGGGGCGCTCGGGTTCAGGGTCTTGGTCCGCCGTGGTGGCGGTGGCGGTGGTGGTGGTGGAGGCGGTAGGCAGGGACGACGGAATGGTCGGTACGGGTTTGCGATTAGGTTCGTTCAGGAAAGAGGGGAGAGTGGAGTTCGGGGAGCGGGCAAGGTTGAGGGCGAAAGAGCAGAGCATATCAAGAGCCTTCTGCGCGAATTCCGTAGGGATATGTCCGTCTTCGATGAAGCCTAGCGCCACCTCCACAGTACCTTCGCTGTCTTTCGGTGTAGAGACGATAGTGAAATCCGATAGGTTTTCGCCGCTGCCGAGGAAGCCGATCTTGTATTTCGTGCGGTCGAGCCGCAGCGGCATGTCTTGCGAGATGTTCTGGTGCTGCACGATGCTGGAGAAGTAGGTCCATTCGGGCCAGTCGGTGCACTGCTGGATGATCTCGCGGAAGCCGAGGATCTCGTGCGACATACCTGCTACTTGCTGCGCTTGCACGCGGCGTAAGAGATCGAGCGCTGTAGATTTCGATTCGAGTTTGAAGCGAACGGGGACGATGTTGACGCAGGGTCCGACGACGTCGGAGACGTCGGGGACGGAGGCGTTGCGTCCGCTGATGAGGTTGCCGAAGCAGATGTCTGAGCGGCCCGAAAGCTGGGCGAGGGTGAGTGCCCAGGCGGCTTTGAAGACGGTGGAGGGGGTAACGTTCTTAGAGTTGAGGGCGGGGAGTTTGATTTCTTTCTTCAGGACGGTGGTGGAGACGTCCGAGAGGTCGTATTGGGGTTGTTGGCGGTCGATGATGCTGGTCATGGACGAGCCACGGAGGAGAGTGCGCCAGTAGTCGAAGTGGTCTCTGCTTGTGGGGCCGGCGGCTTGGATGGCGTATTGAGCGAAGGAGGGTGCGGGGAATATCTCTTGACCTTCGTAGCCTGCTTTCAGGGCGTCGATGATCTTGGGGAGGCACATGCCATCGTATTGAGCGTGTGAGATTCTAATGATAATGCGGTGGTTCATAGTCGTGATATTCCTAAGAACATTGAATTGAATGAAGGGCTCTCCAAGTCTGGGAAAGGAGTCGCGGCCAGTGTCCCGGAGATTCCGAGTAAATTCATCAAAGTCGTCATTTGTATCATATACGTGAAATTGCGGCCGAAGGTTGCGTAAGACCACCTGCAAGAAGCGATCTCCACAATGCACAAAGACTGTGCGCAGGATGTCGAAGTTCTGCACAACCTTGTACGCGCTTCGTCGAAGAAGGGTCAGATCCAAAAAGCCTTGGCCATCGAAGAACATGTAATTCAACATCCAGCGCGGTTCGATGAGTGTGCCCATGACAGACAAGGCTTGGAAATCAGTGACGGGGAGAACATCGACAATGCCACCTCGGAAGACACCAATCTTCGGACAGATATAATCTTGAATAAAGGCCTCAACATTTGCGGCACCAAAGTATGAGAAGCGTGCTTGTTGTTCCATGTCCTTCGCATCAGCGTCATCGATGACCGGTTGATCTTGTGTCTGTTGAGCTTTCTGCTCAGCTACTGCGGTGACATAATCTGCCATGTCTGAGAAAATTGGTTTAGTGAACACGTCCGCAACAGTAAGGTCTAATCCGCCGTTGTGAGCTGTACGTGCCAATTCCATCGCAAGAATCGAATCGCCACCAAGTGCCAAGAACGAGTCTCCGTTGTGAATCTTGCCCTCTGGCATTTGAAGCAGAGTACTCCACAGAGACCGCAATGTTTTGTATACGGCTTGGGATGCTGCAGACACAGGCTCGATGGCTTTGCTCGGTGCAGGCGGCTCAATTTCTTTGGGACTGGTGAGTTTCTCCACCTTGTCAGTCACCATACTCGTCATCTGCGCCGCGTCGGGCTTGTAGCGAACCAAGTCGCCATTCTTGAAGAGTTGTTCGAGAACCTCTTGCACGCAATCTTTGACGAGGCTACGGTACATCTCAGGCTGCATGATAGGCTGGATGGGCGGGAGGGCAGGTAGAGTCGGCTGAATGACCTGACTTGGACCACTTGCGGACTCTGCCATTGGCTCATCGCTAGCTTCGATCTCCTTGACGCGGACCTCGTTGACTTGAGGGGTTTTTACCTTCTGCTTTTCTTTCTTCTTGATGGAATTGCTGGGCGCGGGGATCAACTTCGAAGCCATATTTTTATGTTCTTGATCGAATTCTGCGACTGTCTGATGAGGGTGGTGTAAGATAGCTTCGAGGATATCTGCATAGGCTCCCGTCAGCATCTCCGCCTCCGCGACTGAAACATGAGAAGTCCAGTGTTTGATGCATGCTCCTTCATAGCCTGCAGCGGTATGAATGTTGACGGTGATCTCGAACTAAAACTGCTATCAGCCATTGCGTATCTACAGGTGTATATAGTACTTACCTCAGTTGGGTCATGACCAGAGACTTGCTCAAAAGCAATGGTATTCTCAGTCTCCTCCTCTTCACCTGCAATCTTTTGATTCTGAAGGGAGCAAGCAGTATTGAACATCGGCTTCCCAGCGAAGTCGAGATCATGCTGAATCTTGGCCAGCGGACAATGTTGATGGGGCAAGCTGTTTAGAAAATCGTCCTGAATCTTGCGGAAGACATCTTTCAAAGGTGTAGACGATCCGAACTTGACGCGACAAACCAACATGTTAATAAAAGCGCCAACTGCGTCTTGTATTCCTTCAATCGGCGCATCTCTACCAGCAGATAGATTTCCAAAGCAAACATCATCTTGATGGGTGTATTGTCGCAAAACGAGCCCCCAGGCCCCTAGCATCACATTCGAGAAGGTAAGCTCATTACTCTTGCAGAACGATTGCAGTTCTGGAAATTGGCTGAAATCAAGGTAGACTGCGTTTAGTCGGCGGGTCTCGGGGGCTTCACCGTTCAAGGCTGGGAGGAGGCAACTTTGCAGACCACTCAGAGATTCTTTCCAATATTTCGCTGACACGCTGAGTGGACGGCCCATGATATACTTGATGTACTCAGAGTACAATGGTCGGTATTCCTCCAAGTTGTCCTCATAGGCCAAAGCCAGATCACGCATCATTATGCCTACTGAAAGACCGTCAAGGACTGCATGGTTCAATTCCAGCTTTGCGTAAGCTTTCCCAGAAGACGTGGTGCAGATAGTCATCTGATGCGGTGATTTGGGAACCCTAGATTTGTTTTCATTCCGCAAAGAAATCTTCGCCAATTCCGTCTCGTAGGCTTCCTCTTCGCAATGCACGACCTTGGCGCTTCCATCGACATGCTTGAGAACGACTTGGTCAAATGCATGACCTTTGCATGCGCTATATGTGAAAACAGCTCGGAGCAGCTGATGGTGGTCGACGACTTTCTGCCAGGCATCTACAAGTCTCTGAACGTCAAATGGGATATCTTTACCCATCTTGATCTCGGAGATGATGTAGCTGTGATAAGAATCGGGCGATCTGATCTGCGAGAGTAGGAGGCCGTCCTGTGTCGGAGCGCAAACCATCATTTCCTCAACCTCTCCGATAGAAGGAATCCCAGCCTTTGGAAAGGTATCTTTCGTGAGCCTAGTCAAGCCTTTGTAGGTGGTGGGGAGTAATGGGTAGTCACTAAGGGTCGGTTCCGGTGCATGATCAAGTAAGTGCTCAGCGAGGTCCATGAGGACTTGCTGGCACTTGATAATCCAGTGCTTGATACCCTCTTGACGTTTCATGTGCTTGTTGTACATGAAAGTCATCTTCAGCTGATCGTCGGTCATTGCAGCGCTGACTTCAAATAGAGCCAATCTTGCAGTACGTGGTCCTACATCTCCTAGGGCTTGCTCATCAATGCCAACCGGTTGGAAGTCGAAAGGCTGCAGTAAAGCTTTATCTTGTTCACCACCCTGCTGCTGACCACGTCCAAAGTAATTGAACATTATCTCCATGGGCGAGTGACCATCGAATCGATCTTTCGGGTCAGCGGCATAAAACCGACGGGCCATGTATTCCAGACCATTGAGGGGAACACTTCGCTTCAAATCCTTCGCTTCCTTCAAAGTGTCCATGAGATTATCATTCTCAATCTCACTTGGTAACAGTATCGGTGCTAGACTTGTGAACCAACCTACCGTGCCCGACAGATCTATCGATGAGTCCCAGGTCTCACGTCCGTAGCTTTCATTGAACACCGTCGGAACAGATCGATTAGGGAATACACGACGGAAAGAGTATATGAGTCCGCAAAGAAGGATCTCAATTGGTTGCGTCGCCATCGCTTTGTTCGACTTTGTTAAGATCAAGTCTGTAGTCATTTTGTCGAGCTCAAAACTTTCTATTTTTGTCTCACCGTAGACATTAGGCCTATCTGCCATGCCCCAGAAACTCTCATCAGCTGGATTGATTTCGAATGGGAGGGCCTCTTGAGTCTGATCGGGTATATTTGCTGTTGCATGGCTCTTCTGTAAGGCAAGCCATACTTGGAAAGACAAAGGCTTCTCGATTGTCTGGACATCGAAGCTGAGTAAGGCTTCTAATTGCTGAAGGATGACGTTCCAAGACACCACATCAACGACCATGTGATGCGCCACCAATGAAAGTATTTGACCTTCCGTGGGTGTATCCATTAGATCCACAGCCAGCAGTGGTCCGGTCTCGACGTTCATACATGCTTGACTGTTTGCAATCGCTTTCGCGATGGGCTGAATGTCGTCCAGCTCATGCTCCAGGAAGCGATATGATTCCAGAACCTGCGGGCTGATCTTCTGTTGCCACCTGCCCTTGTCATTCTTGATATATCTCGCCCTAAACATCGAATGCTGCTGCACAAGAGTCTCAATAGCCTTCCTCACAGTGGTAGCACTGATATTGCGAGAGATTTTGACAAGCTGACTTTGATTGAATCGCTGGCTACCAGCATGACTGCTATCGGGCCCTTGCATCTGGAGGTAGAGCTGCTGAATGGGCGATAGATCGAAGGCCTCGTCGACCTTCTCCTCCATGTTCGGTATGTTCCCAGCAGCTGTAGGATTGCGATCAGAGTCGACAAGCTTCCCAAGCTGGATTAATGACTTGCTCTGCAGCACATTCTGCACTGACATGCTGATGCCAGCCTTTCGACAACGCATGATAATCGACATCGAAGTCAACGAATCGCCTCCAAGGTCAATGAAAGATCGACTGAGACTGACTTCATCGACGGGAATGTTGAAAACGGCGCCCCAGATTTCGCGCAACTGTCTAACAGTTTCAGTCACCTCGACAGGCCCAAAGGAAGTTTCTTCTTCAGTCATGACAATATTATAGGCGCGTTGATCGATTTCGTGGATGTATTTTTCCACTCTTTTCTTGTCAATCTTGCCGGACACCATGATGGGAACCTCTTGCATGATCACCCATATAGTGGGACACATATATGAAGGCAATTCCTCAACCAAGGACTCTTGTATCTCTTTCCGCTGTTGGCGAGCTGTCTTCAGCTTTTGCGCATCTTCAAGGAGCAGGCATTTGCTCGCGGCCGTAGCCTTTGCTGCACTCGTGATTGAGGAAAGCGAGATTACTGCCACAATACGGCCCTTGCACCGCCCTACTTTGGGCAAGAAGGTGACACCGTGTTGTAGTCCCTCTTGAATCTTCAGCTTGGCATCTATTTCTTCAAGCTCTAGTCGTTGTCCGTTGAGCTTGACTTGGTTATCTCTTCGTCCGATATATTCAATACTCATATCGTCATTGTAAGAAACGAGATCACCAGTGCGATAAAGTCGTTCCGGCCCATTTTCGAACCGTTGACTCCAAGCGGGCGTCTCGATGAAAGCTGCTGCAGTCTTGTCTTCGTCTGCCAGGTAGCCACGTGCGAGACAAGGGCCTTCCAAGAAGAAGTTCACCAATGCTGCCCACGGGCGCCAGGCGATTAGGATTGTTGGGATCCGTCAGCCACGTTCGAACATTGTCATGTCCAAAGCCGATAGTCTTTGGGTTCATGAATTCTGATACTCGACTGTTTGTCACCGTGATTACAGCTGCCTCGGTTGGACCATAGCCATTGATCAGCCTGACCTCACCAGCCCACTGCTCAGCATTATCCATTGTCATTGGTTCGCCTCCACAGACTAGAACTTTCAACGACGGCGTGAGTGCAGGGTCCACGAGCTTTGCCACAGACGGTGTCAAGAACGTCCAAGTGACCTCGTAATTCTTGATAGCGGCCGACAGATCGAATTTCAGGTCATCACTATTGGGGATGCATATGCATGCGCCTAAGGTCAATGGCGACAAGATCTCCATCATAGCCACATCGAAAGTGTATGAAGCATAGTTCAGAACTCGTGACTTTGAGCTCATCATTTGAGCCTTGCAGTATGCGTCGGAGCCAGAGCAAAACGCCTCATGCTCAATCACTACTCCTTTCGGGCGTCCAGTGGAACCGGATGTGAAAATGACATAAGCTGCATTCTTGCTCGTAGTCGTTGTGTCCTCCACAGCCGGAGAAAGATTTGTTTTCAGGCTATCTAACGCGAGTTCCTCGATGACCATGAGCCTCTCAACTGACCCTTCATATCGTTCCTTATACTCAGGTGAGCAAAGAAGGATCTTTGCCTCAGTATCTTGAATGATGTCTGTATGCCGACTCAACGGGTGCGCTGGATCAAGAGGAACGATGGCACCACCTGCCATCAGAATAGCAAGCTGCGCTACAATAGCCAGACTCGACTTTTCCATACAGAATGGCACATACACTTCGGTGGTGACTCCTAGACTCCTTAAGTGGCCGGAAAGTCGTTCTGCCATCTCTTTCAGCTCGACATAAGTCAAATTGCCATTCCAAGCGCAAACAGCTTGAGAATGAGGAGTCGAATCTACTTGCTGAAGGAAGAGCGCTTGTACAGTCTGCTCCACTGTTTGGGGAAGATACTTGTTGACTTCTCGAATGGCGGTAATGTCCGCATCGCTGATGACCTCTACCTCACCGACTTTTTGCAAGCTTTCGGGAGTAGTGGAGCACACTTGGAGTAGTACGGACCCAAATTGCTTCATAATCCGCTGCACCTCTGTTTCCGATAAGATGAATTCATTGTAGTGAGCGGCAAGTCGAATGCTCGATTCACTGGTATCACATTCCAATACAAGAGGATAGTTGAAGAACTTGGAGCTGATACCATTGTCGACCGGGTCCCACAATTTGCTGCTGTCAACTTCATCCTCAGAAGTCTGAATGACTAGAAGATTTCGGAACTCAGAAGCTAAAGCTGTCTCATGATTGATTCGTCGGATATTCTGCAGGCCTATGTGCTGATGTGGAATCATCTCTGCTGTTGATTGATAGACTTCCTGCAGAAAGTCTGCCACGGTGGCTTCCGGCCTGGTCTGGTATCTTGCTGCTACCGTAGTAAATGTCGGCCCAAGCATGTCCATGATACCTTCGATAGGTATGTCTCGTCCAGTCATAGTCTCACCATAGACTACATCTTCAGATCCGGTGAGTGCGGAGAGCATGATTGCCCAGGCAGCTCTCACGATTGTCGGATAAGTGATTCCCGGCATTTTTGGCTTATGTGGCATTTCAACAACGTGACTGAACGTTTTCATTTCGACCTCCTCAGACTCCGAGGCCGAAACAGATGGAAAATGCGCAGTCTGCAAGTCTTCAAATTTCGAGCTCCAGAACTGTTCCCAGGTTTGTTTGTCACTTTGCAGAATATAGTCGATGTAATGGGCGTAAGGAGCCTGAAATGGTTGCAGAGATCCTTGAGAATAGATATCCTCCACGCGTTGCAACATTCTAGGCATGCTCCATCCATCATAGACAGCGTGATGAGTCGAAAAGATAAAGAAGTGGTCTTGTGACTTTGAGTCGGTCACGAGGGCAAATTGCACCAGTGGGGTTCCATTACTTTCCGGAAGTTGAACAGAGGAAGCTTCTTCCGTGGAATCTGGGTAGCGCCATTGAATCTGCTCATTGCTTATCACAGCCTGTACAAAAGTGTCATTGCTCGTATGCAACACTCTCGTTCTGAGAATGTCCATTTCCTCAAAAGCAGTCTGCCAAGCCGCCTTGAAATGGTCAAGATTGATCGACTGTGGCAAGCGGAAGACGTTGTGAGCAACATAAGCACCACTCTGTTTGGTTGAGAGAGTGATGAGGCCTTCCTGAAGAGGACTGCAAGGATATGCGTCGGCGATCTGGTCCTTCTGTATCTGACATTGTCCAACAATCTCATCGAGCAACAGCTCAAGGGATTCAACCTCCCACAGAAGGCTAAAGGGCTTGAGAGTTTTTTGCTTCTCCTCCTCAATCACAGTGCAGGTCGTAGCCATCTCCGCCAAAGTAGGCTTTCGGAAAATATCGAGTGAGCTGAGAGAGATCTTCTCCGCTCGAGCTGCAGCGCCTAGTCGCATACCAGTGACACTATCCCCACCGATTGCGAAGAAATTGTCGTCGCCACCAATTGAATCAGCTTTGACGTTCAAGATACTAGCCCAAAGGCGTTGCAATGTCTTTTCCATCTCTGTGGCCACTTCTTGAGTCTTCTCCTTCTTGCCAGCGGCGGCTGCCAGTCTATACGGGACAGAGTCAGAATGAGCCATAGTCTTGACTATCTTCTTCAGGAGCGGGCGGTCAAGTTTGCCCGACGCCGTCCACGGCATACGTGATACAGGTACAAAAAGTGAAGGGACCATGTAGGATGGAAGCGAGCCCGAAAGCTTGGACTTGAGGGCTTTGCCAAGTGAAGTAGCTTTCTCGGACATTGGAAGAAGCAAGGCGTCTTCGTCTGAGGTCTGTTGCTTTGCAGCATCCGGGTGGTATAGGAAGGCTGCTATTGCGTTGCCCTGACCAGCTGGAGCGACCATCTCCACAGCCGCCTCCACTCGCTCGGGAAGATGCTGTTTGACATGATACTCAATATCTCCCAGCTCAATGCGCAGACCATTCATTTTGATCTGGGTGTCCTTGCGCGCGACGTAGAGGATCTCACCCAAAGCATTGTAGCGAACTAGATCACCAGTCTTGTAGATTAATGTTGAATGGCCGCTAGCAACATCTTCCTCGTCATAGCTCATCCATGCAGGACGAGGGACAAAGGCTTTGCTAGTCTTCTCCTCATTATTGAGATAGGCACGCGCGACCGTGTTGCCTTCCACGACAAGTTCCCCGACGCTACCAATCGGCATAAGTTGATTGTGATCTTGAGGATTGACAACCCAAGCTCGACCACCTATGCCGCGACCTATATTTGCTGGATCCTCATCCAAGAGTGATCCGCCCAGATCAACTTTTGTACTCGTAGTGGCAATGACAGCGCATTCAGAAGGGCCATACGCATTGACAAGAGCAGTCGAGTTGCGCCACTTTTCGATGTGTTTCGTTTGCATTGCTTCACCGCCAGTCACGAGGACTTCCAGTGTGGGGACGCTCTCCGGCGTTAGCATTTTTGCTACTGAAGGTGTCAAGAGTGTCCATGTCACCGACATGCGATTGATGGCTCCAATGATGTTGTTCATGCGTTCTTCATCGCTTGGAATACAGATGCAGGCTCCAGTCATAAGAGTGGTGAGAATTTCCATGACTGAGGCATCAAAGCAGAGGTTTGAAAATTGAAGAACGCGGGATTTCTGACGCATGAGAATCGCAGGCGCATGTTCTGTGGCACCAGTTGCGAATGCGTGATGAGCAATGATTGTTCCTTTAGGGTTCCCCGTCGTCCCACTGGTGAAGATTAAATATGCTGCGTTGGCTGGAGTCAATGACTTCGTTGCTCCGGCGGAAGGAGGCAACGGTAGTCGTTGGAAAGACTCATCCACAACAAAGGTGCTGAGGTCAGGTATGTCCGCAAACTTCTCTCTGTACCTAGCAGAACAGAGGACGATCTTCGCTCCAACGTTGTCGATAATGTATTTGATGCGGCTATCGGGATGAGAAGGCTCCAGGGGAACAAATGCCCCACCGGCCTGCAGCACACCTAGCATGGCTACTACGGCCCAGGTGGACTTCTCAAAACACAGCGGGATGTATTTCTCTGGGCCAACACCAAGAGATACCAAGTGCTTCGCGAGTCGCTTCGACAAGGACATAAGCTTGACATATGTGAGATTCATGTCCCAAGAGCAGATCGCAGGGGCGGTAAGCGGCAGAGTCTGTGATTGCTGATAGATGACATCGTGCACGCATTTATCGACCTTCGGCAATGGCCGATCATTCCAGTCAAAGATCTGCTGCTGATGGCTTTCACTGCAGGTCTCAATTGCACCAATTGTTTGCTGCTTATTCTGAGTCGTCAACATCGAGAGTAAGATTTGTTCAAATGTCTCTGAGATGTTCGTAGCTTGGGTATCGCATAAGAAGTCCGTCCAGTAATTGAATGAGACATCGATACCGGCCTCCAGTGCCTCAACGTTGACAGTGAGGGGATACTCGCCTGGATCATAAGCATGTAAGACGTCGCAAAGGAGCTCGTCACCTTCAGGCTTGATCGCGTTGAATCGTCTTTGGAAAGTGAAGACAGTATTGAAGAGAGCAACGCCGGAGCCTAGCTCGTGTTGAATGTCACTCAACGAGAAAGCTTGGTGAGTGGTGCTCTGGATGTAGTCGTTCTGTACCTGACCTAGCGCCTTTCTTACCGCCATTTCGCTGCTCAGATCTATGCGGCAGACTAACATTGAGATGAAAAGGCCAACGGCATTCTGGATTCCTTCGACCGGGACATCGCGTCCTGCGCTGATGTACCCAAAACATACATTATCGTTGCCGGTGTACACGCGAAGCACGACAGCCCATACTAGCTGCAGAAGGTTGGATAGAGTGACACCTCGCTGAGCGCAGAACGAGTGCAATTCAGTAAGGTCTTCCAACTTGAGCTCACAAGAGCGGTGCTCGCGCTTGGGGCTAACGCTGTCTAGCAACGTTGGGAAGGAGCAAGGCTCGGCATTCTGCAGATAGCGCCGCCAGTATGTAAGATTCGAGTCATATGAGGTCTTTGATATGCACGAGATGAAGTCCCGATTCGTTGGTGCGGGCACGACTTCATCCGTCGTGGTATTGTAGAAACGTGCAAGATCTTGGAGAATGATGGCAACGGATGTTCCGTCACAGACAGCGTGACTCAATTCGATCTTGCAGAATACCTTCCTAGATGTCGTCTCACATGTAGTGAAGCGATGATGCGGCTGTGGTCCGAAGAAATTGATAGGTTCTTGCTTCTTCAGAGTTTCGATTGCGTTGGCTGCGTGCGATTGAAGTGAAACAACATTTGGCTCAATACTCTTGACGACAGCTTGGTCCATCAAGCCTTCCTTCGACAAGCTTTCGATAAAGACAGTTCGGAGGGATGGGTGCGTCTGTACGACCATTCTCCAAGCCCTCGCGAGCTTCTTTGAGTCTATAAGGGTAGCCGAGTTGGCAAAGCGGGCGACGAAGATGTTTTGATACATGTATTGCCCAGGATTCTTGACTTGACTGAGAAGAACGCCTTGTTGCATCGGCGAAGAAGCATAAACATCCTCGATGTTTGCAAGCGAAGCAACACCTACTGAACGTACTCTCTCCTCTAATTTCTCCGTGCCTTTGTACGTCAATGGTAGAAGAGGGAAGTTGTACTGTGCAGCATCAGATTTGACTTTGAGAAGCTCCTGTGAGGCACGCTGCAGCATCTTCTTCAATCCCGTCATCCATAGCTGGATAGAGTGCTGACGCCGGATTTTGCGAGGAAAAGTCAGTGACATCTGCAGCGCATTATCGACCACGCCTGCAGAGATCTCGAAGAGTGCAAATCGTGGTATCTCTGGACCGACATCAGATCGTGAAGAAAGCTCATCCATAGTCTGCAGTAAGGCGCCGCTATCATGACGGCCCTTCTTCTGCTGGCCTGAGTAATTGAAGGCTATTTCCATAGGCCAATGAGCCGCAAAGTCAGCCCTGCCCTTCCCAGTCAACATTCGATGCGCAAAATACTGCCGCCCTTTCTCGCTTGTGCGACTCCTTATATCCCTAACCCATCGAAGTGTACTGACAATGTCATTATCTTTGCCGGCTTCAGAGGGCAGGAACACGGGACTAATAGTCGTGAACCATCCAATAGTATGTGAGATATCGATGCTTGAGTCCCATTGCTCACGACCGTGGGCCTCATTGAAGACTGCTGGAGGGACTCGCCTGTCCGAGAATGTCCTTGAGAACGAGAGGAGGATAGAGCCGAGTAAGACATCTATCAGCTCGGTATCCAATGCACGATTGCATGGTCCCAGTAAGCTTTCCGTTGTTTTTGCCTCGACTTCTAGTTCAAGAGTCTTGACCTCTCCATATAGATTCGCAGCGTCTGCCATTCCCCAGTACGAAAGGTCTGCTAGTGGGACTTCATGGTCGAAACTCAGTCCAGATGTGGCCTCATCCTGGGCGCGCTTTTCCTGCAAGCCATTCCAAATCTGGAACGGAAGTGAAGCAGGAGATTTTGCCTTCCTGAATGTTAAGAGATCCTGAAGATCTTCTTGAATAATGTTCCAGGACACAATATCGATCACGAGATGGTGTGCAACAAGAGCAAGTACCTGCGAGCCACTTTCGTCAGACTCGAACAGATCGACAGCGAAGATTGGCCCCTTTTGGATATTAAGGCTTCTCTGCGTGATCTCGACAGAGGAGCCTATCTGCGCCGCCGTGGTTTTGCCCGGGTGATGATTGATGCGGTAGGATTTCATAGGCTCCTTATCAACTTTCTGCGCCCACTGACCACTTCTGTCTTTCTCAAAGCTCGCTCTAAGCATAGAGTGCAACTTCACGAGCTCTATGATTGCTGTTGAGACCTCTTCCAACCCCATCTTGCGCGACAAGCGCATAACGCTGCTCTGATTGAAATGATGGCCGTGATTTCCGACCCACTCGAAATACAGTCGCTGCATTGGCGACAAGCTGAATGGCCGATCATATTGCTCATTACCGAACGATACCGTCTGCGCCACACTGACATTGGAAGCTAGCTGTCGAATCGATGTACTTCTAATGATGTCTTGGACAGTCACACTGATGCCCTCAGCGCGACATTGCGACAGTACTTGAAGCGCAGAAATAGAGTCGCCACCAAGGAACAAAAAGTTCTTGTCCATCCCCGTCTTCTCGACTGGGAGATCGAGAGCCTTTGCCCAGATCTGCTGCAGCTTCTTCTCAATCTCGTTACCAGACCCATCGACCACCTGACCTTCGTCACCAGAGATCTTGTTCAAGACCTCATCAGGTAGTGTCTCAAGGAACGTTGTAATCTTTCTGCGATCGAGCTTACCGCTTGGCATCATGGGTATAATTTGCAGTGTCACCCAATTTGAAGGAACCATGAAAGGCTGAAGTTGGTTGCGAAGATAGTCTCGAACGCGCTGAACGTACGTTGAGGAATCTTTCTGCACCACGACGTCGAGCTCCTCATGCGAGATACTTGTGGGCAGATCCTCAGTCAATGAAATGACAGCAACTAGTCGCTTGTTGAAGTGACCAGCTTTGGGGATGAGAGCAAGCGCATGCTTTACCGAATGGTCTTGCCGTAGATGATGTTCAATCTCACCAAGCTCTAAGCGCTGACCATTTAGCTTAGTCTGGTTGTCTTTTCGGCCGGAATACAGCAATGAGCCGTCTTCAGAGTATCTGACCAAGTCGCCAGTCTTATATATCTTCTGATAAGCTTGGGTCTCTGGCAATTGGAACTTCTCCATCCATTTGGGTGTCGCGACAAAAGCGGCTTCAGTTTTTGCCTTTTCCTTGAGATACCCACTGGCCAGAATCGGACCGTGGATCACAAGCTCACCTGCAGCTCCGACGGGAACCAACTCCTCATGGTCGTCTTTGTTGACGATGAAACATCTGCTGCCAACTGCTTTCCCAATACTAGAGAATTTGGAGTCAATAGTGACATGAGGTTGCACGGTCGCCACCACAGCAGCTTCACTGGGTCCGTAAGCATTCACAAGGCGAGTGTTGCCAGCCCAGGTGAGAACGTCGCTTTGAGACATAGCTTCTCCACCCAGCGCCAATGTCTTCAGTCCAGGAACCGTAGCAGGCGACAAGAGCTTAGCGAAAGACGGAGTCAACAGAGCCCAATTGACTCCGAGGTCGTTAATCGCTTTGGCTACGTCGTCGAGGCGTGTCTTTTCGTCTGGTACGCAAACACAGCCACCCACAAGAAGGGTAGATAGAATTTCCATGACCGACGCATCGAAGGTGTATGAGGCGAACTGAAGCACCCTTGATGTTGCTTGCATTCCCATAGCCGCGCCGTGAGCGAGCGCACCGCTAGAGAATGCGGAATGAGAGACCAGAGTGCCTTTAGGTTTGCCTGTAGAACCGCTAGTAAAGATAATGTAGGCAATATCGTCGCTTTTGACAGCAGGAAGGGATCTGAGATCTTTGGGGCATTCGAAGACAGCCTTCTGATCAACCACAATTGCTTTAGCGCCAAGTGAGTCGCAAAGTTCCTTGTATTTCGGGGAGCAAAGGACATGAGTAGCATCAGCATCTTGCGCGATACCCTGAAGGCGAGCCTTGGGGGCTGCCCCATCGATAGGAACGAACGCAGCTCCAACCTTCATGATTGCCAACATCGCAATGATTGTCAAAGCAGATTTCTCGAAGCAGATCGGCACATAGCTGCCGTGACTCACACCAATTTGTCGCAGATAGTTCGCGAAAGACGTCGCAACAGCATCCAACTCACGATATGTAAGTTGAGCGTCCCATGCGCAAACGGCAGGATTCGATCTCGGGAGACTTTCTGCGTTGTTGCGAACGATCTCATGCACACAAGTACCCACGTATGTTGGCGATACACTGTTCCATTTTCTGATGACAGCTTCATCTTCTGCGAGAAGCATGCGCATTTGGTCGAGCTGAGAAGATGCCGTTTCGGGCGCGTTGAGCTGGGTCAGAGCACACTCGAAGTATTTTATCAGCCGCTCGACTTGCCACTCTGAGATGCACTCGGGGTCGAAATGAGCGTCCATCTCAATATCTGCGGCATGGACATCGAAAGCTACGGTAAGTCCGTAGGTAAAGAAGGCAGCTCCAGACCCTGCTGCCTCTTCGATCTGGAAGAAGTCCGCCGTATCGGGTACCTCGTTGTTGATGGAGATCAGATTTTGGAACTCGGTCGCATTGTTAGTGTCATCATCGATACGCTTGATTTTCAGCAGCCCCATATGCTGGTATGGTAATGCTTCGGTGAATTCCTCTTGGAAGCGCTTCAGATAGTGTCCTACATTAAGGTCGCGCTTGGCCTGGATTCTGATAGGCACAGTAGCAAAAGCAGGACCAGTCATGTCAGTGATGCCTGGTATTGGGGTGTCCCTACCGGAGAAGATCTCGCCAAACATGACGTCTTCCGAGTTCGAATACGCTGAGATAGTCAGGCCCCAAGCGGCTCGGATCAGCATTGGCGTCGTGATTTCGGCGCCGCGCTTTCGCGACATTGACATGAACCTCAGCAGACGACCCGTTGGGTTGGGTTGGTATGTAGGCTTCGGTAGCGCAGGAAATTGAGGCGATGTAGTGCCAGCTAGTCGTTGCTGCCAGAAGTTCGTGGACTCTGCTTTGTTGTCGTTCAAAATGAATCGAATGAATTGAGGATAGACTGCCGCCTTTGTTGAGGAAACTACAGTAGACCCACGGTCGTAGAACGCTCGAACCTTCTGCAAGATCAATGGTATCGACCATCTATCATACAAGGCATGATGAATGGTAAGCACAAATTGAAACTTCTCGTCGCTGTCCCTCAAGATGGCAACATCAGTCAATCCGCCGCCACTATATGATTCCTGGAATTTGCGGGTATCGTATTTATCATCCAAGCTTTCCAGCTCCGTCCACGAGACTGGTACATTGACCACAGATTGTAAGAAACCCAGAGACTCAGTGAACACAATACGGGTTCGCAGAATATTCTCTTCTGCAACGACAGCCTGCCAAGCCACTTTGAACCTGTCGACGTTGACAGAAGAAAGACGATAGACTGTCTGGGCAACATAAGCGCCGGGTCTCTTGCTGCTCAAAGCGATGAGGCCTTCTTGCATGGGTGTGCAGGGATAGATATCCTCAACTTGTTTCTCGTCAACGTTGCAGAGTCGAGAAACATCACGTTGAACTTCACTCAGCGGCACTTTCGCAGGTAAGAGTTCAAAAGGCTTTGGTATCGAATGATCCAACTTCGTCAGCGCATCGGAGACTTGAGCAGTCTCACACATCTCAGACAAAGTAGCGTTCCGGAAGATATTAGCAACCGTGAGATTGATGCCTTGATCCCTAGCCGCAGTGACAAGTCGGATAGCTGAGATTGAATCGCCGCCCATACGGAAGAATTGCGAGTTCATGCCGATAGTTCCAGCCTCGAACTTGAGTACAGTCTCCCAGAGCCCGGCCAGAGTCTTTTCAAGCTTTGTCGAGGGCATCTGGCCGCTGCTGCTGGCGAGCCTATACATGGCGCATTGACTCTCATTGAAGTTTTGTGCAGTAGCGCGCAAGTGCTTTCGATCAAGCTTTCCAGACGCCATCAAAGGTAGCTTGTGTAGAGGCACGTAGACCGAGGGAATCATATGCTTTGCGAGAGACTCGACCAAAGCTGCATTCAATTCATTGAAAGTCGTTTGCAAGGAGCCTGAGATTGGTAGTAGACCGTTCTCGCCAGCAGTTGCTGTAGCGGTTTCGTTAAACTGCGGACAGACAAACAACGCAAGAGCCTTTTGACCGCCACCAGGGGTGACGAGCTCGACACCGAATTGCCAATCGGCTGGTAGCTTGCTGCGTATGTGGTACTCGATCTCGCCCAACTCGATCCTGAGACCATGGAATTTAATCTGCTGATCTTTGCGGCCAATGAAGGCGAGAGAGCCGTCAGAGTTATATCGAACGAGATCACCAGTCTTGTACATGCGGCGCCGACCGGGTGTTTGACCTTGATCAACGGTCCATGCTGGATTCTCGATGAAGGCTTTATCTGTCTTTTCCTTGTCATTCAAGTAGCCTCGAGCCAGAATAGGTCCTTCGAGTAGTAGCTCTCCAGCGCAGCCAAGAGGTACGAGGCGATCATGATTGTCCGGTTCGACAACCCAGGAGACACTGCCAATGGCGTGTCCGATGCTTGAAGGATCGCTGTCTTTCTGGATGTTCGTCCTATGCGTGGAGTTGACGGAGCATTCGCTTGGACCGTACATATTGTGGATTTCGATGTGATCCCCCCATACTTCCAAGACAGCTCTCGTCATTGCCTCACCTCCGAGGACCATCTTCTTGACTCTCGTCATTTCCAGTGGCTTGAGGTACATTGCGACAGTGGGGGTGAGATCCATAAAGTTCACGTCCAATCTGGACACCGCGCCTGCAAGATCATTCATACGGTCATGTTCGGATGGCACGCAAACGGTACCACCACGTTGCAGCGTCGTGAACACTTCTTCAAGACTGTTATCAAAAGTATAGCTCGCGAATTGCAGAGATCTGAAATTGTTGTCAAAGCCCACAGCGTCACCGTGAGCCTTGGCACTCGTAGCAAACGCCCGGTGCTCTACCACCACACCCTTTGGCTTTCCCGTGCTGCCACTTGTGTAGATGACATAAGCTGGGTTATGTGGTTGAACTGGATTTCGACCTATGGTTTGCAAATGCTTGAGGTCATTAAGATAGGGCTGATCCACCGCAATGATATGTTGCTCCATGCTGTCAAAGAGAGTTTTATAACACGGTGAGCACATTATGACTCGGGCCTGAGTATCACTGATCCGCAGCTCAAATGCCGCCTTTGGATGCATTGGGTCTAAGGAGACAAAGGCACCGCCAGCTTTCAGCACAGCCAGCTGCGCGACGACGGTATATGCAGACTTTTCAAAACAGAGACAGACGAATGACTCTGGACCTACGCCTAGGTGGCTGAGATGGCTCGCAAGTTTCCCTGCTAGCGCATCAAGCTCAGCGTAGGTGAATGCCGCATCCCATCCTCGGACGGCTTCTTTGTCGGGGTAGAGTGCGACCTGATCAGACACAACATCGTGGATGCATCGGTTGATGGTAGGCGGCATATTCTCGTTCCAGCTCAGAAATTGGCGATGGTCGAAATCACTTACGGTATTCAGCTGCCGAGTTTTAGTCTCCGAGTGCTCTATGATGTTCTGTATGGCATGCAGGAAATTGTTTGCGACGAACGTAGCATTTCCATCAGACATAACATCAGTCCAGTAATCGAGGGTGATGTCAGCTTTTTCGTCACCCACCTCGATGTTTATCGAGACGTTGTATTCTGTGGGATCATAGTATGGTGCTAACTCAACGAAAGAAATGTCGCGGTTTTCAGGTGCAACGGCAGGCGGTAGTCTGCGATAAGAAAGCGAGGTATTGAACAATGAGTCACCAGAGATTTTCAGAGCATGCAGTACCTCAGATAATGCTGTTTGTCGGTGGTCTTGGCTGTCTGAAAGATCCTTTTGAATTTGCTGCAAGACTGTAATGAGCGGCGTTTCTGTATCAAATTTGACGCGGCAGACGAGCATGTTGACCAGGTATCCTACGAGGTCGTCAATACCTTGAACGGCAGAGTCGCGTGTTGAGTTCAAGTATCCGAAGCACACGTCTTGAGATCCGGTGTAGCATTGAAGCGTCATTGCCCATGCCATATGGAACACATTCGCCAATGTAACGCTGTGTGTCTTGCAAAAGTCTCCTAGTATTTCCATTTTGTCGAAATTGATGTGCTGTGTCCGTAATACCCTCTCACTTGAAACGGCGTCGTTCAGAATTGGGAAAGAGCAGGGTTCCAGACCTGTGAGATATGACTCCCAGTGACTGATACTGTCTTCGGGGGAGCTGTCCTGCAGAAAGGCAATATAGTCCCTGTAAAGAGGTCCTGTCTCGCTCGAGATGCGACCTTCGTACGCGGAGACAAGCTCTTTGAAGATGGTGGAGAGTGATTGGCCGTCGACGATGGCGTGGCTGATCTCGAGTTGGCAGAATACTCTCCCTTCGGAAGTCTCAAGAATGGTAAATTTATGTGCGGGAACAGTATTGTTCTGCTCCATAACGCCTTGACTTTCCAGCATTTGGCCAGCATCGGCATCGTCGTCGCACGTCAAGCGCGGAATGTCGGCTTTCAGATTCTTCAGGACGACTTGATCGTAAAGTGCTTCGCCACCACTCGAGCTTTCAATGAAGATAGTCCTGAGTGAAGGATGTCGATCAACGACAGTCTGCCACGCCGCTGCTACGGCACCAGCATTGGTCCGTTCTCCGGCTCTTGGTTTCACTGCGTAAGTAGCAGCGATTGCATAATGGCCAGCATCTCTTTTCATACTAATTAGTAGACCCTGCTGTACCTGTGAGCAGGGGTAAATATCATCTACGTTACCTATGTCAATACCCAGCGAGGGAAGTTTCTCTAAAGTCAGTTTTCGAAGGGTATCATAATTCAAGGAAAGGAGAGGATAATCGCTCAAGGTAGGCTGATAGACCATCTGAGCAATCTTCGACGGCATCGTACACAGAACTTTTTCGCATTCGGTGATCCAGGCACCAACTTTTTCAAGGTGTTTTCCGTTTTTGTTAAACGTAAATGAAAAGCGAAGCTTGCCCTGCACAACAACCGCCGACGTCTCGAAGAGACCGAAACGTAGTGTGTCATGACCGTAGTCTGCTTTGCCGCCAGCGGCGCGAGCTTCACCCGCCATCTCTTCAGCAGGCACGAGGAGGGCACCTTCGCGTTCCAGCTGTTGGTAGGTGCCCAAGTAGTTGAAAGTGAACTCCAAAGGCCAGTGGTCTCTGAACCTTCGGGCTCCCTGCCTGGTGAGTTGGCGGCTTGCAAAGTAAGGTCGTCCGTTGCCAGGCACGGAGCGACGATAGTCTTTGACTTGCCGAAGGACGTCGATGAACTCTTCTGATCCAGCAGTGGCGACGAAGACAGGGTACAAAGTCGTGAACCAGCCAGCGGTTCGAGACAGGTCGATGGAGTTGTCCCAAACCTCCCGACCATGGCCTTCATTGAAGATTGCAGGCGACGGCCGGTCAGTAAAAGTCTTTGAGAAAGAATAAATCATCGCGGCTAGTAAGACATCGAGCGGCTCGGTACGGAGCGGGTCGTGACAACCGGCGACGATGACAGCGGTTGTGGCGGTATCTACTTCGAAACCTTGGCAGCTCACATTCCCATATGTATTTTGGGCCTCATTGATACCCCAGTAAGAGAAAGATTGCGCGGGGATCTCGTCTGTTTGCAAGACTTTGCTGACTGGGACTTCCTGCGCATTGTCGAATTGCAACTTGCACCAGGCTTGAAAGGATATGGATGGATCCGCTGCTGAGCCAGCCGTTGGGTTGGTGAGAAGCTCCTCTACTTCTTCCATAATTACGCGCCATGATACGAGGTCTATTACAAGGTGGTGCGCAGTCATGAAAAGGAGTTGAGTCCCATCTTTGACGTCGAAAAGATCTACCGCGAAAAGGGGCCCTTTCTCCGGATTGAGCGAGGCTTGACTTCGGGACATTGCTGGCACTGTGTCGTCTTTGGTGTTACATTCGTGATGCTTGAATGCATACGATCCAGTGACGTCCGAAGTGATCTTCTGCTTCCATTCCAATCCTTTCGACACCGGGCGGAAACGAGCTCGAAGCATCGAATGCCGGTTGACAATCGTCTTCGTCACCTGGTGCATCAGCGCTGGCTCCACGGGTCTTGTCACCCGAAGAAAGAAGCTCTGATTGAAGTGCCCTTTCTCCCGTGGGAGCTCAAAATACAGACTTTGAATCGGCGAGAGGCTGAAGTCCTCATCTAATTTCTCGTCAAATTGCGTCTGCTGTCCCACTGCTTGCGCAGAGCCGGCGAGCTGACGAATTGACTTTGCGCGAATGATCTCCTGGACTGAAATTCCGAGGTTGCGTTTTTTGCATTGGCTTTGGACTGTCATCGCCGTGATCGAGTCGCCGCCAAGACTCATGAAAGATTGACTCAGGCCAATCATGTTAGGCTGCAGATTGAGTACATGACTCCAGATGAGCCTCAGCTGCTCTTCAAGTTCCGTTGCTGCCTTCTCTTCTTTGACTGGTTTCCCTGATTGCACCCATCGCGAGTAGTCTGTATCGCTGATATCTTGGATGTAATTTGATACCATTTTTCGATCAAGTTTGCCGGACTTCAAGAGTGGGATTGAATTGAATACAAGCCATATTGACGGCATCATGAAAGCCGGTAGAAGACCCGAAAGCTGCTTCCGTGCCTGTTCGATGATTACTTGGGATTTCTCTTGGCCTTTGTTGTCCACCAAATGAAGGTGGTCGTTTTCTTCAGAAGATGCTCCTAATATGCCTTCATGTAGAGAAACAGCCGCCACCAGTCGTTGGGAACAAAGACCGTTCTTGGGCATGACTACAATACCCCGCTCGACAGACTCGCATGCACACAGATGATGCTCGATCTCACCGAGCTCGATGCGTTGTCCATGATGTTTCACCTGCGTATCTTTTCGCCCGACAAAGAAAAGCATGTGATTCTTAGTATGATAACGAGCGAGGTCCCCAGTCTTGTACATCCGCCGAACAGTACGCTTCCCTCCCTTGAGTTGTGCCCAAGCTGGATCCTCAATGAAAGCGTCTCGTGTTCGTACTGGATCATTTAAATAACCTCTTGCCAAGGTCGGACCTTCTACGAGAAGCTCTCCAATGCATCCGGGAGGCACAAGTCGGTTGTGGTCATCAGGGTCGACGAGCCAAGTCTTGACTTTCAATCCGTGACCGACAAGTGTAGCCTCTCCATGCAAGGGCACATTCGTATTCACTGTTGACGCCACCGCACATTCTGCCGGTCCGTACCCATTCATAAGTCGGATCCCTGACCAGGTATTCATATGTTCTCGACTCATGACTTCCCCCACTAGTAAAAGAGTTTTGAGGCCAGGAACTGTAGAAGGATGCAGGAAGTTGACAACAGAAGGCGTTAGCAAAGCCCAGTTGACGCGCATTTCATTGATAAATTCGGGGAGGCCGTTGAGCTTTTGGTGCTCGCTCGGAACACATATAGTGCCACCGAGCATAAGAGTTGTAAGATTTTCATGTAGGGACGCATCGAACACGTACGATGCGTATTGTAGGACCCTGGTATGGGAGTCTGTAAACATTCCCGGTCCGTGGGCGTTTGCGCTTGAGCAGTAGGCTTTTTGCTCAATGACGACGCCTTTAGGCTCTCCAGTCGATCCAGACGTCCACAAGACGTAGGCTGTATTCGACGGCTTCGACCGATGCAGTCTTTGAGATGATGACACAGGAAGCTTATCGAAGGTTTCTTGGTCAATTGAGACAACTTTCTCTGCAACTGATGACATAGTGCCTGCATATTTGCGAGAGCATAGCAGAGTCTTCGCCCCCAGCCTTTGAGCAAGACTCCGCAGACGGTCTTGGGGTTGTAGGGGGTCAAGAGGACAAAATCCACCTCCTGCCTCCATCACAGCCAGCATGGCGACAGTCGCCCATACTGACTTTTCAAAACATAGTGGTACAATTACTTCGGGTCCGACACCTTGTGCCACTAGTGATTGTGCAAGTGTTTGTACATATCTCCAGAGATTGCGATATGTGAGACTTCCGTCCCAGGCGCATACCGCTTCGTGTTGTGGATTCGCAAGAACTTTTTCGTGAACGAAATCATTGATGCATCGATCCACGGGCTCGAATTTGACATCATTCCAGCCATGGATCTGTCGTTTGTTATGTTCGCTAAGATATTCCAAGTCCTTCAGCTGGACATTGGGTGATAATTGCATAGTCTCCAGAATAAGGCCGAAAGTGCTCGCGAGGCTCTCCAAATAGCCTACCGAGACACAACGACTTGACGATAACAATGCGCATTCAAAGCTATCTCTAGCTATCTCTACTTGAAGAACAACCTGATCCTATTCGATTCGTTAGACCACCTCGAAAGCCGATCACCACTCTCCTTCAATCGTGAGCTCACCTTCAAATCCTCTTGGTTCGTCTTGGCGCCAAGTCGCCCGGTTCCGCCTCCGTATATGCAGACTGCAGTGTTTACGAGCTGCGAAACAGAAGCAGGGGATGCTGCGGTCATGGCGCTTATCCCTGCAGACTCCTGCTTCTGCTCGAGGATTCCCACTGTCTCTCCAGTCTTTGCCGCGCATTCGCGAAGAGTCTCATCACCAGCAAAGGCCAGTTGAATACAGGTTTGTGTGTCTGTATAGTGGCGCTCATTGAGGTGGAAATGAATTTGGTCTTGGCCCGTAAAGCACCGGAGAAGGAGTGCCCATGAAGTGCATAGTTTCTCATGGAGGGAATCCGCGTCTCGTCGACGTGCCTCCCAGATCCTTGCTGCTTGTTTGAGCTCGACCTTTGCTGTGATCGTATGACCAGAACTGCTAGGTTCACCGTCCAGTAGAGGAAGTTTGCAAGGAACAGCTCCATGTGCTGATGGGGAACTGCACGAAGCTTCGCCGTCGTTCAGGACAGCCATGCTGCTTGAGCCCCTCGAGCTTCCTTAGAGTACGTATTGGAATAAGTTGTGTGCGTAAGGCTACAGAAGATTGGCCTCGCGGATTGCGAGGTCAGCTGCGGTTTGTGTTGCTCTGGATAGTACTTGAGGTATGGGTTGAAGGATTGTAGGAGCCTCGTAGTCGCTGTGACATTGAGTCTTGCAAAAAGAAGATGATCGGATTGATGGAAAGACCGTAACCGGCCCAACACGTCCATGCTAAGAACGCCACAAAAGCTGACTTTGGGGCCGTCGGCCTGTCGCATCGTCCATGGGGTCATCATTCAAAAACGTTCAATGAACTATTTCCAGACACTAAAGTCCGATATTCGGACAAAATCACCGCGTACAGGGCTCCGCCCTTTGCACTCCGGATTGATTCGCTACACTACATGGTGATGCTTTCGTCACTAGCGGAACTTGTTAGCCGATTTTCAAGGGTGGCATTCTAGAGATCCAGCTCGAGTCATGGAAATGTGTGGGTGAGATGAGGAGGATCGACGCGTTCTAGCGACGTGACGCTCTTGCGTGCTAGCGCCACCTGTCTTACTCAGGGCTACGACTGCGAGATTGCATCGATGGCGTCGGTGCCACCTAGGCCACAGAGCAACGCCAAATCCAAAAAGGATTATGTGGGTCGCATGTGATACCTCCAAGAGCCGAGCAGAAGGTTTCGTATGTCTGAGAGGCCGAAATGAGAAAAGACCCAGGTTTGGGGATCGCCAGCGGGTGTTTGCACTGGGCCAGAGTCTCTGGGAGACCGAATATGCAGGTATGCGCGAAAATTAATCACTTTGGGTTTAGTGTGTGCATAACGCACGAATGGCATCTGCGATCGATTGGAACAAAATCTATCCCGGCTCGCTTTCTCCATCCGGCACTGCGTGTGGGAGGGGCAGCCCAGCGGATTCGGTAGATTTATGCAATGGGTAAGATTCTTAAGCATCATCTTGTCCCGTCCACGGACATGAGCGGCGATGCAGCAATAAAATGCAGCTGACACCATGACGAGGTGGTTGAAAACACGGTGTGTCAGGGTGAATCGCCACCGTCCCCTCTCGCACGGCTGTTGGCGGGGCCCACACGCCAGAGACACGCGTTAGCGTCCTGTTGGGCGGGAAAGTCATCTCTAGAGTGCCGGGCTTACTGAGGCTTGACGGGGCCTGCTGAAAGCTAGCAGGGCAGCCTAGGAAGTACCTGCCAAGGGTGGTGCCAGCGCAACCTTCGTGGGGTGTGGTGAGAAAAAGCAGACCCTAGGGGGGAGGGTGGTATACTTAGGGAAAGAGTCGGGATGGCATTCCATGTGGCGTTCCCCGTAAGGATCTGAATGGAAATTCAGATCAGATTAGGCCGCTGTTAAGTGATATTTAGCTTAACGCTTTCCCCGCAAATAAATCTGTCAATTCACGTCAGAGATGCTAGTCCTCCCTCTAGACTTTCCTCTAAAGGTACTTGGGGGTTCGGTAGCCAGCGAATGGGCCGAATCCATCAGGGCTCGAAGGCGTTAGAGGCCCATGCTGGTGCGCAAGCAGCCTCCCTCATTGGGCCTTAGCGGGCAGTCAATCGTCGGGTCAGCCGCTCCTATCGTTGCATTCTTGCCCAGAAGCGGTCAAGGGGCCATTTTGATTCTGCGCGAGCCCGCTAGGACGTGCATAGTCCAAGCAAATCAACGCCGTTGCACCAGCGCGCCCGGTGCAAGCCACACTGGCACGGATAGTGGATAGTGGGCCGCAGCATACGCGATCCAATCCGCTGGGAACTATCAGCCATAAAATTTAAGCTGGGGACGACGGTGCCTCCTGGACGCCCGCTGTGGCATTCTGTACATGCGAGAATAAAGTTGGATTTTGTGCATGATTCTTGCATTTTAGGCGAAAATCTCGTAATGAAATGGCTCGAAATAGCGCGCATCGTCGACCTTTCCTGCCAAGTGCAGCACTGGAGGCGCTGACCGCACACTAGCCGAATCCAATCGTTTTGTTTTGGTCTTCCGGTCACCGGTGGAGATTGTGATTCCCTACTCGTCCATGAGAAATCATCCACATGTCGATCGTCCCTGGCTCGACCGACGGCTCCAGGCGTAGTGATCCATCGACCGCTACTCTCGTCTAGTGTGACAGCTCTAGGACAGATCAGTCTGGTGCCTGCCACTCAGGCACTCCTTCAGGTGAATCCAGCCAAGCCGCGAAATCGGCCCATGCATTTTCCAATATGCCGCGCACACATGGCAGAACGCGCCCCTGGGCTCTTATGCAGCCTTGAAACTCGCTGCACATATAATCCCGTATGCGACTCTAGAGTTCGTTGACCCAAACTGCCGGGAGGAAACATTGTCTCTGGAGGGATTATTGTGCTCCAAGTTCTGATTCCCATGTCTTTGCCCTGACAGATACATCCCACTCGTGAAGATGGTGGAGTCTGCGTCGTGCCCGCTGATTGATGATTCGTTTGGGCCCTTTGCTGAGCATTGTCGAGGTGGCTTTGACTTTACTTTACTCTTTGAGGAGACTGTCTTGTCCATACTCCCGCTGGGCCTCATACTTCTTGTCGCACCGTTTCGCATTCTTTACCTCATAAAGAGAGATATTAAGGTCAATTTCAGTAGATTGTCTGTGCTGAAGCTGGTGAGTAGACCTTCTTAGTACATGTCCTGGCCTACATGTACTCTTGACTCGGGGCTCTGCTTATTTTGTGCAGGTGGTATACGCAATCTATGGAGGCATTCAAGTTGCTTTGGTGGCGCTTTGGGCTGGACCAACAACAACAAGGACCAATACCTCCATAGCTAATGCAGTCATCTCTCTCATAGGCGCATGCGCCCTAGGATTTCTCTCCTTCGTAGAGCACCATCGAACTATTCGACCATCCTTGATACTGGAGCTATGGTTATTTGTGACGTTATTGTTTGATATCGCAAGGGTCAGAACACTATGGCTCCAAGAGTACCAGACCACGATCGCCGCTGTCACCTCGGTCTCAGTAGGAGTAAAAGCCTTCCTTGCACTCCTGGAAGCTATCGAGAAACGACGTCTGCTTCGCCAAGAATGGACAGACACTTCGACAGAGGCGACCAGCGGATTTTACAAGAAGGCTTTCTTCTGGTGGCTCAATCCCTTATTCCGTAAAGGTTATACTAAGTCTCTAGAGCTGGAGGAATTGTTTGTTTTGGATAAACATCTCAGGTCGGATTTCCTCTACACCACGGTCAAGACAACCTGGGAGACCATCGCGCCAAAAGGCCCACGAACGTTATTGCTTCTGTTCTTCAAGAAATTCAAGTGGTACTTCATCTGCGCTGTGCCGCCACGCATTGCCTACATCGGCTTCCAGTTCTGCCAACCCTTTTTGATCAACCGGGCAATTGATTTTGCGGACGAGCCCATCAACCAGGCGACAAATAACATTGGATATGGCTTGATTGGCGCGTACATCATCGTATATTGTGGCATAGCAATCTCAATGGCGCAATATCAGCATTGGGCCTACCGTTCCATAACCATGGCAAGAGGCGGGTTGATATCGATGCTGTTCGCTAAGACTTCGTTGCTGAAGACAACCGATGTCGATCCTTCGTCCTCGGTGACGTTGATGAGTGCCGACATAGAACGCATCACCAATGGTTGGCAGACAATGCATGAAATTTGGGCGAATACTGTGGAAGTTGCTCTTGCAATTTATCTGCTAGAGCGTCAGCTTGGTTCAGCGTGTGCTATTCCACTTGCAGTTGCCATTGGTGAGTCCAGGCTGGCACCGTTCACCCAGGCAGATAGCTAACGCCTCCCCAGTATCCTTGTTAGGCTCGACCTTGATCCTGAACTTGATCATCGCACGACAAGCGGAATGGTTGGAAGCCATCGAAAGACGCATTAGCGCCACGACTACAATGCTCGGGTCAATGAAACGGGTAAAGATGTGTGCGTTAACAGATGTCTTCTCGGGCATCCTCCACACATTAAGGAGAGAAGAGCTTGAGATTTCCAAACGGTTCCGAAGGCTGCTTATTGCCAATATGTTCTTCTCATTCGCCACCCAGCTCATTGCGCCCGTCCTGACATTCGCCGTATTCTCGATTTTGGCCATGCAGTCAGGAGAGACGACACTCACAGTCAGCAAAGCGTATACGTCATTATCGCTGTTTGCTCTTCTATCTGAGCCGTTAGCATCGCTTCTCATGGCCATGGCGCAATTTGCGGGCTCCATCGGTTGCTTCGCAAGAATCCAAGCATTCTTAGAGAAGAATGAGCATGTCGACGAACGTCTAAAGCCTTTCCCAGAATATTCGGAGAAAGATCAAAGCTCTCAATCCAATGGTGGAAGCTCCGGGACAAGCGCAACGCAGATCGACTATCAGCCGTGGGGAGAGAAGAAGTTTTCCACCGCGTTGACGGAGAAAGTCGCTCTTCCTTTTTCGAGTCCTGAAGGCGACGCGTTGGAGATTTATAATGGCAACTTTGGCTTCGAAGCGGAGAAGGAGCCTTTGATTAAAGATATCAATCTAAGAATTCCGCGAGGAAAGCTTACCATGGTCGTTGGGCCTGTTGGCTGCGGGAAGACTTTGCTGCTGAAGGCGATTCTTGGAGAGCTCCCCGCCATCACCGGGTCGGTCAAGATCTACTCAGAAGACGTGTCTTATTGCGACCAGACGTCATTCCACATGAACGGCACCATTCGCGATAGTATCGTCGCATTCGAAGACTATGATGATCGATGGTACAACACCGTCCTCAACGCGTGCGCGTTAGATGAGGATCTGCAGCAGTTGCCGCTCGGGGATAGGACTCGGATAGGGAGCAAGGGAGTGGCCCTTAGTGGCGGACAGAGCCAGAGACTGGCTCTCGCCCGGGCAGCATATGCCCGGCGGGATCTAGGCATGCTCGATGATATCCTTAGTGGCCTCGATCTTGAGACGGAGAACCGCGTGTTCCACAACCTGCTTGGTCTTGACGGCTTATTCCGCCGTCAGCGTGCCACCGTCATCCTCGTTTCGTCTTCTGTCCGACGACTACCCTTCGCAGATCACATTGTTGTCCTGGACGAGAAGGGCAGGATCTGTGAGCAAGGTAGCTTCCAAGAGCTCAACGCAAGTGGCGATTATGTTTCGAACTTTGATCTGCCGGCACCAGACTGGAGCTATGAGGCAGAAGAAACCAGATTTGATAGGCTCATGTCTCCAGCAACTCACAAGATCACCCACGCTTCCACACAGCCTTTGGAGACGAAAGCGCTCAGCGAAACGGAGCTTGACGCCAACAGGCGGACAGGGGACCTTAGCGTGTATAAGTATTATGTCACCACGGTCGGCGTAACTCCAGCAGTGATATTCATGGTCGCCATCTGCGGCTATGTTTTCAGCATGTCGTTTCCCCAAATCTGGCTTAAATGGTGGTCCGATGCAAACGAGAAGCATCCAAACGAGCGGTTGGGATACTGGCTTGGTATTTACGCTTTGCTCTCAGTCGGAGGTCTGGTTGCTCTCATCGTCGGCTGCTGGGCATTGATTGTCACCATGGTTCCACAGGCGGGAAGAAGCTTTCATCGAAAGCTGCTCAATACCGTCCTTGCTGCTCCTTTGTCATTTTTTTCGACAACAGATACTGGCGTCACACTCAATCGTTTCTCGCAGGATCTCCAACTTATCGATATGGATCTTCCGGTGTCAGCCTTGAACTTTATCACGACTACCATTCTTTGCGTTGCGCAAGTCATCCTGATCGCATACTCTTCAGCATTTGCGGCCATCTCATTTCCACTCTGGTTCGTTGCGTTGTATTTCATCCAAAAGTATTACCTTCGAACGTCGCGTCAAATTCGATTTCTGGATCTGGAAGCCAAAGCGCCTCTCTATTCGCAGTTTACAGAAGTGCTAGCAGGCCTCACAACCGTCAGAGCTTTTGGATGGCAGGATGATCTGAAACAGAAAACTCGTCAATTACTTGATCTCTCACAGAGACCCTTCTATCTTCTTTGGGCTGTTCAGCGATGGCTTCAATTGGTATTGGATCTTGTTGTGGCTGCAATAGCGGTGATGTTGATGGTTCTAGTAGTCGAATTGAGAGGGACCATTAGCGGCGCATCTGTCGGCATTGCTTTGCTCAATGTCATCCTTTTCAGTCAGCATATCAAGCTCGTCATACAATACTGGACGATGCTGGAGACACATATCGGGGCAGTCAGTCGCATCAAGAACTTTGCGTCTCGAACCCTTTCTGAGGACTTGCCAGCCGAAAACCGTATACTTCCAAATAATTGGCCACCACAAGGTAGTCTAGACTTCAACAATGTCTCTGCCAGCTATGATTCATCTCGCATGGTGCTGAAAGACTTGACGCTGTCGATTCAAGCCGGCGAGAAGATAGGTATCTGTGGACGAACAGGCAGTGGCAAGAGCTCATTCATCCTCGCTATTTTCCGTATGATAGAACTACATGGCGGATCCATCAGCATCGATGGTATCGATATTGCCACTGTGCCTCGGAATGAAGTTCGCTCTCGGATCATCGGATTGCCCCAGGATACGATGGTGCTCTCGGGGACTGTAAGACTAAATCTTGATCCGTACAATAGGTCGTCAGACGGAGCAATCATTGATGCCCTGGATGATGTCCGATTGTGGAGCGTCATTGAAGAGCGGGGTGGTTTGGATGCCGACATGGATGTTGTCAGTTTGTCGCATGGCCAGAGGCAGCTCTTGTGTTTAGCACAAGCACTGCTTCGATCGAGTTCAATTCTGATACTAGATGAGGCAACAAGCAGGTAAGCATAGACTCAATCCCATTGATGTTACGACACGGTCGGCTGATGACTTACCAGTGTTGATGATGTCACTGATGGACTAATCCAAAAGATTATACGGCAAAAGTTTTCTAAGCATACTATAATCGCAGTAGCTCATAAGCTCGACACGATTACGGATTTTGACAAGGTAGCTGTGTTAGAGAATGGCAATCTCAAAGAATTTGATAGCCCTCATACACTGTTGTCACAATCGTCGTCGGCGTTCCGCCAGTTGTACAACACTACCGTCAAAGAAAAAGCAGTGAATGCAGATGATCAAATTGAGCAGTAAGGCTTCGGCGTTTTAGTGTGTGATGTATCATGACCTTGAGGAGAGGCAGCTGTTCAGGAGCGCCTCTCAGTACATATAGTGTGCATGAAAAATGTAATATCCGCAATAGGCAGCTGAAAAGTCAATCGTTTGAACAACTGCGAAGAGCCTTGCGCTGTTTGATCGCTGTCCGAAATCGCTTCTGCGTCGCATCTGTTGTATGTCTTCTTTGGGGCGACTCGGCGGTGGGATCCTGGTGTGGGATTCTGCCATGGGACCAATGATGTTCTGCTTCCAGTCCAATGGGTGTGAACTATCCGATATAGGACGCGTGCTGCAGCTGTAGCTAACGGCTTTTCATGTATGACAGTGTCACTCGGACAAGAGCTGTGAAACCGTTGGACGGCGACTAATGTCAAACGTTAGCTGCATAGTCGGTAGGGATGCTGCGTCTGCACTGCATCAACGCATCGACCACCCTGTCCCAATAGGAACGTCACTTCCTTCACCCTCTGCTGTCAATGCTCTCATCCAGTACTGATTGAGTCTGACAATACATGGAGATGATTTGTGTCGCCAATTGCTTCGACCATGGCGGGATATCGTTGTTCCCAGGAGTCGAAGCGCAGCTTGATACTAGATTAGTCCAGGCTAAGCCAACCCGCGCTGAATCATAAGCATGTAAGATTCCCCGCAAACATCCTAAGCGGCCAATAGGAACTGATTTCATCACTTACTAGAAGCACCACCAGAGCTGCCAGCTTGACAGCTTCCATTTTGGGCGAAGTCCGATGACGGTCGGGCCTCGCTGGGCAAGAAGACCCTTGACGCAAGATATCTGAAACCTTTATGTACGATGACGACCACTTCAGATGACCGAAGATCTTCTTCTCCTGCAGAGCACAGGGTTTCAAGCCGAGCCGTGGTCGGATCGGCTCCTTCATCGGTGTTGTTCGGTGGCACCGGCACATCCGGGGAATTTACCCTTGTGCACATATAAGCACAACAAGTGCATTGTGGCTGAGAGAAGTATAAATAAGCTTAAACTGACTTCAGACTCATGTTCAGAAACTCTTGCGAGAATGGGTAGTCGCTTCTGAGGGTCGCCAAGGATGCCCTCAGTGCTCGGCATCCAGAGTTGAGTTTGGAGGGTAAGTGCATCGATCCACAGAGAAAACGCGCCGAGAGCTGACTCGATATGGTATTCCCGCATAGATTCCTAGCTGATTCATGAATCGGAACCTACAAAACATAAGGACAGTCTTGAGTCGCTTTTGGTTGAACTGACGGTGAATCTTGGCACAGGTCGTACTGGAGCTGCTCAAGGCCGACTGATACCGGCCTTGCACCCTTGGATGAAGGTACTTGGTGTTCACTAATTCTACAGTCGTGTCAAATCTGCATTGATTCTACCGTTCTCGAGCCACTTGAAGGAAGCATGACTCCTGTGAAGGCCAGGAGCAATATCAAAACGATAGTCGGGACAGCGTTATCTCATCCCTTGTGTCTTCCAAGGCAGATTTGGACGACATACCTGTTCCATTTGACACGAGAAGGAGAATTTATCAGCCCAAAGACTACCATATGGCGCAAATGGGAAACAGTGAGGACCTGCGTGTTGTTGCCACCACTTGCACTCGTGGGAAGTCGACGCTGCACACTCAGTACCCGTCTGTCAAAAGGCTTGGCAAACACTTGGCAACCGCAAACGCAGCAACATCAGCCGAGGTCCGACATCGGAGGTCAACTCAGACAAGAGACGATCATGAGCGATATACTCTCCCCCTCATCAACTTTGCATGAGATTAAGCGAAGTTAGATGGATCGTAGACGTGGTTGCTTGTGCGGTAAGACGTGCAGGTGGGTGAGCATCCACACTTCGCGTAGAGGGTTTACCGTGCCCATTGCATGGAGAGCGATGACGGAGATAGGTAAAATTGGTGAGGAATTCACGAAGAAGGCCGTTATCTTGAATACCGCTGGGACCACCTTCATCCATGATCGCTGACGTATCTTGAGAAGATGCATATGACCGGAAAGTAGGACAGCGATGCTGCAGCCGAGATCGCAATTGACAAAAGCGAGAGTGCCGAATTCGCTATGCCTAGCGATGGTCATGGTCTTTGACAAACTATCTCGTCAAGATTACAGATGGCGATCTATGACTGTACCTCCGGTCCCTTGTTCTCCACTTGTGGATCATATATTTCAAAGAAGGCGCAGGTTATGTTAAGCCTCTTGGGGGTCTCTCAACCTATGCGACACTTCTCCGTCCGATCTATTCGAGTAGCATTGCTTTACAGTGTCTGCCACAAAGAAAATTTTGGATCCCATGTTTGCTTGGTCACGTATTGCTTTGCCCAGGCTTGCTTTGCTGAAACAAGGGTGGTTGCATTTATATATTGATGAAGGGATGAATTTGGGTCAATGGCTGACTTATGAATGATCAATCTCGATGGTGTTTCCCTCCTTCCGCTTACTCTAATACTGAGAGATAAATCTACAATCTTACTTCCCTCTGTCTATTAATTGTTAGAGATGCAAGAATCCAAGAATCGAATGAGCAGGCTTGGTTGGACGGATCTCAGTACAGAGGTGTTCTATCTGAGGGTGTTTAGGAAAGGCCAGCGGTAATGTTCCTCTATCTACTCGAATTTGGCTCTGATTCTCCCACGTCGCTTCCCTACCCCCTTCACAGCATCAAAGCAATACGAAGTACCTAGCACTGGTCCGGCAAGGAAGAGCGTCCAGCAAAGTAGCTTGACGAGAGAGGCAGGAAGCGGAGCGACCGTCCCAAGTTAAGTCGCTGATAGCACGAGATGGCGCTACCTCGCTCATACCTCTACCCCAGCACCCAGCGCTTTGCGACGAGAGCGAAGACAAATTCCCCCATGTATAGCTTTTCTCCCCCTTCCTTTCCTTGCCTTCATTTGCCTTCTATTTCCCGAGAGCTAGCTAATACAGACAATAGTCACTATAAGAGCACAATGCCCTATCTAAACCAACCCGAAGAGGCTAATACCTTCCTTAACCCTACCTCTTATGCGTATCCTCCACGCCAGCAAAACCCACTGCATCGCCCACCCTATCACTTCCTTTTTTCCTATACCATCGAGAATACTCCTACATCACACGCCCAATAACACTTCTCGTCCGACCGAAGTCACATGCACCCAACACTCAGCAGCCTCGCGAATGTACGGACGAAAAGAGTTCGGCTAAATAGTGTTTGCCCAAAGCGATTCGCAGACAAGAAGCAATTTACAGCTTACAGCACACTTTTCTGGCTGCCGATTAAGAATTTACGACGAGCAAAAGTAGCGAGAACATACACAGAACCACACAGAGCCGATATCGTTTGCAAGATGCAGCAAAGACCATCTACGTATCCTGCTTCAACTTCCAAAAGACAGATCTTGCCTACCCCCCGGCTTCCACCCCCCATTTGAGACCAAAGCCGCAATTCTCCCCTCCCTCCACTCCCTTCCTTCGAATATCAAACTCCGCTCCAATACCCCCTTTTCCCCCTCTCTCACAGCAGAAATCCTCACAGATCTCCAAGAAAGAGCCAAAGCAGCTTCCACCCCCTCGAAGGAGCTCAATCTCCCATGGCCCGTCGTCCTCACGCATGTCCTCCTGCTCAGTCCCCCCTTTCCCCTCGCTTCCACCCCCCTCCGGGTCCCCCGCAACCTCCGCACATACCTCACCAAAACCCGCATCCAGCATCAATCGTGGATGGGCATCATAGTTGATGCGGGTGGTGGTGCTCGTGATGCACGCATCAGGAAATGTAGGGAGGGAAGGTTTGAGCTTGTAGCACAATAGAGGAATGTTGTTCAGTAGATGAGATGCGGTAAAGAGATTATTTATTCATCTATATACTCCAGCTTACAGGCAAGCAGGAATAGCGTGTATCTATTGGTTGCCCAAAGCGATGTCTGTCTCTAAGTATCTCAAGGAACCAGCTATCTTCTCCCAAATCAAGATGCCTGTCTCACTCCATAAAACGCCCAGTGACCCACTAACGCACAGAGTCCCTCCCTTTGAAATAATGATTCTTCCGTGGCAATTAAACACCATTGACCAATGTGTTACCCCTACTCCTCGGCGTAATCGCCTCACTCGCACTCCTTGCATTCTCATACCTCTCCCAATTACTCAACACATGCCCAATTCGCGGACTGTTCGTCAATCTATAAACCTCTTCAAAGTACTCCTTACTAATCTCAAACGGCTTGGCCGTGACATTTGGAATATATTTCCCCACCAACTTGCCCGGATCGATAGACGTGCGATTGATTTTCTTCATCAAGAAGCTGCGGAAGGGCTTGACGCCCGAGCGAAGGAAGGTGGAGTGGAACGGGACGTCAATGCCTTTGAGAGGGATCGTGGCGAATCCGCGCTCGAGGCTTATGGGTCTGGGTTTCTGCTTAGTCTGGAGGGCACACTCTTGGATGATGGTTCGTAGGCGGGATTTAACGTCTTCGATGGAAAGGGTTTGCATGAGGGATTGAATGTCGACTTTTTGGGCTTTGAGGAAGTTGGTCACGTTTGTGAGACAGTCGAGGGCGCGGAGCTGGAAGCACAGGTCAGTGAAGTATAGTGAAGAGGGGAGGGGGGACTTACATCTCCGGCGCAAACGTACTGCATATTCGCGACATTGTAGTTGACGATTTCTAGGAGCCAGGTAGTCTCTTCGGCGATGTTCTCGACGACGTATTGAAGGGCTTGTTCGTTGAAGGTTTTGGAGATGCGGCTAGGATTCACAGCGCACATTGAGTAATTCGATCGGCCTTGGGCGTCACGTTCTACTGCTACTTGCATGGTCAGGCCGCGGTAGAAGACTACTGCCACCAAGCTCTCGATAGGCATGACCTCGGCCAGCGCAGCCAACGCGGAGTATTCGCCCAATGAGTGACCTGCGAAGCTGCTGTCCTTTTGCACAAGGCCTTTTGAGAGCATGTCTTCGAAACTGGCTTTCTCCATGAGAGTCAAAGCCGGTTGTGTGAATTGAGTAGCTGAAAGCAGGCCGGTCGGTGATCGATAGGTGTAGGAGGTAGTATTCTCGTTGACTTCTTTGAAGATCTTCTCAGACTTTACAGAACCATCCGCGTTAATCGATTCGAAGGTCATGGACATGTAGTTCTCGCGAATGGCTTTTCCACGTGGTCCTCCAAAATGTATCGTTAGCTCTCTAGGATTATTCTTCACAATGTTGGTTATGGAGAAACCATAGTTCTCCATGAAGTGAGCATCTGCACGATCCCATACTTCTTTTGCGACAGGACTGCTATTATACAGATCCATACCCATACCTTGCTCTTGAGATCCTTGGCCAGTGAAGACGTATGACGAGACAGGCTGCTCGATCTCTGCCTCACCAAGCAAGACCTTCTCTTCGCTGACTTGATTAGTGGTCTCAACCTTGATAATCTTGCGGCCAGACACCATGCCGGTATGCTGAAGCTTGACTTGAATGTCATCATTTGGTAAAACCATCCCAACAAGGCTACAATGGAAGCTTCGAACGCGACCGACATTGTTCTCTGCAGCCCATGTCTCTACCAAGCTGCGAACAGCTGCGCTCGAGTACATTCCGTGCGTGATTGTGCCTGGAAGATTTGCATAGCTCGCAAACGTTCTTGAGACGTGGATAGGGTTGTAATCGCCAGACACACGGGCGTATGTTTCGTTTGATGCAGGAGCTCGGAGGACTAAAGGAGTCTTTCCGCTGAGTGGAATAGGGTTCTCAAAATTCATAGGCTGCTCAATGGAGGAACCGTAGCGCTGAAGGTAGTCTATGACAGGGTTGCCATGGGACACGCTTGCTTGATAGTCAACAGAAGCAATTTGAATGACTTCCTTTGATGGAAGCTCCAGAAGCACCTCGCCAATAGTTTCCACCGATTTGTATACAGTCTTGTTCTTGAAATGTACCAGTGTTTGGAGGCGGAAAGTGAGAGTCTGATTGAGCAGTTCAATATCAGGGTCATCCATGTTGAACCATTCTTTGGAGCGTAAAACGGCAACATCCTTGGATGAGCTGGGATGAACCTGCATTGGTATCTCGTCTTTGCGTTGGAAAGTGTTCTCAAAGTCGGTATAAGTGCCACGGTACAAGAATTGACTCGTAACAACCATCACAGGTTTGCCTCTTCGTTTAATTGTGCCACTCACTTCGACCATCTTGCCTGAATCTTGGTTGATGACGGCATTGATTTGGGCTGTTGTATCGACGACGTCTCCCCTCTTCAACGGCTCGGCACCTGGGACCATACGGAAACCATTTGATAGATGTACCAACTTCAACAAATCTCCATTGATAGACTTTGGAAAGATAGGCTTCGTAATTGCCTTCCATCCTACGACGATGGCGAAATCCATAGGCGCCAGGACCTCCTTACCTGGCCTTTCCACAAAGGCCTCACCTGTGTTGCCAACAGCATGAACAAAATCAGCTATAGCTTTGCTCGTGACAGTCGCGCGACCTCCATCAAAGGTACTCGTTGCAGGAGCGTCAAATGGAACTTTTTCATGTGCACCAAACCAGATTCTATAATAAAATTCCTTGATACGGTCATTCCGGTTTTTCATGACTTCATGGATGGGAGCATAGCCAGCTTCTGGGTGGTAGGTGAATTTGAGCGGCAATGCTACAGGTTCTCCTTCGGCTGTTCTTGGTTCGATGAGGTTCACAGCAATGTCTTTGCCCTTAGTCATGCTGATCTCAACAGTCTTGACCATACCGGAAGAAGAGGGTTCCTTGACGACGATCAAGGTGTTTTCAGCATCATCAGGATAGAGCATCTCAACGAGCATACCCTTCGTCGGCGTGAATATGCGCTTCAGCGGATTTGTCTGGAATCGCTGGCCTTGAACAAAGACATCGGAGGTAAACAGTGCATATCGCCATGAATACGCCTTGCCAGCAAGCAGATGCAACCAAGCCTCTGCATCGGGTAAAGTTGCATTAGGGGCAGAAGAAATCCGGTAGCTAATCATGTCACCGTTTCGCGATGTGGTCAACCCGTCGACGTCCTCGTCAGCGGCATCTTCAATGATGAATTTACTGCCGAAGTACTCGACGATTGGTATCGTCGTATCTCTGCCACCATAGACGTCGGTTGTGAGTCCCTTGATATGATCTTCGTGAATACCGTCAAGTATATCCTTGACTGGTTCGTCGATGGCATGCGAATATTTCACGGCAGTCGGACCTTGGAGAATGCAGGTCCTGCCGACATCTTGATCAACGACAGCTTCAAGGTCCTCGGACTGCCATAAAGAGTCTTTCTTGAAAAAGAATTCGAAATTTTCATCGAGACATGGTACGAATGGAACGGGTTTCTGTCCGCGGCGCTGACAAAGTAGGAGAAAATGCTGCACGTCTTGAGCATTGATCAGCTGTTCGGTAGCTTCCGGATATGTCTTCAAGACTGTGTCGACCACCTGATATGGTTTGTCCATCTCAGAGTAGGCTTGTATGATGGATGATTTGCCGGGTGTTGAGGTGAAGCGCTCCTCTAACCGGCGAATGAAGTCGACAGTAAGGCGCGATAAAGATGCATCAATCCATCGCGATTCATGCTTGACGTACATGAGGTCTACCATCCTTTTTACGACCTCGCCATATGTCATGTCCTCCAGATCGACAACTTTGTCGGCAGCATTGCGTCCAAACCATACTTTCTGAAAGTCGTCGTTGAGCTTCTTGATGATGTATTCGCGCATCTTCTTCAATTCTGGCAAGCGCTTGGCTTTGTCCAAAGTGAAGATCTTTTGATCCATCTCAGCCCAGAACTTGACGCCTCGTGTTGCAAGCTTGTGGATTGGCTCTCCCATCTCCGAGCGAACGGTGATAACACCACCAACGGGTCCCTTATAAGTCTTCTCCCACTGGCTGTCGTCAACACCTTCGGCCTCAGCAATGGCCTTCTTTGCGTTCTTTGATGTATGTGCTTCCTTGGCAGTCATCATACGACTACCAAATAGACAGCCATCGAACGGCATTGCTGCATAGCCAAATTTGTGGGCCCACGTTCCCGTCAAGTATGGATACGTGTCCTCTGATCCTCCGAAACCGCTGCCTGCAATCAAGACTATATTTTCACATCGTCTTATTCGGCCATACATTTGTAAAATAGGTTGGTGAAAATCCTCGTATGAATGATGACCACCACCACGCCCGCCTGTCCATTGTAGCATGACTGGGAAATGCGGGTTTCCACTTGCAACATTGATGACAGCTTGTATAGCCTCGACAGATCCTGGCTTGAAAGCAATGTGCTTGATTCCCAGGTCCATAATATACTCGTTTGCGATCTCGATCGACGGGACGCCGGCACCAATCGTAAGACCTTCAACCGGGAAACCGTCTGCGCGCAGCTGTTTGATCAAAGGTATCTGCCAGGCCATTGCTCGAGGATTCACGTAAATTAGGTTGAGTGTGATACCGCGACCAGCTGGAATATTGTTTTCAATCTTAGTGATCGCTTCAGTCATGGTCTTGTCATTGTAGTAACCACCGCCTGCCAGCTCGATATGATAGCCAGCGCGCATCGTGGCAGCGACAAAGTCCCACGGCACAGTGCAGGGTGTCATACCAGCGACCATTACGGGCGGTAGACCAAGAAGTCGGCTCATCTTTGTGTCTACGAAGGTTTGACCAACAGAGGTTTTAACAAGACGCGGGCCATGTTCTTTCACCCAGTCCACGGCATATTTCACCGCGTGCTGTTCATCTCGGTCGAAGAGTTCAGCTTTGTAGCCGACGTCAGTGTTCGAGCCGTCAATTGATCCACCAAGGATGACCCTAACGCCTGTCCCTTCTTTATTCCGGTTCGTCAGGACGCCAAGGCCAGAGATCCCACCTGGACCAAAATCCACTAGATGCGTAGCTTTGGGGAACACAGTGGCTTTCTCCCATTCGACAGGGTCTTGGGTGATCATACGGACTAAGGCAGGTACTACGTTATCGATCCCTTCGTCTCGAATGTCGGAACCGGTAGAAGTATTGAAGACCGGAATTCCAAGTTCTTTGATGTTCAGTGTCACATCTTTGAGGTCGTCCTGAATAATGTTGTAGGCTCCTGTGAGGAGAGCGCTGTGGAATGGAGATGTTATGGGGAGGAATCTATTCACAAATCGCACTTTGCGCTCTGTAAATGGTATGCGTGTTTGATCGAGACCTGTGGGTGCTTTGACCTTTCGAAGCTGAAGATTCAGGCCATAAAGCGAAAGAGGGGGGCCGGTAACGACGAAATTTCGCGCGCTGTTAATCAGGGAGATAGCAATGTGACGGTCTTCAGGAAGATGGTTGTTGGTGGAGTCGATCTGTGCTTGAAGAGCAGATCTCGACAAGTCTCGAACTGACAGCATGGGCGTCGGTGTCCCTTCGCCATTTTCTGTAGAATCTTGCAGGACAGTCGGAGCTAATGAAGTTCGTGGATATGCTTGTTGACTTCGGGATCCAATCCAAAATAGTATCTTCAGAGCCTTCTGCGCAGCCACCTCAAAAGACTCCCACGAGTCGGCAGCTGCGATAGCGGCAGCAGTCACTACACCCTGCGAATGACCCGTAGTGCCACTGAGGTATTCACGTACTTCACCAGGCGTGAGACCAAGGGCCTTGCAGGTGACAGTGTAATGTGCCAACTGTACCAGGCCAATGAGGGGCAAGCTCACTGGGGCGGAGATGAGATAATCGGTATCTGGTTGCAATTCTGGCTGATGGAGCCATTGCATGATGTTCAAGCCTTTTGAGTATAGCTTTTCTGCTCTCGCATCTCGGGCCAGGGTCTGAAGCAGGCTGGCTGAGTCTTCCATCAGTCTTTCTACAAATGAGGGGTATGTTGTGTAGACTTCGCGCAATTCATCGAAATACTCCTCAATGTTGCCTTGCCCGCCAAAAATGGCGTATATACCTGCTTCCGACTCGTCTGCAGCCCTGAAGAGGGCCGATGCGTGAGCTCGAAGCGGCCGCTCCGCAGAGACACGAGCAGCATAGTATGATTGAACAACGATAAGCTTCTTCTGAGCAATGCCGGGTAGGGATGCTGCCAAGGCATGGATGTCGTTCCCCAGTAAGAAGACCCGCTCAAACTCGGTCAAAGCTTGTTTGAGTACCTCCAGATATGAAGTCGATGCTTCGTCTTCATCCTCGTCCACGGCGTTTGCCAGGTAGCCTACATAACGGGCAAGGAGCTCCGCCACAGATGAGGGCTCGTCATCCTGGGCTAGTTCGTCCGTCGGTTCTGGAAGGGTGGATGTGAAGCGGTCTCTTGATTGAGTTGCAAAGAAATGTTGCCCGGTAGGAAGGAGGAGAGTATGTGCGAGGGATCCGTGGCGGAGGGTGAGTGGGCGGAGGGAGGAGGATGACCGAGGAGTTGAGACTCCTGTTTGCGGGCCTGTGAGCATGATTGGAGAGAGGAAAGGATGTGCCTGGGTTGGTTCTGTTGTCCAAGCTTTAGTACACACTGTTCGGGGGACTTTGTGGGCACATACTATTCTCAATGACCGATTTCTAGCGGTACATTCTGAGAGCCTGGACTGGGGATGGCGTCACAGGCAGCTGTTGAGGAGTCAATTGAGCTCGATGTCTCGACTTATGCGGCAGTGGAGGAGGGACGGGGAGGTCTTATCAGCGTGGTCACTAGAGAGGGTAAAGAGGCAATCACTTGGACAAAGGGCAGAGCTCGAGCATATCTGTTGGGAGCCCAATTACTTCTAGTGTCGCCGAAGCCTCTTCTCCAGAAATTTGCATGTTGCGGAATTTCTGCGGGGGCTAAGGGTCACTAGGGCCTTCCCTAGGGCTCAAAGTGGCTTAGAGTCGCTCAACCAACCACTGAGAATAGGGCCGCCACAGCTATTAGGGGCTTGGCGCCCTGAAGCTCCCGGGATGACGCTACTACCTGCATGAACAAATTCCCCAACGCTCTCAAAGGCAACAACAATCTCTGATGAGTGCTCCTTCCGACGGCGAGGTGCGACAGGAATACGACTCGACATTGCCTGATTTTTACGATTGACAACCCTCCACCTCCCCTACCTTCCCACATCGACCTCTTCCTCCAGCATCCTCCCCTGAACTCAACTGTGGTCGTGCCGCCGCCAAAAGCAATTGAATTTTGCGCCTCTGCTCCACTCTCCACTCTGAGCTCTTAAAACAGCGACGAATTGGAGACAATGCAATTGTGACCTTCGAGGACACGCCTCCCTCTCTCAAGTCCGCACAACACCCTCGTCCCCCGGACGCAGGACATCACAAACATGACTCCTGAAGTCGAGCAGGAGCTCGCCCATACCCTCCTCGTCGAACTTCTAGCATATCAATTCGCCAGTCCAGTACGGTGGATAGAAACACAGGATGTCATTCTCAAAGATCAGCTCACGGAGCGAATTGTCGAGATTGGGCCAGCGGACACATTGGGCGGTATGGCCAAGCGAACGTTGGCATCCAAGTATGAAGCCTACGATGCTGCAAAGTCTATCCAACGGCAGATTCTGTGCTACAACAAGGATGCTAAAGAGATATACTACGACATAGACCCTGTGGTTGAAGAGGAGGCACCCCCTGCTGCAGGAGATGCCGCGGCACCTTCTTCATCATCTGCCGTTCCAGCGCCGTCTGCACCTGCTGCGGCCGCTGCTGCACCACCCCCAGCTGCTCCTTCTGGTCCCGCTGCAGCAGTATCTGATGTCCCAGTTCAAGCTGTGGATATCGTCCGATCTCTTATTGCTCAGAAATTGAAGAAGTCACTGGCAGAGATCCCTCTTAGCAAAGCCATCAAGGATCTTGTTGGAGGTATGTGAATTCCTTGAATTTAGTTCATCATCCACTAACGCATCCTACCAGGCAAGTCTACCCTTCAAAATGAAATTCTTGGAGACCTTGGGAAGGAGTTTGGATCAACACCAGAAAAACCAGAAGATACACCTTTGGATGAATTAGGGGCCTCAATGCAAGCTACCTTCAATGGTCAGCTTGGTAAACATTCCAGCTCACTTGTCGCCCGACTCGTTTCCTCCAAAATGCCTGGTGGCTTCAACATGGGTCTAGTCAGAAAGCACCTCGAAACACGGTGGGGACTTGGCTCGGGAAGACAAGACGGTGTGCTGTTGCTTGCAATTACAATGGAGCCTGCCTCCAGATTGGGTTCCGAGGCAGATGCGAAAGCATTCCTTGACGATGTCTCTAATAAGTATGCAACGACTGCCGGTATTACCATCTCCGCTCCATCAGCTGGCGGAGACGGAGGTGCAGCCGGAGGCGGGATGATGATGGACCCAGCAGCCATCGATGCTCTCACCAAGGACCAAAGAGCGTTATTCAAGCAGCAATTGGAGTTGTTCGCAAGATATCTAAAAATGGATCTTCGAGCGGGCGACAAGGCCTTCGTTGGTTCTCAAGAGTCGCAAAAGGTTCTTCAGGCTCAGCTAGACTTGTGGAATACTGAACATGGCGAGTTCTACGCTAACGGCATCGAGCCATCGTTCAACTCCCTCAAGGCCAGGATATATGACTCGGACTGGAATTGGGCCCGTCAAGATGCACTCTCCATGTATTACGATATCATCTTCGGCCGACTGAAAGCCGTCGACCGTGAAATTGTGAGCCGGTGCATCCGTATCATGAACCGGTCGAATCCTCTCTTGCTTGACTTCATGCAATATCACATGGACACTTGTCCTACCGATCGAGGCGAGACATACAAATTAGCCAAGCAGCTTGGTGAGCAACTGATCGAGAATTGCAATGATGTAATCAATGAAGCTCCTGTCTTCAAAGATGTCGCTGTCCCTACTGGTCCTCAGACCTCAGTTGACGGTCGCGGAAGTCTCAATTACTCGGAAGTACCCCGCCCAAGCGCAAGAAAGCTTGAGCATTACGTTCGAGAGATGTCAGAAGGTGGTAAAATCTCAGAATACGGGAACCGAACGAAGGTGCAGAACGATCTCGCAAGGATCTACAAGCTAATCAAGCAACAACATAAGCTTTCCAAGACCTCACAATTACAGATTAAGTCGCTTTACGAGAATGTCATTCGGTCGCTCGCAATGAACGAAGGTCAAATTATGCCCGTCGAGAACGGCGCAAAGATTAACGGCGCGGCCAAAAAGCCAGGCAAGAATGGCACTCGGCCCACTGTAAATGGTATCTTGAAGCAAGGCAAAGTCGAGACTATTCCTTTCCTTCATCTCAAGCGAAAGGACGAACATGGTTGGGAATACAGCAAGAAGCTCACTGGACTCTATCTGGACGGCTTAGAGCGAGCTGCCCAGTCCGGCGTTACCTTCCAAGGCAAGAATGCCTTGATGACGGGTGCCGGAGCAGGCTCCATTGGAGCCGAAGTCCTGCAAGGTCTGATCAGCGGTGGTGCCAAGGTCATCGTCACTACAAGCAGGTTCTCGCGCCAAGTCACCGAATACTATCAATCAATGTATGCTCGATTCGGCTCACGCGGCTCGCAACTTGTTGTCGTCCCCTTCAATCAAGGAAGCAAGCAAGATGTTGAAGCCCTGATCGATTACATTTATGACACCAAGAAAGGGCTTGGATGGGATCTCGACTACGTCGTCCCTTTTGCCGCCATTCCAGAGAATGGCCGTGAGATCGACAGCATTGACTCGAAATCCGAGCTTGCCCATCGCATCATGTTGACAAATCTCCTCCGACTTCTTGGTTGCATCAAGCTCGAGAAGCAGGCAAGAGGTTTCGAAACGCGACCAGCGCAGGTTGTCTTACCTTTGTCACCCAATCATGGTACTTTCGGGAACGACGGTCTGTACTCTGAATCAAAACTGGCCCTTGAAACTTTGTTCAACCGATGGCATGCAGAAAGCTGGGGTAACTTCCTCACCATCTGCGGTGCAGTCATTGGCTGGACTCGTGGTACGGGTCTTATGTCTGGCAATAACATCGTGGCAGAAGGTGTTGAGAAGTACGGTGTTCGCACGTTCTCCCAGCAAGAGATGGCATTCAATTTGCTTGGCCTTATGGCGCCCACAATCGTCAACCTTTGCCAAAATGAGCCCGTCTTTGCAGATCTGAACGGTGGCTTACAGTTCATCCCAGACCTGAAAAATGTCATGACAAGGTTACGAAAGGAGATCATGGATACAAGCGAGGTCAGACAAGCAGTGACGAAGGAGACTGCCATCGAGAACAAGATCGTAAATGGTGAAAACAGCGAGGCTTTGTACAAGAAAGTTACCGTCGAGCCTCGAGCCAACATCAAGTATCAATTTCCGGAACTGCCAGACTGGAAGAAAGATATCGAGCCACTGAACGAGAATCTCAAAGGGATGGTCGACCTTGACAAAGTCGTCGTTATTACTGGCTTCTCTGAGGTTGGACCATGGGGTAACGCACGGACCCGGTGGGAGATGGAGGCTCATGGTAAATTCTCGCTTGAAGGCTGCGTTGAGATGGCATGGATGATGGGTCTCATCCGCAACCACAATGGTCCACTCAAGGGCAAATCTTACTCCGGCTGGGTCGACGCTAAGACTGGAGATCCTGTGGATGATAAAGACGTCAAAGCGAAATATGAGAAGCACGTTCTTGACCACTCTGGTATCCGCTTGATTGAGCCTGAGCTGTTCAATGGCTACAATCCTAACAAGAAGCAGCTGATGCAAGAAGTTGTCATCGAGGAGGACCTTGATCCCTTTGAAGCCTCGAGAGAACTAGCGGATGAATTCAAGCTTGAGCATGGTGAGAAGGTCGAAATCTTCGCCATCGAGTCCGGAGAATTTACCGTTCGCTTGAAGAAGGGTGCGACTCTTCTCATTCCCAAGGCTCTCAAATTCGATAGGCTCGTAGCGGGCCAAATACCCACCGGCTGGAACGCAAAGACTTATGGTATCCCTGACGACATCATTTCACAAGTTGATCCCGTCACCCTATACGTGCTCGTCTGCACCGCCGAAGCGTTGATCTCATCTGGTGTCACGGATCCCTACGAGTTCTACAAGTATGTCCATATATCAGAAGTCGGTAACTGTGTTGGCTCGGGTATCGGTGGCACTACTGCTCTGCGTGGGATGTACAAAGACCGTTTCTTGGACAGACCACTTCAGAAGGATATCCTGCAAGAATCCTTCATCAACACGATGAGCGCTTGGGTCAATATGTTGTTGATATCGTCAACTGGTCCTATTAAGACGCCTGTAGGTGCTTGTGCAACAGCTGTTGAATCTGTTGATATCGGATACGAGACCATTGTGGAAGGTAAGGCTAGGATCTGCCTCGTCGGTGGTTTCGATGACTTCCAGGAGGAAGGTTCATACGAATTCGCCAACATGAAGGCTACTAGCAATGCTGAGGATGAATTTGCTCACGGCAGAACGCCAAAGGAGATGTCAAGACCAACGACGACGACACGAAATGGCTTCATGGAATCACAAGGATGCGGTATGCAAGTACTCATGACTGCTCAGCTAGCTCTTGATATGGGTGTACCAATCTATGGTCTTCTTGGCTTGACTGCCACCGCAACGGACAAGATTGGCCGCTCAGTTCCAGCTCCCGGGCAAGGTGTGCTCACTACCGCTAGAGAGACACCTTCTAAATTCCCTTCACCTCTCCTTGACATCAAATACAGAAAGCGTCAGCTAGATTCAAGAAAACAGCAAATAAAGCAATGGCAAGAATCAGAGCTGATGTACCTGAACGAAGAGGTCGCTGCTATGAAATCACAAGGCGGTGACTTCAACGAAGCAGAGTACATGCAAGATCGGGCCAGCCATATTGACCGGGAAGCGAAGCGACAAGAGAAGGAAGCAATGTTCAGCCTGGGCAACAACTTCTGGAAGCAAGACTCTAGGATAGCTCCAATGAGGGGTGCTCTTGCTACCTGGGGTCTCACCATCGATGACGTTGGTGTGGCTTCTTTCCATGGCACATCCACAGTCGCCAACGACAAGAACGAGTCTGATGTGATCTGCCAACAGATGAAACATCTCGGTCGGAAGAAGGGCAATGCTTTACTCGGTATCTTCCAGAAATACCTCACAGGTCATCCCAAGGGTGCCGCGGGCGCCTGGATGATGAATGGCTGTCTTCAAGTCCTCAACAGCGGTCTTGTCCCAGGTAATCGCAATGCTGACAACGTGGATAAAGTGATGGAGCAATTCGACTACATAGTCTATCCCTCGCGCTCAATCCAAACCGACGGTATCAAAGCCTTCAGCGTCACTTCGTTCGGTTTCGGCCAAAAAGGTGCTCAAGTCATCGGCATCCACCCTAAATACCTCTTCGCTACTCTCGATCAAGCTCAGTACCAGACTTACAGACAGAAGAACATCGCAAGGCAGAAGAAGGCATACCGATATTTCCACAACGGCATGATCACCAATACCCTCTTCGTAGCCAAATCCCACTCTCCATATGATGACGCTCAACAGTCCAAAGTCTTCCTCGACCCCAACTCCCGCGTTAATTGGGACAAGAAGTCTTCGGAGCTCCGCTATCCCATCAACGGCGCACATAAGTCCACAAAAGCCACGCCAGAGGAGGAACAAACGAAACAGATGGTCGAGCATCTGTCGAAAGCTGCAGCCAGCGAAAATAGCAAAGTTGGTGTCGACGTCGAGAGCATCAATGCCATTAACATCGACAATGAGACTTTCATCGACAGGAATTTCACGCCGCAAGAGCAAGCCTATTGCCGCAAGGCTGCTGATCCGAGAGCGAGTTTTGCGGGGAGGTGGTCGGCTAAGGAGGCGGTTTTCAAGAGTTTGGGTGTGTCGGGTAAAGGCGCTGGAGCTGGTCTGCTTGATATTGAGGTCTCGAGTGATGGGGAGACTGGGGCTCCCGTTGTCATTGTAAGTCATTCCTTCCTCGAGGATCGAGGGTCAATACTAATATGTGCGATAGCTACACGGCGATGCTAAATCCGCAGCTGCGAGCGCGGGAGTGAAGAAAGTGGATGTCAGTCTCAGCCATAGCGAGACGCAGGCTATTGCTGTTGCGGTGTCGAAATTTTAGATCAGGCCGATTCTGGGAGTGAGGGTTCCTGGTGGTGGTGGTGGATGAGCAGGCGTATAATCCTATTTGGGCGGCTTATCATGCCTTTCTTTGTTGAGGTAGACTTTGCGTCGTGTGATGGCTTGCAAAAGCTTGTTATTGCCTATATCTCAATGGCATGGATAGGTGGTTTTGTAGATAGATCGGTAATTCAAAGGCAATTCGCTTTATTGGCACCGCTAGACTTGTCAAGCATCTGCCATACTTCCAAGCACTGACGGTAGTGGAAGTAGGCGACTGATTGTCTTCAATCTTCATACCATTCGCCAAGTAAAAAATGTGGTTGGGCATAGTGATCGTCAAGGTGGACAATGCCTTGTGTTGTTTCCTACCCATATCCTAAGAAAACTTGCCCCAAAACCGCAAAAATATTCCACCACAACCACCGCGCCCTCCCGCTCCCTTCAAACCCCAAATTCTCGTCTAACACACTCCTCTCCACTCTCCCCAAGCATCACGAATTCTTCCACCAGCCTGTTGCTGCTTAAGAAACAACTTTCACAATCCCATCCCTCCCCCCGTTGCGGGGTTTGGCCAAAGTCCGAACGCCGGGCACCCAACCTCCCCCACCCCCCTATCAGTCTTTGCGGATCCCCGCCAATTAGATAGCACTAATTAATAAGCATAAATCTCGGAGTTAAGCTGTGGAGCTCCGTCGACCCCAGGAATACCTCGATCGACCCCACCTTTGACGGAAGTAGGGGGGAGGGGGGCGATTACGGATGTGGTTAGTGTCTGGTGGTGGAGCAATAGGGGCGAAGGGGGGTGGGCTTGTTTGGGGGCGGGAGGATCGGGGTTGAGGGGGGAGTGGTGGGGAAATCTTTTCTGCAGGCTATCTGCACGGTGATCTGATGGGGGAAGGAGTGGGGCGGGGGAAGGGGGGGAAGAACGTACGGATGCGGCTAGTGGACTGCTCGATTGGGTCATTGCTTGTAGTTCTAGGTCCTTTCACGGTGGGTGTCTGACAACATTGTTTGAACTTGGGTTTTGGGGTTTGCTACGGTAAGCGGCTATGTCTGAGTCTAACGCAGACCTACCCTACCCTACAACTATGAAGGGGGCGGCAATGGAATTCCCCAAGACTTCAAAAGCTTCCGAAGCTTCGGAAACTGTGGAAAGTTCTCTCCCCCAATCCGATGCCAGAATTCCAAATCGACCCGAAAAGGCAGCTCCCAAACCCACCGTCCACACTAGCCGTAAGCGTACCCCCTTTTCCATCGAATGCGCAGACCATGTCTCTAAGTCGGCCGAGATATTCCAGGGTCGACCGAGCTTTTGCTATGAAAAGCTGTGCTTCGATGGGAGATCAGGGCGAATGATCGAGCTGGGTAAGGGGCTAGCCTTATATGGGTATTTTTCAAAGTTTGTGTTGAGGTAGGGAAAGTGCTGTGTATATGGGTATGGTACCACGTTCGTGGACACGCTGGAAATACGGTCATGGGGCCTTTCCACGTCTTGATGAACTGCTAACTCTAGTTGAGGGATGAGTATGCTTCTGTGGAAGATTGGGCGATGCCACTGATTCTTGATTCCATTGAATTTGTCTTTATCCGCGCTTCTGCCTTCGTACGGCGGCATTGATGACGAGCCTCATCATATTGACATCTGCATAGTCCTCGAAAGCACTTTCCGCCAGCCCCTAAATCGTGTCCGTTTCAAACGTTCGCTGGGCAGGGTATCTCATGTCCTAAAATTGCTGGTGCTGAGTTCGAACATCGAATATCTCGTGTAATGACCAGGGCGAAGCTTGCGTATTCTTCGTGAAAGAGGAAGCTAGATGCTGCTGATTAACGATGTTCGGCCAATCATCCATCTTGATTGGCTTTGAATTCTGCAATGCATGATCTTGTTTACTAGGCTCTAAGCAGCATGGCGCTGGCCCCCACGATCTCTTGATACACCACGACAGAGCATCGTGATGCTCGCTCGCGGTGCTCAGCTCGGCCCTTGAGATGCTTTGCGGTGCCTCTTTTATCCGAAGATGGCGGGGCTTGGATCTTTGTGCTTGCGATTGGGGATGAACTGATAGGGAGGGGGCTGTCGGGTAAGTGGATGGATATCTGGCGATAGTATGTCTCCGGATGCAAATTCGAGGAGGAGACGGTCATCCCTCTACGGTCAGGCTATTTGGTTTGTGATTGCTCGGGCGATGTCTCTCGCAAAGCCGTGGTATTCATCGCATTATGTGTAGTCAAGGGACTCGACTAGCAGGTGGGATGTTGCCCTTTCAGCTCGCAGATGGGTCAATCACGGAAAAGTACATTCGATGGTCGAGATAGCTTATTTGGCTTTGATTGCTAGTATCTACTCTTGACATATCGATCTACTGGGACAGTACGCTGCAGATGAGATCTACAGACTGGAGGACTCACATGCCCTCCGTGTGTATTCTGTGGGAGCTACAACCAAGAATGTGCCGATGAAGGTCATGACAATCCAAAAGAGTGATGGGAGCAGCAAAACAGGTTTCACACCGGTAAATACGGTAGCATTTGCCTCTCGAGTCGCAGAGATAAGACGGCATCTCGGACGAATCAGCCGGTGCCGAAGCAGAGCTCACCGTTCATCCGGTGTTGCATTATCAGGACGCATCCCTGACAGTGAATTTCCACGCCATACACTCTCTGAGCGAGAATCTCTCAATTCCGAGCAGGACAAAGGCTACGGACAACATGAGAGATAGACAAACGAACATCAAAACTCCTCGTATGACCATTGATCGCTAGAATTCCAACGAAGAGATACCCTCAGGTGATCCTCGAGCCTCGAGAGTCATCATCACAAGCCGGCTCGACCAATCACTAGGTAAGGCGAGAGAATTCACTGACAACGTGCTCCGCCCAGGTGGCTTTAGCGTCGTAGCCTGCTAATCTCGCATAGCTCAACACTTCACATCACCTCATCTGCACCTCTTCCATTTCTTCGCTTCCTCCACCTTGCACCACCAACCTCCCTTCTCCGATATCATCATCTCTTCTGCTCTACAGTCACATCTACATCGCAAATACACAACATTCCATCAGTTCAGCCTTGAACTCACTATCAACCACAATGGCAGATTTTCAATCGCCCGAAAAGCCCAAGTCCGGCATGGACAGTCTGACTACACAAGAGAAACACTGTTTTGACCTCGCAATGAATCACTGTTTGAAGGAGCCCAACAATCTCAAGGTAAGTCTCGCCTTCCCCTTCCCCCTGAACGTCCCACCGTCGTCGCCTACTCACCTTTGCCTGTCCCACTGACACCGAAACTTCCCAGATTGACGTCAAGAAACTAGCCAAACTCGCCGGGTTCACCAACAAGAAATCCGCCTCCAATATTTGGGGCTCTATTAAGAAAAAGGTGTTCAGCAAGCCCGCCAATCCCACTACCCCCATCACCACGTCTTCCGCACCAGCCGTCGACAAACCTGCATCTAAGAAGCGCGACCGCACATCCAATGATGCTGCAGAAACCCCCACCAAACGCGCCAAAGTGGAGGTGATGCCCGTCCCCCCCGCGCTGATGCTGGGATCTACGCACTCGGAAGAGGAGACGAATGAGATTCTGAAGAAGGAAGCCGCGACCGAAAATGGAGAATTCATGGGCTTTGGCGATCGGTTCGTGCCTGGCGATAGCCTTGGCGATGGAGAGTACGAGGGTGAGTTTGTCTTTTCTCATAAAAACTAGTGTTTGAGAGGGGAGGCTGATGTAGATGGTAGCTGCTTGAGGGGCTTTTGCATGGAAGGAATTGTGGATAGCAGGATGGTTGGCTGTGGTTTTGTTTCTTTGGCGGGTGTGCTTTGTGGTTGGTGGGTTGGTGAGATGACAGTAGTTACGTGGCACTTTGTGAAGAAAGGGATGGATGGATGGTCTGCGTGTTTGTAAGTGGTTGTAGCTGTATGTAGCTATGATAATGAGATGGCTTGATCTTGCTTTGAGATATACGAATCACGTTTCTCTTGTTCTTGTGCGATTGCTTCTTGCCTGTTGCAGATGTTGCGATAGGTTAGTTTCTTTCTTTTATATAAAATTAGTGAATTAGTTTGAATAATCTATCTTATGCCTTACTTTACCGCCGTCTAATATATTGATTATTGACCTTGCCCATGGCTTGCAGCCTTGATTATCATATGGATTGTGGCTGTTGCATATTAAGTACTACGGAAAGAAGGTCCTTTCTATTGCGATACTGTAGAGTCCGACTTCCCCTTCGATACTCACCGGCTTCTTCTACCACAACTACTATACGAGTAATAGTGCCTATGTCTCTAGCACAAGAGCGTCTATACGCAACGACCTTTTGATAATCTCGTGACGATAATGCAAGTCTTCAAGAAGAACGGCTACTTTCTACTAAGCCTTTCGCACCCCTTGTTTTATAGCAAATAGACAAGGCTATCGATAGAAGCTTTTCCATAAACCCTTTGCAGCGAATTCCGTAGGCTAGGCGGGCGAAGAAAGATGTGGCTTTAGAAAGACTTCGATTCCTGCTTCAGACCCTTTAGCACTGGCGTCGCCGTCTATCTTGAGTATCAATGCCTGTGTCTCCAGCATTAGAGCTTTCATATGCAATATCCCCTTCACGATCTTGTAACGATAATGCCAGCCTTCAAATAGGACGGCTACGTCCCAATGAGCCTTTTGCACCTGTTGCTTTATAGCAGATGGACAGGGTTATCTGTAGAAGCTTTGCAGGAATCCTTTGCATTAAGCTCTATGGGCAAGGCGGGTATTTACTTCTGTTGCATTCTGAGAGGCAGGCAAGGCTGTCTATAGAAGCTTCCGCAGGAGCCTTCTGCAATAGACCTCCTAGGCAAGGCGGACGATTGCTTCTACTGACTTCTGGGAGATGGACAGGGCTGTACGTAGAAGCTTTGTAAGGAGGCTTTTGCAGAAGGCTCCATGGGCGAGGCGGGCGACGAAAGAGGTGGCTTGGGAGAGAGCCTAGTGCTATTCTGAGGTGGGGAAGTTTTGGACAGTCCATGGGAGACGGGGCTCTGTGCCATTGAGGGACGCGTGAAGCAGGTTTTTGGTTTCGAGACCTTGATTATTGTCTTGAGAGGAGGAGGAAGAAGAGGGTTTTGGCTTGGAGAACAGGCGGTGTGGTGTTCCAGGGCGAGACATTTGGACAGAGGGACTCGGAAGTAGGAGAAGCTGGGAAGAAAAGGGTTCTGGGCCGTTAAGAACACGTGCAGTAGGTCTTTGAATCGGTGATATTGGGTATGCCATCGTATGGCGTCGTGACTATTTACTCAAGCCCAAGCCCACAGGCACTGAAAGCACTTACAGAAGGCTTCCCAGCAAGACAGTTTGGTCTCGAAGGGGTTTTAAAATGCCCTGTAAGAATGTAGATACCACTTCCGCCAGAGTATTGGATAGCCTTGAGGTTTGGGGGAAGTAGGTGTTCGTGGAATTGGAGAAGTCCAAGCTGTTGTAGGCGTCCATGTGGTTGCAGAATCTCTGTCAACTGAACAAGCAGACTGTCAAGGGCCTGCAATATGAAAATATTGGTAATTGGAGCGATGAGCTGTCGACGTCGTCATGAGCCTTGAGCTGACTCTACCCGGCTTTGGGGCGCGTACCACAGGCCGCCGGCGAGTCAACACAAGACGCACTTTCAGTCACGTCTCTGTAGGTTGAAAACCAGACTGATTTCGGGCTCTGGCTCATGGGAGGGTGACTTTTTCTTCCTTGCTTTTCTGCACCGAGCTCTAGTAATCTGGGCTAGCTTGACGAGTATCTACGGACTCCGTCAACATCACCAAGACCACTAGATATTACCATATAGTGGCTCCTCAAAGGAAGAAAACTCACGGGGTACTGCTTGTCATACGATGAACACAAGAGATAGCTAACGAGGAGGACGAAATGAGCCAACCTGCCTAGAGCAACGTGAAGAGCCACAAGACAAGCTTGACCGTCAGTGGTACTGAAGACAAACGGAAAGCAAAGAGATGGAAAATACTACATGAGCGCAGCCCTAAAGGATTGAGTATGCTGAGCAGGAAGTCTCGGTCCCAAATCCTCCAGGAAATCATACGCTGATTTCTTCATATATCCTGAATATTGACGTCGGTTGTCCCGCAAGTGACCCCAAATTTGTATCTTGACTCTGCCCTTACTCCTTCACCAGCCTACCTTGGAGGATGTCCAGAACAAAACAAGTTGCAAAATATGCTGAAAGACAGAGCATCAGGTTTGCCCGTCGGCACCCTACACTGTAACAGGCGGAGTGACAAGCCGATTGCCAAGAACCTTTGATGGTTCGTACCCGCAGCCCTTCACATGTCCTCCGTACGCAAGTCCGTCATCGCGCATCTGTATCCCTACAGTCAGCCCCTCGGAATTGCCACTGGTCCTACCTCGGAGGATGTTCAGAATGAGCCGAACATCGGGGTTTGCTGAAAAGCGGAGCTCCCAGCCGCTGGTCAACATTGTGCATACAACAGGCGGAGCAACAAGTGGCTTAGACTGTGTTATCAATGGTACATAGGAATCTCTCACATATGTCTCGAACGCCTTTGTCCGCCGCCATGCAAAATGATTCTCTTCAGTCTCTATCTCAGCACTGCCGCTCTTTCAACCCGGAAGATCTCTAAAATGAACCTGACGCCGAAACAATCCTCATGGAGCCCAATATTTGATAGTCGGTGCCTCACATGGAACAAATGGGCTTACTACTCGCTACTCAACATATAACGGGCCGTTCAACAAGCCGACTGCTCAGTGCTATCGATTGTACATAGCCGCAGCCTTTCAAAGATGTCTTCAGATACGTACAGGCGTAGTCTAGCAAACGAGACCCTACAGTCCCTACCTAAGCACTACGGCTGCTCCAGCTCGGAGAATGTCCAGGAGGGTCGAAATTCTAGGTGCACGGAAAGACGGAGTCTAAATTTGACCATCGGCACCTTGCATTCAACATTCGGAGCAACAAGAAGTTTGCTGAATGCTATTGCTGGCATACAACCGCGGTAAACATCGGTGAGAGTCCCGGCAGTAATACGATATACGAGCGGCAGTCGAGTGGCAGAGCAGAAAAGTGATTTAAAGCAGCAGGTAATGCAGGGTGGAGACGCGCAATATCGCGGCACAACATGATTGTGGAATCGATCAGCTCCTGAATAATCCCTCGAGAAAGCCTCGGTCCTCGCGTCGCAGGATGCAAGAGCATGGCAAAGGACCACGGTACAGGCAGACTGCCAATCGAGACACGGTGGGCAGCTGTTTGCTGCGGCAACCACTGGCCCGCTTCTAATAATCGGAAGAGCGAGGAGGCCTGCTTTGAGTGTTTGCAAAAGACTAGAAAAATCGAGAATACCAGTTGCTCAGAGATTTATCTCACAACTGGCAAATATCTTTGATCTGTCGAAAACCTTCCATACCAAGTTTCCGAACTCGACAACCATTCGAAATGGAGAGTGGAGATGTTGCAGCACATCTAGAATCCAAAAATGGCACCCCAATCAAGGGGCTGAACATTGCATGCGTGGTATTGACCGGTATTGTCCTGATCCTACGCTGTTGGTCGCGCGCTACAAGCCCGAAGACAAAGTTTGGTGCGGATGACTGGACGGCTCTTGCGAGTTGGGTAGGTACACCTACGGTTATCGAATTGCAGAAAGAGCTGACGTCTCATGTCATATTATAGCCTATTGTTGCGGCTTTCAATCTGCTCACTGTAAAATACACAACTATAGGCTTTGGGCTTCATGTGGTCGAAGTCCCGCCAGAAGACCTTGTCAAGGGTCTCAAGATTTCATACGCGAGTTATCATCTATACGATTTTGGCATGACATTAATCCGAGTTTCTGCGATTCCGTTCTACATCCGAATCTTCGATCCCCGGAATTCAAGATATCGCTATTTTATCTGGGCTACTTTGGGATTCAATCTGGCCTGGCTACTTTCCTTTGAAATCGTGACCACAGTCCCCTGCCTACCAATTCACTCCTTCTGGGATCTGGATCGAGTAAAGCCATCTTCATCGCCGCCTAAGTGCTTGTCGATAATTACGGTTCATATCTGGTATGGTATCACCAGTGTATTGCTGGATTTGATGGTCTTGGTCCTGCCTGTGCACCGCCTTGTAGCATTGCAAATTAGCCTACTCAAGAAGATTCGCGTCATCTTCATATTCATCATGGGCTATTGGTATGTTGCATCATTGACTTCCCTAGTAATACAATAGAAATCATTGCCTACTGATGATATCTCAGCGTCATCATTTTCACAATCGGTAGGCTTGTATCTATTATTCGAGCTGGCAAACAGCTCAACACAGATTTTACATGTTTGTCACAACCTCACCTAGCAAAGTGTATGCAAGATACACGACTGATATTCTCAGGGGCATTGGTCACGCCACTTTACTGGTTTACGTGCGAGATCTCAATGGCAAGCGTGTGCATATCGCTACCGATGATACCCCAGCTTGTTCAACGCGCCACACAACAAGGATTTCTGGCTCTGTTCGACGCTAGAAAATACCCTGATACCTCTCTGGCTTCGCGCCCGATCAAGAACGCTAGCGCCGAAGATGGGTTTGCTCGTCTGAATGATAGAGAGGTGAGGACTACAGAGCAGATACTTCTAGGAAACATGGAACCTTATGAGCATGCCATTAGCATTTACGTAGCAGATAACGAGCCTGAACCAAATATGGCCGACTAAAGTACGATTGTGGCAGACAGATGGCCCGCCCTCCGGAAAGAACTATGGTCAAAGGAATGAAAGCTATTCGATGCCACACAAGATCACCTTGTTGTGTCACTCTCGATTGATATACGTCAATGTTAAATCATGTGGATGCCATCGTCTTCCTAATATAAGTCTATCACAGAAGTCGAGTGCTGCCGAAGTTTTGAGCCAGAATCGGCCGTCAGAATTAGCAGGAAGCAGAAAAAGCATTCACAATTAACATCGGTCCATTTGCAACTCGCGTTTGAACATGCCACCAACATTGAGCACACCTTTACCGGGCCCCTTCAAGAGCAGACATCGTGTCGCTTTCGCAAAGCAAGACCTCCAAGTTCGACGGTACAAGAAGCAAGTCAAACACAGAAATAAATGCACCTCTTGAACGTACGCTACATAAATGGTGAACCTGCTGATGCGATATCGCAGAGTACTTTCAGAAGCCACCCCTCGAAGCACTGGTCAAAATATGCCTCCATGCCCTTCGCTCACGATCAAGAAGCACCGACCAATTCAATAGTCGCCTCGCAAATAATCTATAGAAGGTGGACACAGCCCAAAAGCATGAATCCTCCTGTTCCCATGGTCGACTCGATGACCCTCTGCTATCTCAATGTCACGCACCCTCCTGACGGGCATGCAGCCCAGCATAGACCCCACGAGATGCACGCTCCTTACCGTTGCTTTCAACTACAGGATAACATATGGCACATACAATGAAAATTAGAGATCTACCTTCCCGCAAGCACAAACCTCGTCGACTGAACATTGCCGAAGCTACAAAGTTAAACGCAAAGAGGAAGAAGAGGAAGAAGAAGAAGGAGGAGAAGAAGAAGAAGAAGAAGAAGAAGGAGAGGATCCGCATAAAACTCGAGTGTAAAGTCCAGACGCTACGAAGAAGATCGCCCCCTCGTAGGGCACATATGAAGAGCGAGTTCAGACGGGAAGTGAGTCGAAGACCTCAGAGACTGGAGAGCTAGGCTCGTTGAAAGTCTTGACACGCTTTGGATTGTGGAAAACAAGGATGATTTTGATGGAGTCTTTAATGGTGCGGAAGAAAGTGAGTCGCAGCTCGGGCGGCTGGTTCGACATATTCAGGACATTGAAAACGGTTTAGATGCATACATGAGCGAGATAAATTATCGAGTGTACACAAGTCTCGTTCTTGAACCCCGAAGGGATAATTGGATTACGTTCCAACCTCGTTTAATTTACACTCGGCTCCCGCGAGCGTATATTGTTGATTTTCCACCGTCTGCCAACCACACCCACTCAGCCTCAATCCAGCAGTCCAATCTTCCCCCTTTAGAAACCTTGGATATTCCCCCCCCATGCAATGACCGCCACTCGTACCTTGCTATCCAATTCAGAGCCCAGCCCCGAGCTCACCTTCTTGCTCACACATTGAAAGGGTCACCACACGTATCCAACAAGCCTGCCAGTCCAGCTTAGGAGATGGAGGTGCATTGCCCATCAACCCGCCCCTGAGGCCTACCCTGGTCTTAACTCTAGCATTTCTTTAAGTAGTAACCTCAAGTAAAGAAAGGGTGATGGTACCATTTTGATATGTAGCGTGCTTGAACATGTGAACTTCTCTATCCGCGACGGCGCTCGATTCCAAGATGAGGTGTGGGGAGAGGAGGAAGTGATGACGCACGAGTAATGAGTCTGTAAAGCCGTATCGTGCATCTGCAAGTGATACTTACATTCCCAAAAACAGACACGAGAGGAAGTCCTAGTTCGTTAAGCCGTCACAGGCGTTGAAGCACCAATTACCCTCCTTTGTGAGGTCTTCCACATTGAAGTTTCTATGTCTCAAGTTGTCTCCATAGTCGGGAGTATCCCTTGCCAGGAAACATGGCAAATGTGGACTTCGTTTCCACCTTTTATCTGCAGGCTCAAATCCTAGAGCTGCGGTATCCTCAAACGCGGATAGAGGGTGAGGCTGGAGGCAAACCATTTCTTTAACCCATCAATGACTGCGTTCCAGATCAAGAGAAACTTTGGAGTCGTAGCGGTATGGAAGGCGTTTGGAAAAGGTCTTCTTCTGTCCAGTCTGTTGCAACGACATAATTATACTGGTCTATTGCCCGATCCATATGACCATCTATGTAAATTGAGTACGTAGTGTTATTCCCCTGAGGTAGCCGACGAGGGTATACCCCCATTGATACCATGTCCTCTATTGCAAGGCTATGATGAAGAAGCTCATGGTCCAGTTCTCTTTTAACTCGTGAAAAATAAAATCTCGCAATTTTATCCTCCTCATCTAGCCGATCAATGTATGCTTCCCTTGATGTCGTCTTTATTGAAATGATATCTTCAAGAAAATGGATTTTCTGTTTCATCTCGATTTTTGCGAAATATGATCGAGCAATGTCGTGATCTGAAGCTAGCCGACGGTGGTAACGTTCCTTCAATATCGTCTTCACTGTAATGACATGTTTCAACAAGTCAAATGCTCTAACAGACTGTCCATCTTCTTTATATACTAAAGCAAGCTGGTGCTGTGATATGAGTCGCCCAGAGTCATCTTCGTGTTGGACCGCGACCATGTGTTCAAGAAGCCGAATTGCCGCCTTCATCTGTCCATCTCGCGCATACACCATTGCAAGCTCGTGCTGCAGCATCAACAGGTACGGCTCATCCTTTGGCAAATTTATTTTCTGCATTACACGTAAATGGAATAGAATCTCGATTGCCGCAGCAATCTGCCCGTTTTTTATGTAACGTTCTGCTTGTTCAAGTCGCAAGTGAGATCGTTTGGGAAGCAACACATCTTGCCGGAAGTACGATTCATTCAGCATATTGGCGGCTTCTTCGAACCGACAATTTAACAGCAGATAGTTGCCGACCGCCAAAGATATCTCATCCAAAATGCGAGCGTCCGAAGGTTTGGTATTTCCAACGGAATTGTCCCAGGGGTCAATCTCCAGAGATTTGGTGCCTTCGAGGAAATGCAAAGCTTGAGGAATATACTCTCTCCAAAAAGCGTCATCATTGTAATCGTAACGAGGGAATGTGTCGTCAATGCTGTCATTGTATCTTGGGATAAGATCCAAGAGGAGCCGGGCCACCAGTATCTTGCCATTTTTAGTAACACCCTTCTGATTCACCCATACCTTATTTGCTAGGTGAACAATTCGGTGCATGTCGTAAGTCTCGTTGTCATTCGGTTGAGTCATAAAACCGCATGCACGGAGCAAACCTATGGCGCGAGTCATTTGCGCCTCGGGTCTCGGAGCTGGCTGCATATGCTGAGGTATCGCTTTAGAAGCCGATAGCATGAATCGAGGTATCCGTTTGTGATCAAGACATGACATGATCGTTAATATCCTTTCTGCAATACAATCAGTCTTCATAATGCGATTAAATGAGTCATCAAAGATGCTGGCAACGGCATTCTGCGAATCTTTGTAGCGTGTTTCGTCATGGAATTCGTAGCTCAAAAGGCTGACTGCATCCTGCTCGGAAGTCTGAAAGAGATGTAAGTATCCAGCAATGGTGATCTGCATCGTATTGATATATGCTGCTGCTTGTGCAATCGCCAGAGGTAAAAATGTGAGCTCCTCCAGGAGTTCAGATACAATTCTTTGATCCTGTAGCGATTCTTTCTGCACCAAAGATTGTCTCAAGAACGTTTCTGCTTCAACAGGGCCCATCTCGTGTATTTCGACGATATCACTGCCGGCCAAATCAACCGCCATTCCCCTATTACGAGTAGTGAACAGAGTGAGCCCATTCTCACTTTTAGGTAGGTAGTCTATCACACCATTAGACTCGCCTTTTTTGCCAAATACAATGTCTCCATCGTCTGCGTTGTCGACAATTAGAAGCCATTTACAAGCTGAGGCGGTGCTGAGGTGATTTTGAAAGAGCTTCTTGGAATATCCCAGCAATGGCAGAAAAGTTGGAAATCGTCTTATCGAGCACCGAGTCGTAATATCTTCATAGGCTTGCTCAAAACTCTCGCGGCTCACGGCTGGCACCCAGAAAATCGAGTAGTCAGGCCGACTCTCTGTGACTCTATACGCAAACTCGAGCGCCACTTGCGATTTCCCCACTCCGCCAAGCCCGAATAAAGCGAGTTTTTGGTAGCCGCCGTTGTTGAAGAGCCTTCCTTCCAGCTCTTTCAGCTTTTCAGTGCGACCAACAAAGCGCCGATTCCGCAACGGGAGGGCATAAATCATGTCTTTAGAGCAAGCTACGACCCGTCAGCGACCTCCAAACGCCAGTTCAAGTAAGCTCAAGAAGACTAACGACTTGCTGCTTTCTGTGTCGCTGTCCTTGTTGCTTTTTGTGGAATGTCCGTGACTGGTTTGACTGGAGACTCTGCACTGAAGGTCCCGCTCTTAAGGAACTTCTTCAATACACCAGCGATCGACCGATAGCTTTCGTCTGATCGATGCTTACTTCGAGCCATTTGCATGTGATTTGCATCTATACTCTCTACCGTCTCGATCTGACTAGGTAAACCAAGCTTGGACGAGAAATCGTCTACAACCTAAATATGAAAAGGCAAATTAGCAGGACTTGCAATAGAGATGTACCAAAGCAGAGCAGCGCACCTTTCCTTGGAGCCCTTTGACCCCAGAGTATCCTCGCCCCTCTTGAAAAGAATGAATATGGATGCTATGTTTGTGGACATCGTCAACGAAGGGCTTATGAACATTGTCCAGCACTTCATCGTTCACTTGCAGGGTCCTTAAAAGTTTTCCATTTGAGTCGTGCGTGGCCACTCGAGCTATGTTCAAAACAGACTCTCCCCATTTTGCCCAATTGCTACCTCTGTGTGGTGTTCCGAGGAAGACGATGAATTTTGTTCGCCGCCGGCAATGTTTGGATTTGTGTACTGCCTATAAATTGAATCAGTCTATTATTCTACAAGTTCGATGACGAAGCCTCTGATCTCACGTCTTTGACAAGAATGCCGCCAAGGCTGTGGGCTACAAATATGATAGGGTCCTGTTTGGCGTTAATCAGTCTGGAGACTCTGGTATTCGAGACGGACGGGCTCGCCTCATTATCGACTTCACGCTCCAATTGAATCGCAAGGTTACTGCCATGTACAGACACGCTATTCGCGTTGTTTGCCAGGAACAGCTCAACGACATCGGCGTTGTATCCGAACGTCCAGACTCTTGCCTGCGGAATGTCTTCCGCGAGGAAGTCTCTGGGCCAGAAAACTCGCTTCTCTTGCCCATTGCTGAAAAGGGAAGATATGGATCTGAACAGTCTTATATTTTGGAGATAGCTGAACTTGCTCTTGATGGTACTCGGTAGACTACTCGTCCATGTCTCAAGCGGGTGTCCCCTCAAGCCATGCACGAAGATAATGCTGCACTGGAATCAGCACGGAGTTGACTGAGACCGCAACATTTCATTACTTGACTTTCTTGTCTACTTGAGAGTTACTGGCATTCCCCCAATTCAAAAGCTCGGTGAAGCCAGTCCGATTGACACTTGGCAATTCGCTCTGCAAGAATCCGGCCTGGCAGATTGCAGGGTGTATGAAGCTCAGCATGCATACAAGAAGGATGAAGTTGGAGCGCATCTTGTAATCTCGCTTTCAATTGCAGACATTCTCTGTCTCCTCAGCATCGGGAGTCTTGCAATTATTAGAGGAATCGCATCTTCAAGGTGTGGAGCAAGAGGGAAGGGGGCCATATCTTGCGCGCTAGAACGAGCTCACCAATTGGCCAGATCCTGGTCTATAAAAAAGAAAAGCTATCAACCGAAACAACGTGGGCAAACGAAACTACTGGGATGCTAGATCTTGAGACTTGCGATCTACTACGTTCCCCCTGCAGCACAAGTGGGCGTTCCACTATCCAGTTGATGTTACAGCCCCCACCCCATTTCGCTGATAGCCCAGCCACAACGACCTTAGCCTTCTCAGCCTTCTCCCATAATGGATACCGCAATGCAGATTTTCTGAAACGAAACGGACCCCAAGTTAGCAAGACCGACACCTCGTCCATCTAGCCTGCCTTGGGTGGGTTTCAGCCTCGTCCGCAATGTCAATCGCACCTATGCTGGGGGAGAATTCCGGTCATCCTTGGCAGCTTGTCCTCCCTTGAAGCTCTTGAATAGCTCGGATTCTATTCAAAGACTAGCAACAGTACATAATGTCTCATGCTTCATTGGCTGTATCATTCTGGCGTGAAGCCGCTATCCAAGCCGCGCACATCTGCGATAAAGGCTCAGCTTCCTCCTTCAATGGCCAGGATGCTCGATCACTATTGACTCACACATCCTCTCCAGTCTCAATATAGTGTCATAGATTTTGTTCGGAGAGAATTGCTGAAGCATGGTTCTCTCTTTGGACTCCGATGAGGGATTGACCGATGCCACCTATGAAGACCTGGAAAACCACATTTCGCGGGAAATCCTCGAGAAACTCAGGTCCTTGATGCAACAACAGCCCCCACAACAAATATCATGGCCTGTCCAAATATTCAATAACGGCCAATTCATACGACTGACCGACAAAGCCCTCGTCATCCACGAAGACAAAGTCTACAAAATCTCCTTCACCCCAAACTCCCCCGATCCAAACTGGGAAGGATATCTAACCTACAACGAAATATCCCGCCTCCTCACCTGTCTCCATTCGCTCGCCAAACCACCCACCCGCTACGCCACCGTAACCGAAGGGATAGCATACCAGCAGCTCTACCCCACCAGACAGCACTGCCCCACCTACGCATCCGGCAAGTACCAAGAAGAGGCCAGCAAGCCCTCCATGGTATGCGGGATAATCCTCCCAATCCGCTTCCTAGAAGTCGACCACCAACGACCCAAAAGCTCCGGGAAAAACGAAGCCATTATGAAAGTCCTGCGTGTTCTGGGCCTGACGCTCGGCCGGCCCCATGGAGCGAAGTGCATGCAACTCCACGACTGCGTAGCCCAAGCCCTGCGACTCCCCGAGGGCAAAGGCATCCAGATCTCGACTTTCCTGAAACGGTATTTATGGAAGGAAAATGTGAGGGATGCGGGTGAGCCGCTGCCGGGGGTGATAGTACCCTTTGTGCCGGTCCTTGCGAAGGATGAGCGGCCGAGTCCGCTATGGGGGTCAACGACCCAAGATCGCTATACGCTGAGTGTGAAGGGGGAGATCTTTTATAGTGTTGTTCGAGCGTTGGCGCCGCCGGGGTATCCGCTGGAGGCGGTTGCGGTTCATTCTTTGGCGAATTTGAGGCCGGCTTGTGGGCCGTGCAATAAGCTGAGGGGGAAGACGAGCTTGAAGTTTCCTTAGACGGTGAATTTGGTTGACGGAGGTGGGATAGGTCGTGGTTTACGAGATGAGTAACGGCAGAATTCACGCAGAAGAGAGTCGCTTATATGGACTTTGGAAAACGGTCAGTAAGAGGTCAGTTACTGACCAGCCGTTGAGTCAACGGTGACCGAATGGAGTATGGACTTTTTCGTCTCGAGAGCCTAAGCTTTCTATTAAAGGAGAACGGAGCTTTCCTTCGAGCCTTAGAATTATGCAATATTCCACGCCTGCAGAGAGGAATTGGGTTCATACTGTCGGCAATGTGTCAGTATATTCATCAAGACCAGCAGTTGCTTGCTGGCTTGAGTCTACTTTCGTATCTGAATAGTTCACGGTGAGTGCTGCTTGGAACAGCAACATAAGGAGACCCTTGAGCTGCTCGAGCGAGTCAAGAACAGGCTCACCGGTCTCAATGCTACTTACATTCTTTGTAATGTTTGGCTGCCAGCGGGGAGACAAGCAGCGCTTAGCTTGGTAGCAGAATAATTTAGCAAAGCCACGTCTTGCTTCCAATTATGTATTATGCAAATTACCTGCGTCAACAATCGAAGGCTTGGACAAAATGTCCGATCGAAAATGCCGGATAGGAGCCGCTCCGTTTTGAAGGAAGAGATCTTCTTGATGAACTTTACTGAATCTGGTTCGTCGTGACTTGGTGGTCGTCGGTGGTGTGAGCGAGAGCATCGCGCATCCAGGTACAATGGGGCTAGCGTGAGAAGGCACCCTGCATCCACTTTTCGGTGTATTGACTCAAGATTTCTCATCATTGGGCTCAAGTTGCCCGTAATAGGGAATGTGATTTGTGGTCGGGTTCTCCATACTATGATGAATGCCGCGGAATACTCCGTGATACGCAACCTACAGCCCATCTTCAACAGAGTTTAAAAAATAGCCCCGAGCAGAGTCTCGCCATACGCACACTATATGCAGATTATATAACTTGATTTTTAAAAGAATGCTGGTCTCACCGAGTGGCTCAAAGAAGCAACGCGTGGTGTCATCCACCTGCCTGCCATACTGGGCTTAGCTCAAGCCCGAAGTCGCCAACCAGAGGGGTGCTGAAACCACAAGAGTTGTTACAATAGTAAAAGAAGGAGCCCTGACGGATACTTGCAGCCTTGCAGAAGCGCAATCCACAGACAGGGGGCGCAGAGTGGGCCATAGACGGAAGCAACGTATCGTGTGCAACGAACGGCGACATCGTAGATGTAGTGTATTTGCAACATCAACACCCAGCATGGACCGTTCCAGTGGCTTGCTTAGTATTGAGACCACAACCGACATGATCCAAGCTTGACCTATCATGCAGCTCATACACGTTCCCAGCATTCCTCGTGCTCATTGAATGAGCAGTGGAGAAGGCGGAGCAGAAATGTCTTCAGCGAAGGCGTCCCTTTGTACAGTTTGCCAGAAGGCAAAGACCAAAAAAGTACTGAGAACATTGAGCACACAACTGGTCGTGATCTAAACCACTCTGTGTTTCATGATCGAGATTCGTCAGGGCTACCCAAAGCTCACAGCTGGGTCGCTTGACTTGTTTGTATCTCATGGCGTCGTGATGCAAACGCAAGTCGAGTCTGTGGATAAGCTAAGGCTGTAAGAGTTTCTATCAAAGCTCAAGTCATTGACAACCAATGATAAAATAACACCCACCTCCAATGACTTGGTCAAAAGGCCAGAAATGGAAGAGACGATAGGCTATTCAAGAATTGTAAAAAACCAACCTGAACCACCTCACTCACCTCTCCAACGCCAGAAACGCAGACTCACCAAACTGACAAAAGCAGTCAAATTACAAAAAGCTGCACTGCTGCAACCACCGCACCACAAAGAACCAACACAAGAAAAGCTATACCAAATACTAATCTCATTCATCCAAAGCACTAGCAGATAATTTACATTCTCCCTCTCCCTCTCGCTCTCTCGCTCTCATAGCTCATAGCTCATAACAACCTTAGCAGTATGTCCAAGCCAGAAACGACCGAAGCCGAATTGTCCAAGCTATTAATAGCATCCAAATCTTTAAGCCACTCCGTAAGCCAATAAATATGAGTAAGAGCAAGTGACATATGCAGACATGTGCAGGCGTAAGTAGCGTCATCCAAGCCAGTATCCGTCGGTAAAATCACAGGTAAGAAGAAGAAAATAAAATCCCCATCTAGTCGCCTCTCACCAAACACCCATCCTCTAGATCCCACGTCCAGTACTCCCCTCTCCTCCAGTGAAATCAAGGCGTGAGAAGTCCAAGCAAGCATCATCGTCATCCTCGTACCTTTCGACATCAAGGCGACGAGGTAGGTGTGTGAGCAAAAAAAGTCAAGCAACAGCAACATGCCGCCGCCACTCCTCCACCCGTCCACCACCCTGCTGACCACGATGAATCCCCGCCAACATACTCGCCCGTCTCCTCGCCTCCCGTCCCTCAACTTCAGCAGCATCTTGTTCTGGATCCAAGAAATCCATGACTGTGGGGACATCACCCATCCCCTGCCCCTGGCCCAAGCCCCGCCCACGCGCATACGTATCAGCAGGAACACCCCTCCCAGGATAAATCGAGCCACGCCTCACAGGAGGACGCGGCGGCGCCGGTCTAGGAGATAAATGCCTCCGATTCGGCGATGGATGGGTATTAGGCAGCGGGACATCATACACCCTCGGCTGCCGAACATGCACGCGAATTTCTTGAACAAGCTGCTCAGCAGCAGCATTGTTCCCCTCCGTGAACGCGCCAGTGAGGATATCGATGCCGCGGCGATAGAGGTCGTCGTCGCGAGGGCGTCCGCGACGGGCTTCGTTAGCGGCAGGATCATGATTAGGTGCGGGGACAGGGCGAGGGGGAGGGGGCCCGTCGCGGAACTGGTCCCTTCCGCCTCCCCAGTCATCCAGGTCTTCGTCCCAGAGATGGCGAGCTAGGCGGCGCGCGAGCTCTTCGTCTTCTTCGTCGTCTTGATGGCGGGCTTCTTCCCAGAGGCGGTCGAGGCCCGCTCGGGGGTTGCGTTCGTGTTCAAGCCGGTCCTGCTCAATCATGTCGTCTGTGAACATCGAGCATTCGCATGTGTGCCATTTGAGGCCGCAGACCATGCAGAATTGGGCGCCGCAGCGGCAGGTCATGTGGTTGCAGCCAACGGCTAGCTCGACGGTAGCGCGGCAGTTGTAGCATTTGCGCCAGCCCTCTTTGTCTGCCATGCGTTGGAATTCTTTCAGTGTTTCGTCCTTCGGACATTCTTTGCTTGTGTGCCATTTTTGTGCACAAGTCTTGCAGACCTTGGTGTCGCAGCGGGAGCAGATGCCGAATTTGCGGCCGGTGTTGGCACCCCCGCTGTGGTCGACGTAGATATTGGAGGGGTGGATGAATTTGCCGCAGCCTTTTCGCGGGCAGTAGATGCGGTTTTGGGTTGTAAATTCAACGTACTTGCGGTTCCATTTCCTCTTAAAGGCGAGGTCGAAAAGACTCCCAGCGTGGTGGGGGTCGATGGGATTATCTTTGGAACAGCAGGCTGGCGGCATCTGGGTGGGGTCTTGGAGGCTGTTGGTGAACATGTTGCGTAGGCAGGAGTTGCACATGATGTGGTTGCAAGGTTTTTGGATGTGGACCTTGTGGCGGGGGAAGGGGTCGCAGCATATCATGCAATCATACTTCTTTTCGGGTTTAGGTTCCTTGGGTTTTGTTTCCTTGGATCGGCTATCCCTCCGAGGAGGCTCTTTGGGTCGAACCTCCTTTGATGGGGTGTCCTTAGGCTTGCTCTCTTTCGGTTTTGTGGCTCCGGTCCCGAACAAGGAACCCACGATGCTCTTTGGATCGATATGCCTTGTAGAAGAATTCTGTGGGATTTTGCTTGAACTTGAAGCTTGAGGAGCCGGACGATCGACTTTCGTTGTGGATGACGAGGGGGATGCCCGAGCGCTCTGTCTTGAAGACGGTCGCTCGAACTTCCTGGAGGAGGAAGAGCTTGCATCATTCGAGCGCACGCGGTCGCCAGATGAGGTGACTCGCGCCACTTTTGAGGCATTGTAGCTGACTGGAGGCGATTCATGTTGACGAGGCTCTCGAGCGCTTGTGGTCTTGCTTCGCGATAGTGGAGGACGGCTGGAAGGCTCTGCAGGTTGTCGGATGGTACCGCTGCTTCAGACACGTTAGCTCGAAGTCTTGGGTCTTTTGAGGGTGGTACATACCGCGATGTTGTAGACCTGTCAGACAGCCCCAGTCTATCGCTTAGGCTGGAGTGTCTGTCGCGGTGGCCTGAAACGCTACTCTCCGTTCTTCTTCTCCCCGAATCTTCTGTGTAATGTGTCTGAACGTTGTCTCTGGACCCACTGCCGTAGCCGTGCCTTGAAGAATGGTTTCTGGATACCGAAGATGCTCCCGCTTCATCCCTATGAATCCTCGTAGAACTATGTGAATGGGTTTCTCTTGACCCTATTTCACTACGTCGCCGATGGCTATGATGCCGTGAATGGTCCCGAGATTGTGAATGTCTCCCCTCTCTTTCTCGGCGACTTTCACGATCGTCAAGGACAGGGTCTTTCCCCTTGGAATGCGCAACTGATTCTGAGCTAGCGTGTATGTTTCCACTGCGTGATGCCCGTGCAAGGGGCTCTGAAGAACGCAGGCTTCCACTGTGGGTTACCATCCTCTGCTGCGTTGGTGCCCAAAGTCTCCAGGATGTGTAAGAAGAATCTTTTCTTTGCCTTCTTTTTACGTCATGCCCGAGAAGTGTTGAGTGTGTGATTCGCTTGCGACAACTCGCTGATGTGAGGTATGATGTACAGGATTGTGACCTGGCTTGAAGGATGTGAGGAGGAAAGTGTCGAAGAGTGGCGGTATCGAGGACGCTTTCATGCCTAAATACTAACGACTCCTAGTGTTCGCACAACCGTCTATCGTCGCACAATGCAGCCGAGAAGTCCCACGAGGTTTGACAAGCGCTAGAACGACCTCTGATCCCTTTTTGTGGTTGGCACGCCCCACGATTGCTTGCTAGCCGTGCATATGCATCTAGCCCTGGATCGGGATGGCTTTCGTCTGCGCCCAACGGTAGTTGTCGAAAAGGTGGCCAGTAAGGTCGCTCCAGGTGGCTAGTTCAATCTCGTCCAATCTGTCGCTACTCTTACACTGACGCACAGTGAAGGCGTTCAGGTGGTTCAGCTACGGTCAGCCCATCATGGGATCAGCGTTCTGTCGTCAACCTCAGCCAAGAATAGGCTGACCAATCAAAACGCAGTATGGAGAACGTCCCGAATACGGTTTAGAGGCATTCCAGAACCATCTATCTAGGCTTCTTCTGCTGACGTTGTACACTTTCTTCCTTCATATCAGCATCGAGACAGAGTGCGGCAATATCCCCATGATGTCTTGCAGCCTCCAGCAAGCACAATTCGCTGAACATCCCAAGCGTGTCCTCTGAGGATGTTGGCAGGCAAAGTTCTCCTCATTGTTCGGACGAAGGCGTACAAGGCGAGCAGGATGTGAGAACAAAGATGCCATTTGGATGTGTGCTTCATCACATGGTTGCATGTGTTGATGGCAAATTGCACGACATCGTCCTTTTTTCCGGCAAATGGTACTCTCATGGGCAATCCCACTGGCTCTATACGACATGTGTTTTCCATGCCTACGGCTTACAAATTTGCCCTCTCGCACGTTCCCCTATTTAAAAAGCATGTCCCTGGCAATTTTTCCCTTTGGCATTTCATCCATTCTCCTTCATGGAAAGATTTTTTTATTTCAAGATACACCTTGCATGCTGCTAACCCTTTCTGGTTTGGTGACAAGGGAGCTGCCACTGTTTACCTCCAATTTTAGATATCGCGAGCATCACGACACATAGCGACGGCGCGACACATAGATTCGTGGTAATTGAAGTAGAACAAAGCGTGCATTGGCACGAGGCAACCAACACACATCTAGATCTCGCAGTCAGTCCTCATAACCGAACAGGTGTACTCAACTCGTAGGCAAGAAGCGCAACTGAAAATGAAATCTGGGGGTGCACCTCCCGCAAGGATGGTCATACGTAATGACCATGCCGGTAAGCGTGTGCCAACTGATCAATCACAAGAAGAAGCCGCGAAGCGCGCGACCTTGGACGAGCAAGTAGACAACCCCCGAGTAGGATTCGCATCCGCAACAGAGGTCGACGAAGAAGGTCAGGAAGCGCCAGAAACAATTAATGAGGCTTCTACTGCTCGACCAAATCATGAAGCCGCGGCGCCGGCGAGTTCGACCAAGCGAGAAGACAACCCTCCAGCAGGGTTGGCGTCCACGGCAGAGATAAAGGAGGAAGATCAGCAAGTACCAGCAGTTAATAATGAGGCCTCCACGAATCGATCTAATGCTGGAGCTTCGAGTTTCGTCAATGCCGAGGATAAAGCTCTCGCGTCTGCGACTGAAGTAGGGGTCGAAGATCAAGACGTGCCAGCGACGATTGGGGAGTTCCGCAACCATATCTTCAACCCAAATCACCCTGATCGCAAGGTGACCAAAATGGTCCAACTCTGTACGGTACACATGATTCGACAAAAGCGGCAGATCACGAGCGATGAAAAGCAAGCGATATTCAACATGCTCAAATCGCTGAACAGGCTGCTCCCGGTTAGTACCGACGATGAGAAATCAATGAATATCACTGGCATGTTGAGATCGATCAATGGCGAGGTGCCTTCCCCAAAAGGACCCTACAGCTATCCAACACCTCTCCAGCGCAGCGCCGACATCTTACACCAGCGGATACTACTCGATATCGCAGTTGCAGAATCTATGGAGGAATCAAAGCAAAGCTCAAGTTCTCCTGAGCCCACAGCAGGAACTCGTGGATCAAAGAGGAAGCGTGATGGCGCAGAGCCCAGAACTCCTGCCAGTTTGCCAACCGACGACCCGACTTTCAGGGAGTGTCTACGCGGTATCATTATTCAAAACAACCCTCGATCGTACCGCCTCGATCCAGAAATGACACCAGCAAAACGCAGGAGCGACATTTTCGGTCATAATGGCCTTGCTGTAGGCCAATGGTGGCCTCTCCGCCACTGCGCACTCCGCGATGGGGCACACGGACACATTCAGGGTGGTATTCACGGCAGCGCAAACGCTGGAGCGTATAGCATTGTGGTTTCCGGTGAGCTCCTCAAAGGCAATTCTGACAGATTTACCATCTCGGCGCTCCCCAAGCAGTCACTTCAGCGAATCATTTCACTTCTTTCTGCTCTTTTCCTCGCCCTAGAGTCTTAAATCTGACACCTTCCAGGCCAATACTCCGCTCTCGATGTTGACAATGAAACCACGCTTTACTACTCCGGGAGCAATTCCCTCACCAACACCAATCCCTCCGAACCTATCATCACGTACGCCACAAAATCTCTCCGCGTCTCCTACAGCACCCAGCGCCCCATCCGTGTCATCCGCGCCAGCGGGTCCGATAGCCAGTACGCCCCTAGTAAGGGTTTGAGGTAAGCTCTCCCTCCCAGTATCCGCCTCTTCAATTTCTGCAAAGTCCCATTCCTGCCCACCCCGTTTTCTCCCTAGCTCCTCCCTGTTCCAGTCAATGGTGAGAGAAAACGCTGACCGCTACGACAACAGGTACGACGGGCTCTACCGCGTAACCAACGAAGCGACTGAAAAGAACGACGTCGGCGGCGCATACCTACGCTTCAAACTTGTCCGCGCACCCAATCAGCCGGATATCGATTCCACACGCCCTACTATGGCGGAGCGGAGGGTGTGGAATGCGGTGAAGGATGTCTGACCGCTTTTTCCCCCGCCTCGAGTATTCCCTGGCAACTTGACGGGGGAAGGGAGAGTAAAGGGAAGGGGGGAAAGGGGGAGAAGGAGGGGCAAGGGGGAGGCGGGTGTATGTGAAAAGTGAAATGAGTGATGAGAAATACCACATGCGTTTGATGATTTTGATGGATGAAAAGTGGAAGGAAGTGGGGAGGATATCAACATCATTTACCGAACATGATTTTATTCAGCTGGAGAACCCGACCAGAGGTCGAGAGCTTAGCGGAGGATGACGACAACTTGTCTGCATTTGTGTTGGAAATATCCCCGACAGCGATGGTAACTTGGCTGGAAGTTGTCGCGACATATGCACATATCATATCACATACCGAAACATACATTGAAACTATTACGAGAGACATGTGGGGAAAGCGTGGAAATGGTGTTGGTGTCCAAAAAATGCTGGAATTGATTAATTGCTATCATGGTATCCCCTATCCGTGTATGCATCCCTTCCAACGATCTTTAAGCGCCTGTGATAGGTCAAACCTCCCTGTCAGGTGCAAAACCATTATGCATAAGGTCGCTCGAATGTGTGACCTGTGACTATGACGCCCTTCCTCCGTGCCTATCTTTCTCTTCCCACTTTCGTTTTCACCCTGGCCCCTTCCTTCCTCTTCATCGATGAAACCCTCAGAGCGGCAACAAAAGCTTCCTCTCCTTATCAAACTTCGCATTCTCCTTCATGAGGCTGATGAAGCGCTCTTTCAGCCCCGGCGCCATCATGCCCTTGTATTCAGCGAGCAGATCCTTCATTGGTATGCCTTCTTTCGGGATCTTGGATCTAATCTCTGCGGGCGAGGGGAGGGATGTTGCTGTGGTGGTTGTAGCTACAGTCGCAGCATTGGTGGTGATGGCAGGTCTATCTGCGGGGGGTTGCGCAAGGGGTGAGGATGCTGTGGCTAAAGGGGTGGGGTGTATTAGTTGACTGAGGTGTAGAAGAGGGGAGGGGTTAGGGAAGGTGAAGGGGAAGGGGGAAGTGGATGGGGATGCGAATAGAGAGGAGGAACATACGAGATGTAGCGCCCTTTCTATCAGGCACCGGGCTCTCGCCCCTACTAGCAGGTGGAGAAGCAGGCTTGCTCCCACCCGCGGCGCCCTTGTTCGTCCGTACTTTCTGCCGCTTGCGAGCGCCGTCGGACTTTTCGCCCCCGGAAGCGGCGTCTGGTTCGTTGTCGCTGCCAGAGCCTGCGCGGGCGCGCTTATTGCTTGTGGTCGGCGGGATTGGAGGAGAGGAAGGTCTGGAAGGAGGTTTTGAGTTGGTTTGAGGGGCGGTGGGTTGGAGGTGCTTGTTCTTTTTCGCTTTTTTGCGTGAGCGCGCGGATTCGTTGCCACTTGCGTCCGAGGCGAGAGGGGAGCCTGGACGCTTGAGATTGTTGCTGGAGCCGGCGCGAGAGAGGTTGGGATGGGTGGATTTTGAAGGGCGGTTGTTGGGAGTTCTGCTGCCGGAGGAAGACGGCGCTTTGGATTTTTGCTTGGGTTTGTCTTTGTCGGGACTTTTATCTGGTGTGGATTTGGCGGGATCTTTGGCTTTCTCTTTCTCCTTTTCTTCGGCTGCTTTGCGTCGCTCGGTCTCCGTAGAGTCGGAAGCTGAATCACTGCTTGAGGAGTATGGGTTGGAGCCGCTATCTGAGTCGTAAATGTAGTTCTTCTCGCGCTTCATCAGCGCTTTCTTGACCTTCTTGCCCTGCTTCTTTTCTTCTTCCTTTTCCTTCTTTTCAAGCTGCTCTTGTTTGTCATATTCCTTCTCCTCTTTCAAACCGAAGACGTTGGCTTGTAATTGATCTTTCTTGATTCGCTCCTCTGCCTCTTTCGTCTCATCATCCTCCTCGAAGAGCATATTCTCCTCATCATCAGCGAATCGATCTTCTGTGAAGTCTAGATCGTCCGCGTCCGCGTTTTCATGTTTAGTGACAGGAGCAGCGACACCACTCCCACCACCGCCTCGCTCCCATTTGCCCAGGAATAATCCACTGCCAGCTTTCTTGTTCTCTAAATCAGCTTGTCTCCTCTTCTTTGCTTCTTCCGAGTCCATGAACCATCGAGGCTCTTTCACTTTCTTGTTGAAGCGCAGCTCGGCCTCCTCAATACTCAGCGTCTTGAATTGATTCTTTTGTGTGAACTTGTACCACTTTTCGAGTGGGACCACACGAAATACTCCATCTGGACCTTGAATCATCATAGCGTATGTATTTGACAAGGCCTCCTCGTAAGTTCCGACCCACGTGCTCTTTCCGTCGAAGTCTTCGAGATGCCATGGCAGCGCTTCTTCATACCGCAGCTTTGATCTAGCCTTTTGCTCCTCTGTCTGATCTGTTCGATAGACTTGCTCCGTCTTCTTGAAGTTTATTCCGCGCTGTTTATTTCCTCCCATAGAAGGCGCCACCAAAGCGCTTTCAGCTTCTCGCTTTGCGTCTCTTTCAGCTTTTGCGATCGCTTTCGCTTCCGCCTCTTTGCTGTCTTCGCCCTCTGGTAGATCTTCCTTGGTCACTGTTGCGCGAGGATCCTTGCGGTGTAGTCTCACGGGTCGAACGAATTCCTCCAAGTCTCGTGGGTCCACATTCTTCTTGCTGGCGAATTTCGCAACATGGTGCCGGAACCCTTCCAGCAAAGCCTTTTTTGACATGACCACTGGATAATCTTTGAATTGCGCAACTGCATCTGATGACCAGCCACTAGCCAGATTCGCCTCACTAAGCTGTAGGGGAGTGAGATTCGCATGGCTGGGTCGCGGTGCCTGAAGTATTTGGTGAGGCTGATTGAAGGAAGGCGGTCGTATACCATTTGATGGCTGTGTTGGCACACCATTGGATGTTGGAGGCTTCGGTGCTGGCCGCTTCTTGGGTCTGACAAGAGGGTCCGCTGCTTTTGGCTTTCTCTTGATGTAGGGACCATCTCCATTAGGTGTACGGCCAGGAGTCCTGCCAGGTGTGCGCTCGGCAGGTGAAGCACTCATACTCATATCTGACTGCATGTTCGCCTAATCGACAAGCCGAGGATCAGCTGAGGAGATGAGGGTATGATTGTGGTTAGAGGTGGAGAGCGAGCTTTGTAGAGAGAGGTGGGAAACATGTGAGCTAGTTTCAGGCATGCGACGTTGACCGAAAGGGTTTCCTTTGTGAGATTTACCTCTGCGTATGAGGGTTCGCCAAGTATGTAAGCATCCGAAGGAGACAATGTGTTCGTGGAGTCAAAGAAAATGCATGTACGCTTTCGCTGCAGCAATTCACCTATGCCGCCTCAGCCCTATGGATTATCCTTCGTGCACGACGTCCTGTCCAAATAATCGGGCCGACCAGAATAAAGAAAAATCCTATGACAGACTGCGATTTCCATCCTTGCGGTCATTATCGGCGTCACAATCGCCATCGAGCTTGGAAGCCATCTATCTACAGAGATTGTCTGAGTGACGTTAATAGGCTCGCTTTCAAGCACCAGCTGTTGACGAGGCCACGTTGTAGCGTGCAAGTCGCGGCGAGGCGTTTTACGATTATCCCACATCCGTTGTAAGGTGAGGACCAAATGGCCTAGTCCTGGTAGGCAATCTCGACGTCTTGCAAGCAGTGCTTCTGTATATCTTCTTCTGAGGCTATTTATATGATGAATTAGCCCTTCGGACTAGTTCTATGGCGGACTCGTAGGCTTGATGAACGTTTGCATTTTTCTCACAGGTCTACATCGCATGATGGTACGTTCCGGATTGTCGTATCATCGGTATTGAATGGCGAATCGTATGGCAAGCAAGTCTATGCGATAACACTATTCGATACAAGCACACGTACTTCACTAAACGTCAGCCTGTGAATATCTCATTGAACCCGACACCAAATCGATAACACCATGTCCTTTCCACACCAGCATGAGCTTTTCTCTCATAGATCCCACGACACTGGCTTTCCTCAACACAGGGATCCATATGTGAAGTTACCGGGCCCGCAAGATACTCGACAGCCTCATCAATATCAGAGCATGCCACACCAATCAATGGATCCCCGCCAGATGGCACCCTTCCCGCCCTTATCACAATATCATTATCAGTTCTTTTCACCTCCCTCTGGAAAGGAAGACGGATCTTTTCCCCAGCTTCCCTCAAGGCCGACAGTAAATCTGCCCTCTCCCAAATCTGCCGTGCGTCTACCAGATAATCTAAACGACTCGAATATAGAGGACCAAATGCGTGACATGATTCTTCGCAACGGGCAGGATACCAATCGGAATCCAGAATTGACCAGCGTAATCCCTCAATCAAAAATGAAGCAGGTACGCCTACAGAAGAGACCGAACCAAGCAGCGAGGAAACAGCAGCAAGCCGAGACGCAGCAACTATTTGATCGTCCACAAACGGACGAGGTTTCTAAGCAAGCTCACCATATTCCGAATCAAGGGCGTGCACAAATTCAAAACGGACACAGGCAATTTCCACCGCCAGCCAATCTTCTCCCTCAGTCCGGTAATTACAGCAACAATGTTCCCCCTCATCTTCGTGGGCAACAGTATGCTATCGTACCCTCTACGACACCAATCCACCCATCTCACCTGCCTGCTCACCACCGGCAATTATTTGATCCTTATGCCAATGTGGGTCTTAATCAGCGGCCGTTCCCAAACGGTATGCAGCGAGGTCAACCACAACAACCGTTTGCTGCAATTCAGGACCAGAATGAGTACATGGAGTTCATTGCGCGCAATGAGGTCTCCAGGGTGGAGATGGGCGCTGATGAATTCGAAGACAAGCATCGGCTCAAGCAAAGGCTGGAGGTCCTTTGCCGTCAAGCGATTTCAGAGCATGAGCGAAACGTGGACCCATCCTTTGACATGGGCAGCGTCAAACTCGAGACTTTCGGCAGCCTGGCTACGACCTTTGCAACTAGGGACTCAGACATGGACCTGGCTATCCTGTCTCCTAACTCCGAGACCAGTTCATCAAGCATCGAATCTCCACTTCCTCGGGTTGTCGAACAGATACTGCTTGACTCCGGCTATGGGGCGCGCTTGCTGACTAGAACACGCGTTCCTATCATCAAGTTTTGCGAAGAGCCAACCCCTGAACTTGCACAAAATCTGCAAAGGGAAAGAGAAAAATGGGAAGAAGAAATGGCTGCGCAGCCAAAGAAAAGAAAGAAGAAGTCTAGGACGAAGTCAAAGGCTGATCCAAAGAAATCATCATCAGGCAGTGCTCCAGAGGATGAAGTCAGACCTGACCCAACGTTTCCGCAAAATCGACCTAACACAACAAGTGAGAGCGAAGAATTTGACGAAGGCAGTGAGACCGACTCAGACGATGAGCTAAATGAAGTTGCAAACGAGCAAAATGATAAGGTACTTTCTGAGGAGTCACTTACGATGACGGCTTCATCAACCAGTGAGGGTAGTCCAGAGACGGAGAAGCAGAAAGTGAACAGTAATCCTCAGCAAACCGAAGCAACAGACACTACTTCACAAATCAAGTCGGATCTAGAGGCTGACGATCCTAATCTTGCCTCAAAATCCGACGAAGAGCGCATTAGACTGTACGAGCTAGCCATTAAAGAAGAGTGGTATGAGCCAAAGGAGCGAGGCATCATTTTCAACTTCACCCAATGCGTCAAAAGGCAAGCTTCACCCGAGGCACTCAATTCAGCTCGTGAAGCCCTTCAAACGCTTCCAAACATCCTTCGCCGCTACAGAGAACGTACCCCCAGCAAACTCGATTACCCCAAATCCGGCGTTGGGCTTCAGTGCGATATCAACTTCTCCAACACCCTCGGCATCCACAACTCCGCTCTGCTGCGCTGCTACTCAATCTGCGACCCTCGCGTAAAGCCCATGGTCCTCTTCATAAAGTCTTGGGCCAAGAAGCGCAAAATTAATTGCGCCTACGAAGGCACACTCTCCTCCTACGGCTACGTCCTAATGGTGCTCCACTACCTCCTCAATATCGCCGACCCTCCCGTCCTCCACAACTTACAGCATGTCCCGGACATCCAGAACGACCCCATCTCTCTCTCAACACCCACCGTAAATGGCTACAACACGCTCTTCTTTCGCAACGAGGCCCACCTCTCCGACCTTGCCGCCCGCAACCAAATGACTACCAACACCGCCCCCCTCGGCGCCCTCCTCCGCGGTTTCTTCACCTACTTCGGCACCAACGGCTTTCACAACTTCCAATGGACCACCCACGCGCTCTCCCTCCGCACTCCAGGCGGCTTAATTCCCAAGACCACCAAAGGCTGGATCGCTGCAAAAACCGAGGTCGTAGACGCCTCCTCGCACGCCACCAACGGCAAAGCCGAGAAAGTTGAGAAGAAAGAGATACGACAGCGATATCTCGTCGCCATCGAGGACCCCTTCGAAACCGATCATAATGTGGGTCGGACGGTAAGCCATGAGGGCATCTGCGCGATCAGAGACGAGATGAGGCGCGCGCATTGGCTTGTCTCGCATGCGGGTGTGGGCAGGGATGGGAAGCCGGAGAATATTGTGGCGGAGGCGGAGGCGAGGGGCAATTTGCAGTATAGATTCTTTGGGCCGAGGCCGAGGCCGGGAAGGGGAAATGCCACGACGAAGAATGATGGGACGAAGGGGACGCAGGAGGGGAAGAGAGCTGGGGGGAAGAACGAGGGGGTGAAAGGGCAGAGAAAGGATTCGAAGCCCGAGGTGAGGGTTAAGTTGCCGGGTGTTGTGCAGGCGGTCGGAGCGAAGGGGAAAACGCAGGGTGGACATGGAGAGGGGAAGAAAGCATAGGTGCCTATTAGCTTGAGGATGTGGAGTTCGTTCAAGTCGTTGTCGAGAGTGGCTAAAGATGGGCGGATGACACGACTATGTGGGAGAAAAGAGCTTCGAAGCTATTATCAGTGTAGGTGAACGGCATGCATCAGCGGAGGGGATATTATGGCCTGCAGGGATAGCTGTTTGTACGTTTATCAGGTTGTTTCATTGCACATTTGATAGTATTGAGAATACCCGATCTTTCGTCTATCCTGGCCAATTTCTTCTAAAATCCCTCGTCTTTTACCCCTTAGAATATTGGTACAACATCCTCCTCATCCTCTTCCTCCTCTACCTCCTCCACCCTCCCTTTCTTCTCATCCACCCCTTTCTCCTCAGTGACATCATCGCCCATCAACAAATCAACAATCTTCTCGCACCAGTCCCTCACCCCCTTCCCTTTCTCCTCCTTCCCCTCCTTCTCCTCCCACCCCAGATGCAACTCCCTGACAACCACATACCCCCCTGCCCCCTTCCCCCTGACCACCTCTCTCCCCGTTCTCCCGCCCCTCGCGCACAACAACCACAACGCCTCCACCAATCCCAACACAGTCTCCTCATCCCTCTCCTGCCGATGCTCAGGCGGCAACAATTGACACTCCTCCGGCAAGAGCTCCATCTCCTCTTCCGTGATATTTTCTTGATTGGAAGAGCAGAGGGGGATCAGAATGGCAGGGAGGATAGAGGGGATAATGGGGTTGGGGGGTTGTAGGAGGTGGAGCGGGTTGGGGTGCGCGAGGGCAATATTGCGGAAGAGGAGAGCGGTGCCGAGGCGGCGGACATGGGAAGCGTGGGATGTTTGTGGGAGGAAGGAGGTGAGGGGGTCGAGGGATAAGGGGTCGGGGGAGACGGTGGTAGTGAGGTAGGCGGTGAATGAGGGGTGCTGGGTGCGAGGTTAGGTTTTGTGGGAAAAGAGGAGGTGGTGAGGAAGGGTGGTGACATACTCTTGCAAGGTCGCTGAAGAGATAGGCAAGGTGGTCGTAGGAGTCCTGCGAGACGGAGAGGACGTTGTAAATGTCGATTAATTGGGCGATGGCACGTTGAGAGGTTGTAGGGAGGTTAGGGACGGGGGAGCGTTCGAGCGTGACGAGACGTTCGAGCGAGGGGGATTTCGCGAGATTGGCGAGGAGCATGCAGAGCTCGGTTTTGGTGGGCTCTTTGAAGTTCTAGGGGGCGAAGCTTGTCAGACTCTTGTTGTAGGGAGGAGAGTGGGTCGAACAGGATGGTGATCAGCGAGCAAGGGCACTGACATACCATCAACCGGGAGAGGACGGTCTCCAACAATGCGTCATCTTCAGCAAGCTCTTTCAGGACCTCTAAGTCCGCCGATAAATTGATTAGGATTGTCAGGGCGTTCTTAGCGATAGGCTACGAAGTCTCAGCAACGTTCAGGTGGTGTGGTTGTACGAGTGGTCCTACCTACTGGATAATCCTTTACGAGCATTTTCAGGTCTTTAACAGGTGCTAGCTGTTTGCTCTTGAATATTTTCGAGTCGGCTTTCGAGTACGGCACCAGGTTCTCCACCGCTGAACGACAGGATTAGCATGAGTGAGAGGTCGTGGAAATCTGTGCCTACCGATCTGGCGAATCTGGGTGTTGCCATGGTGTAGGAAGTCAACGAGCTTCGAGTCGTCAGTAGAAATTAGGACGTGCTTCTACAAGGTAAATTTACCTCCTCAAGCTCTGTAGGCATAATCGTTGATGGCACGTCCTCATTCGGATGCGCATAGAATACGTCATTATAATAAAATACGTCGTATTTTTGACTCATAACAGCCGTGGCCAGGGTCTAGAATCGGTCGCATATAGACGATACTTTACACTTTTTCTGCCCAATCCATTCCCAACAACTATAGCCCTTCGTATCTCATCTATAAATCAGCGTGTCGACTATCTGCGAATATGAGTCTTTATGTGATGTTCAAGTGTAGCTGCAGCGGTCACAGCCATGGAAGGCATGCAAGATATTCTTCAAAACGAATACGGCGTCAAACCCGTCATTCAAGAAATGGTCCGGACAGATGTATGCTTCCCGGCGATTAGGCTGCTCGTGGAGCACAACATGGTCGTCCCTGCAGGCTCTAAAGACCCTGACAAACCGCTAAAAGCGTTCCGTCTTCAGGTTGGTGATGGCGAGTATTGTATGGCAGGTAGGTCTTTCTCGGATCGAGCAGGGGTATGACTGAGATGCATCTAGCGGTCGTGAGACGACGACTGCACAAGATGGTCGTGGACATGCAAATCACAAGAGGCTCCGTCATCGTGCTGAAGGAGTATAGCATGCAGAAGGCCAAACGTCTGAACGGACCAGGAGAAGTCATGCATGTCCACGTGGTTCTCCAACACGGGAAGCACCCTTGCTAATGTCAAGAAGATACCTTGCCATCCGTGATTTCTATACGATTGGCTTCACCGAACTACCTAGATTGATCCGTGTCACTCAGCCTACCGAGAACGCCAATGAGAGGCCTGTGACTCCCTCGGGCGGTGAAGGGTACGGTACCGACCTTGACAGCGTAGATCTTTTGAAGACCCCTGACAAAGACGGGGCTGGCTACGAGACGTCTCCTAGTCCTCCACCTAGCTTTGATCCAACACCGGTGGAGGATACAGTAGATGACGAAGGAGGTTCAATTTCAGATACGAGGATCCCGGATGACTCGGTGTCTCGTGATGCACCAAAGTTTCTCAGCTCGCCGTTGAAGCCTTCTGAGTACGAGAAGGACACCCTCGTTCCACGATCTATCGAATGGATTAGGCGAGCATCCGTTGAACACCATCACCGTTGTCACTCGAAAACAAACGTGGCGTTTTCAGACCGCTGTCCTACGACAGACGGGCTCGAATTCGAACGATACTGCCAAGAGCATTCTCTTGCTGATAATGACTTGCCTTGTCGATCAGTGTCGCACTGTTCCCTCCTCGCCATGATGAAAGGGTCGCCTTTGAAGCCATTCCGCGATATTCCAAGAATCGTCTCCCTAGCATCTGTAACCGGACGTAACAAATCACGCAATCACGATGTTGACGTCCTTGGTGTGATTGAGTCTATTGATGAATCGACAACGAAACCAGCTAAGCTGGGCACGAAGCGGGATATTCGGATTCTCGATCCTAGCGTTGATGAACCTGTCACCCTCAGCGTTTTCGTGGATCCTGTCAACTTCCATGCTAAGCCTGGAACCTTCGCTCTCTTCAGGCATGTTACCACGCATGATTGGCGGCGGGGAAATCTATGTGCCTACCCCGCCCGTGTGCTAGGGAAAGAATGGTTCATCCCGAATCCGTGGTGCGAGCCACTAGGGATACGGAATGAAGCCCAACGTATGCAGGAATGGTGGGAAGAGCACGAGGTGCTGAAGCATGTTTCACCCCCACGAGGGCGGCTGGGCACTGAGACGGCTCGAGAGCCATAAGACCCTTGTTCGCCCTGTCCCAGAGGCACGATGCAGTCTGCTGGAATTGGTCTGCATATTCAACAACGCCACGATCACGATGCGCGGCGACTTTGACCATGGATCAGTCAACGATTTGTTCATTTCCCGCTTCCAGGCTTAGCTCGGCCTCAGACTGATGCTCCGACTCAGCGCGCGAGTTGTCTCTCCTAGTCTGCAGCAGTTGACTTTCGACCCTCCCGCTTTGGCCCTCCAACTACAATATTTTGCGACCGCGCGAGACGCCTGGCAGGAACATGTCGTGGCCCGCTCAAACCTCAACGGGCATCACAGAGGCGAGAATGCAGCAAAGAGCGGGTCGCAAATAGACGCCTTGCCTACTAGCGATACGATGTCCAATCACTAACATAACCGACAGACTCTGCATATTCATGACTTGCATGAGAGTGGCCTTCGTGCGTGGCCCCACCAAGCCGATACGCTCGATCTAGATGCAACCTTAGGGGGCAATCGGGCATATAATGAGGACCTGAGGCACCCAAATCATCACTGCCACCTCAAGACAAACAACAAAATCTTCGAGCACTCGATCAAGTCAATCATCATGAACACACCTATGAGCCTGCGCATGCCTCATGTGTTCTCCGGCCCGGAAGCTTTTTCGACCCGAGATGTCAAAGCCCATACGTTCAAGATGCACCACGACGTGCACTTCGAATACTTCCCAGATGTAGCTCCACCAGCCGACGTCAACGGCGCATGTGCGTGTGAGGGCTGCGGTGCAGAGCCCACCACTCCTTTTGCAGTCCAGGCCTCCGCGCCCCAAGCAGATCATTGGCCTGTCACTGGCACTCCGTTCTCGCTCGATGTCCTAGTCCGCCCCGCAGCACAAACTCTCAGCCGTGACGCTACACTCTCTCAGCTCTCCAAAGCCACCAAAAAGCTATCTGAACTACCTAAACCATCTTCCACAAAAATGAAATCGAAATGGCAATGCGGCAGCGCTACCTTCGACAAGGTGGTACTCACAGTTGAACCCAACTTCCGTGCCGCCACCTCACCCTCACCACCGGATCACAGCGACAAGGAGTCCCCAATGCTAGAATGGAAAGACCTTGTCCCCATCTTCGGCGACCGTGGCCTTGGTGGCTATCTCCGCGACGCAGCACCTCATCAATTACTGGAGATCCAATTCGCGGTCATGCGTGAGGATTTCGCACAGCCAATTGCTTTTGGCAAGGTGAAGAGGGGTAAGCTTCGAGGTGGTAGCGGAGATTACTCCGGAGAGGTCAATGGTCCGCGTACTCCGGGGGTACCACGTACACCTGGGGCGGGAGATGGTTTACTTTGGGCGGACTTGAGTGATAGGGTGGGGAGAGATTTTCGACCGAGATAGTGGCATACTATGGAGCTCATGAGGAATTTGGAAATGGCGTTCTTGGAATATAGGTTTGAGGTACGGGTTGATGTTTTTCGAGGAATCGAGGCGACCGGCGAGATTGGAAAGCAGCTAAACACGGGAGAAAGTGCGAAAAGGCGTCGGCGTTGGTATGTTCCTATCGAACTCTCGGGGCGTTTAGGTATTACGAAGCGTGATCTCTAGATAGACCTGGATATACGTTTTCCTTCTCCTGCCCTTCTAACACCCCACCCTAATGCTGCCTCTCACTCGAACGATTCGAGTTTGGCGCTAACCTCTTCCACCTATTCTCCCAAATCTCTCATCGAACCACGGGTTAGCTCCTCCATTCGGCACACCTTCCCTTCCCAGTCTCTCACTTTGCCAAGCCCCCCCTTCCCCCCCTCCCCCCAACCTTCCGACCCAACTAATTCTCACTGATCAACCAACTTACGCCCCAACAACCACTATCTCCATCTTCCTAGAGGGTCAAATCTCATAATTATGTCTTGATTAAACAAATGTGATAGAATTTATGAGCTGGCGATGAAAAGTGGTCATGGTAGAAAAACGATGTGTTTCGATGGTAGAAGCGGGGGATTTGCTGGAATAGGCTAGTCTGACTCTTGCCTGACTCTGGTGGAGAATACAGTTGCGTGATGAAGTCGTAAGGGGAAGGGGAGGGGGGCGTAGTGATGAAATTGAGGGCTGAGTCGATCTGATGCTGGAAACGGGTAGAAAAGAAAATTATCATTAGTTGTGAGCCGACGGTGCAGAAGAGAGTGCGGGTGTTAGATTGACAGGTCAGGTTGGTCCTCACCAGATGCAACGGTAGTCGATTTGTCCAGACATTCTCTATGACTCTATCGTTGTCTATCCAGACGATGATCTATACACAAATTGATCAGTCCAAAAGGCACTACGGTGTACAAGCCGAAACTTCGTCTATCAGATCTCCTCTGGTCTTCGCCCTCTTCAACCTTCCCTAACCAACTACTTCCATATCCCTACTCCCCATCACCCTCTCAACGTCCTACCATCACCCCCTCAATACTCTAACACTCCCCCAACCGCCCCCCAAAACTCCTCCACCAACTCCCTCTGCCCCTTGCCCCCTTCCGCCCCCCTGACAACCAAATACCTCCTCCCATCGACCTCCGCTTCCCACTCCCCCTTATTGCCCCCCACAACCTTCCCCCCAGCCTCCTCCACAATCACCCACCCTGCAGCAATGTCCCACGCCCAGCACCCGCCCTCCCAGTAGGCATCCACATCGCCCCTAGCCACGGCCCCACAGTTCAAGGCAGCGCTACCCAGCGAGCGGAGTGTATGCACCATATTCCCACCATCTTTATGCTCGGCGGACAATTTCTCGAAAGTGCGGGTTTTGACGGTGAAGTTGGAGCCGGAGCGCTCGTTGCCCCATTCGACCGCTATGATGCATTTATCCAGACCGTCCAATTTCGGGGCTGGATTCTTAAGCGGGAGGCGTTGTGTGATGTATGTTGCCTCTACCTTCACCCCAGTCCCCATCCCAACACCACTGGTAGACACAGAAGAAGAAGGGTTCGGCGGCGAAGAGGTAGGTAGGCCTGGCGATGTGAGGAAAGAGCCGTGGCCGTGGATGGCGTGGTATAGTTGTTGCGTGAAGGGGTTGTAGACCACGCCGACGAGGGGGCGGCGGTGGTGCGCGAATGCAAGGGAAATGCTGACGTAGGGGTGGCCGTGGACGAAGTTTGTTGTGCCGTCTATGGGGTCGACGATGAAGGTTGGGGAGGAGGAGAGGGTGCCGGAGGTGGAGGTTTCTTCGCCGAGGAAGCTATGGTGGCATCAGCGGAGGGGTTCAACTGGGGGTGTGAAGTGGAGGGGGGCTGCTGATAGGAGGATGTGGTAAGAGGAGGAGGGATGGAGTGCGGTGGGGACAGAAGCGAGAGGAAGGGGGAAGGTACCCATAGTCAGGATATTTCTGCTTAAGAGAGCTGGATACCATGTCTTCGACCGCCTTGTCTGTTTCTGTGACAAGATCAGATGCTATACCGGCCAATCATCAGCTTGAGATCGGCCAATGGGTAGAAGTAGGGTACAATTCTTCTTCGTATCCACTGTAGAGGGGTTGGCGGATGTGATCATCTTCCCCGCCTTGATGGCGATGTCGAAGAGGACATCGTGGATTTCCTGAAGGTTTGGCTCCCCCATCTTTGTGTGTTATCGAGATGTAATGAGTCGGGCTCTGGAGATGGGATTCCTGGATGGCAATTGCGCCATATTGGACTTAGAGACGGAGAAGGCAAGAGGAGGCAAAAATTGATATTCGCGCTTATCGATAAGGGCTGCTTTAGTACGAGTACGCGGATTGAGCAGGCTGGTGCAGGAGACGATTAGCAATGGGGTTTAGGATTCTGAAAATGAAAGATAGGGAATTTCAATTGATGTCTATGGTCAGAATGAGTCGTTTATATATCATGTCCCAATGCCCAAGACGCCACGCTAATCAGCAGACACCCGAACCAGCATTTCAAATCCATCTATCAATGCCCGTTCTCGACTTGCAACTCGCTCAAATCCTGTTCTCGCTCATCATTCTCGCTCTTCGGCAAGTCTGTTTTCTGCGCATGGTTCAGCTGCTCCTCGATGCTCTTCCCAAGTCCCAATGACGTCGTACTCTGAGGCGATGCAACAAACTGACTTGGACCCCCCTGCTGAGCACTGGTGTCAAGAATTGGCTTCGGCTTGCCTAAGAATGCGCTGATTTCTGTTTCTGAAGTGCCTTTTGGGCCATCGTCTTCAGTCGTCGATTGGCTCTGGGGTGTGAAATTACGACCGTGGGGTCCTGAAACGGTAGGACTGTCATTATCGCTGTCATCGTCAGAGCCTTCGAAGATGGCGTCGTCCCATGAAGATATGATCGAATCGTTACGTGAGGCTTTACGGCTATTCCTGCTACCACCGCTTTTGTTGTTCATTTCCGGGACGAGATCGCTGGCCTCTTTGATCTCACTGTCAGTACGGCGAATATCAGGTGACTGGAGATCTTGACGCTCTTCGCCGTCTGAGCCGACCGCTTCGTTGGTTGGCTTTGCTCGCTCCACGCTCGGCTCATCTGTATCTTCCGTCGTGGCTTCGTAGGTATCGGCGAAGTGTGTATCAACTAAATGCTTGATGACAGGCCAGCCGTAGGCATTTGAAAACATGCGCCGAACAACCATGTTGTTGTGTGCATCAGGCTCAAGGCGCACAAGAACCTTGCGCCACGAAAGCCCATGATGGTAAGCCCTCGCAATCTTTTCCTCAACTTTCATGCCGCCCGTGTCTTGGGAATCCGAGTCGTCTCCATGTAGAGTGCTGGCTCGTGATTGTCCATTCCCAGACTCATTTGATATAGATCGCTTTAGCCTTGGAGGTTTCTTTGCCCTTGGAGCCGGTATCTCGTCGGGATGATAGACACGATCATGAAAGATGGTCCGCGGTCGACTTCTTGGATCGGTCAAGAATTGCTGAGTTGGTAGTGGCGGATTGAGGACATCTCCTGCAGATTCGAATATTGTCGTCTTGGGAGGTGCAAAGACGTTCGACGGATCGTCTAGCATTGAGTTGCCTCTGATATTGCCTGGCCTTCTGGAGCTCTCGGCGCTGGACAGGCCTTCAGGCGGTGATGATCCTCCGGCATTCAATTTCGTCGTCTGGCTCCTTTTGTAGACTTTAGTCTGCTTGGGTGAAGAGTGGTAGTCTTTCTTGGATGAAGCGGGCTTAAATAAAGATAGAAAACTAGTGATTGGATGAGCAGGCTGTTGTTGCGGTGGTGGACCGACAGCTTGGTGGGAATCTGAGTCTTCTTCGATTCTATGTCCACTCAAGAACTGAGAGTCTTTTGGACTTTCTGGTTTGTCGTTGTCGCCGACTGCGCTGTCGTCAGGCTCAGGCACCCGTGACGGCGTTGGCTGACGACTTCTGGAACGACTCCGTGAGCGATTTCGCGACAGAGTTCCGTCACCACTCGCATTCGATTGCGACCAGGCATCACTATCTACTTCAGCACGCAAGTGTCTTGACGAGGCATTCGCGCCGGTCATTTCAGCCCATCCCCAACTCGCAAGCCCAGAAACAAGACCGTTGTCTCGCCTCGCCTTCTCAACGCGACCCAAACCACTCCAATCTAGAAATAGCAGACAAGAAGTTCGTAGTGGCACAATGCCATCGTTGACCACATTAGAATAGACGGTACGATTGCGAAACTTCTTCAGCACTTGATGCGTATGTCCTGCAGGCAGAATACGCAATAGGGGTTTTGAACCTGGATCTGGCTGCTTTTGCGCTCTTTGGCCTTCCGTACCTATGCCTGCAATCATTGAGTCCCAGCCGCCGCGAAGGGCGGTCGATGACTTCCACGCCAGTCCAAGGTCCTGACCTGTTCTTCCCACAAGCCCGAAGTCTAGAGCAAACTTAACGTAGAGCGGGTTCTCATTGCTCAGACCCAAAAAGGGAGCCGCCATCGCGATGAAATTGATTGGCTTGATCTCATCGAAAAAGTGCGGTGAATGCTTATGTATGTATGCGATCGCATAGGCTTGAGTCAGCCCACCGAGTGAGTGGGCAACAAATGATATACTGGTGATTTTGTAGGGCAGATTTGGTTGTTTTGCAGCAGGCTTGTAGATGGTACTGCCTTTGTGCTCTGGTGTTCCTTTGAAATCACTGGGGCTCTCTCCGGTTAGCACACGGGACATTTTCTTTCTCAGTGACTTCTTCGCAGGCAGGAATGGTTGATCGGGATAGGTCGTCTCCAAGATCCATTTCGCAAGCCTCTTTCCTAGATATTGTATGCCTCTCTCGGTTCGACAAGCATTGCCGGGAAAGCCTCGAACGATGACTTCCTCATCCTCGTCACCGTCATCGACTTCACCACCGGTTTTCGGCTCAGGAGGAGGCTGTTGGCTAGTGCTTTTCTTATCCTCGCTAGTGCTCTCTGGCAGCTTTGAATCGGCAACAGCCTTCTGCGACTCCTCCCTCTTTTTCCTCTTCTCCTCTCTCGTCTTCTTTGCCGTAGCATCAATACTTTCCTTTAAATACAACATGTCCGAACTAAGATTGCTATGCAGACCATGTGTGAGAACAACCAAGTGCACCCTCTTCTTCTTCTTCTGCGGCTTCTGTTCCTCCTCTTGACTGCTTTTCTCTTTTCCTGGTCCAACATCAACTTTGCCCGCAGTAGCATCTCCATTTACCAACCCTCTACTTCCTGGCTTGTAATCTTCGTCTCCTTTCCACTTTGGCAGTGCCGGTTTATCCCAAAGAGCTGCTGTATCTTCGACGATTATTTTGACAGCATGAGAGTAGATGCCTTTAGGTTGCGCAGCATTCTGACTTATCTTTCTTTTGCTCTGTTGATGATCCTCGAGCTGTCCTGGAGTAGCCGGGGCCTGGCCCATAAGAGTTGCAAATCCAAGTTCAAGCGATTTCTCATCCCGGGAAATTAAAAGTTCGAAGTGGACGGCTGCCGAAAGCGAGAAAATGATCTGAGAGGAAATCTCGATGACCCATGTAGCACTCGAAGGGGCTGATGTGGTGGGATGATCTTGCTGCCCCTGCAAAAGACCGAATTTGTCTTCCGAGTTCCGTATTCGCTCTGGTACCGTCAGGCGACTCATCCAGCTACCACCCGCTTTGAGGTTGGGTTCGAATTGAGGATGTCCATCCTCTTCATGTCCATCGTCATTGTGGTTTGGATCGAAAGTTGTCGGGTAGCAGGCTGCGTAAAGGGTATAGGGGCCATGGAGGTATGCAGCACGTAGGGGTATGGCGGAGGTGTTGCGGATCTTGACGTGGAGGTGGGAGGGAGCGGGGAGGATACGGTCGTGTGAGGGAGTGTAGGTAAGAGTGTATCTAGCAAGTCAAATGTCAGAACCATAGAATTCACGCACGAGATCATCAGGAATGGTGGGACTACAGACCGAACAACTTCTCCAACTCGCACGTTTCCCTGTTGGTGCACAAGGAGCATTTTCTCCTGCGCACGCACCACTTCAGGTGCGACACCCCAGCCGAGCGTCTCTTTTGGCCCAAAGGTCCCTAAAATACTCTCGTCCTTTGCTTCCGCCTGGGATTGTTTGTAGGTACGTGGTGAGACGAGCATACGGGCGGTGACGCTGGCATTTTATCTCGGGAGGTCATAGTCAGCGCCGGATGAGCCACGGGAGGTGCATGAGAGAGGGCTACGACTTTTCTCCAGCATGCCATGGCTCGAGGCAGCAGAGGGAAACATATGTGTGAGAGTCAGAAGCTGCGGTGCGGCTGATCCATAGTGCGGACGGATCACCAGACGCCCGTCTGATGAGGCGGGCGACGCAGAGCGAGGCTATTTCACAGGCACACTAGATCGCCGAAAACGGAAAATCTCACGTATGACAAGACAATTGTACATTTGTTCAACTAAGTTTTGCTCGCTCATTGAAAGCACTAAAATGACATCCCAAGATCACCAAGGTCGTGTCTATGCCACCCGCTCCTCCAGCATGTGCATTGTGTATCCCATGTTTCCAGCGACCGATCGAACGCCTTCCTCCTCCTCCGTTTACCTTCATACGTTTTCTTCTCTGAACATACTCCGCCTCTCATTCGGACTGTCGCCCGCCTGCAAGCTCCCTCCATCACTGACCTCCCTGTTGTGCCCCTTTCCACCCTCCTGATGCGGCCTTGGGCTCACACCCCTTAAACTGTTCGCCTCAGCATGGTCCCCAAACGGATTCTCCCTCGCCCTCTCTGGGCCTAAATAGCCTGTCTGCTCCTCAGCTCTTATCTCCCTACTCAAGCTCCTACCCCTCTGCACATCAGCTGGTCCTCCATACCCCGACAATCCTGGACCACTCCCACCACCATACCCTGTACCTGCATACTCATCTCTATGTGCCGCGGAAGAGGGAGGTGGCTGCAATCCTAGCTCTTGCTCCTCATAGTACCCCCCATACCCGTCGTTCTCCCCGCGCTCTTCTACCCGTGAGTCCCACGCCTCATCTGGGTCTAGCGGACGGTGGTGCCCTCTTGCACCAGCACCACTGTCCCCTTCATACGCGCCGGTCTTCGATCTGGAATTGCGGAGACCGTAGTATTTATTTTTGATCCAGCCGAGAGGGCCGGTTGGGGCCGGATAGATGCCTGACCCGCTCCGGTCTTTTTGGAAGATGTTCCACGGTGGTGGAGGCTGGCCGTCTTGTTTGGCTTTAAAGCGTCGATAGGCAACGTAGCCGAAGTAGGCGGCGGGGATGAGGATAATGATGACCTATTGAATTGGATTGTTAGTTGGCGAAAGCCAGCGCGGGTGACGGATGAGATTGGGGGCGTACAAGGATGAACCAGCCCCAGCCCGACATTGTAAATTTTCAATGATCTGTCGATCGCAGGGATCTGTGGGAATTAAGGATCATTGCTTGAGCATTGTGGGTCGCGAATGAGGATGGAGCGGATATGGCCAACTCTCGAATTATCACAGCTGAGCCTTTTCTGGCTGACCGGCTAAAGTTGCCGCGTTTGGACACTGCCAAGACTGTCAGCTTATCTTATCATGCAATTTCACGTAAGGCTGAATTCTCTCCTCATCTTCAGCTTTTACTGTGAGAAATGTCAGGCGATGCGAAGGAGCTAAGGGTGAGCCAATGATGTGTATTTGAAGACTCACTTGCCACCTCATATCAGACGCGCCAATTCACAGTGCACCCCGAAGAATAACAAGGACTCGTCTTGACACGGAGCACTCCCAGAAGCAGTCGCTCTCTAAAGCACATCTGGCACCCACTATGACAAGTGATTGTCTATCAGGCTAAACTACATAAAGAGCAGGTCTTTCCTTCAATCAAGCTACCTCATTTCACGGTGACTTGGCTCCGGATACATCGCCCTTTTTGGGTCCTTTGGAGATGCAATCGGATCACGAAAAGAAATGATGTCTCGAGTAATCACTACAGTCTATTTGTTACTCACCGCGACTTTCTGGGTAATATTCTGCAATGACTTAGAGTGTCTGACCCTAGGTCAACGATATTATGATCTCTGTCTTCCTATGTCAAGAATCAAATACAGATGTTGGTCATATAGGTGCGTGGAACCGGTTCTCATTGCAGGAGGGGGAAGGTAGGAGCAGAGAACTTGGATCTTTGCCTCGGACCCAATGCTCTTGCCCTAGGGACTTGGGCCATCAGTACGGATCGATCTCGCTTATCGTTACCCAGGTAAAAAGTAGGTTCTCAAAGCAGCATTTATTTGCTCTGAGCAGACTGCGCGATAGCTGTACTTGGGCATTCTACGTCATATGAGTAATACTGGGGTTCAAAATCACACCTCACATAGAGATCTTTCGACTGCCATGCATCCTTCTGCACGCAGCTTGAGAAGTGGGACAAGGTTGGTGATCACACTTTCCTACTCCAAAGGGCACTGTCGTTCAATGAGGGATTAATTGCTGCAACTACGCCAACAGACAGTGGAGACCCTTGTGGGCGTACATTGTATTGAGAACGTGAACTGTGACACGTCCTTCCCGTTGTGCGACATCAACGATAAGTTTGGGTGTTGTTGATTCCCGAACCATGAGCCCTTTGTCACGCGTTCTAAGCTACGTGTTGCACAACATGCCTCAAGGTAGTGCTAGCACTTAGACCATTTGCTAGATCCTGGCATTATATAAATATATCCTACACACTGCGCTCTTAATTCTTTCCATCGCCTGTGGATTATTGGGGTGCTCCAGATATCTCAGTTATCAACGATGCCTCGCTGGCCCCACTGGCCATACTGGCCTTACTGGCCCTTCCACCGCGAGCATGGCGAGAAACCACTGCCTCCATCTGGCTATAATTATCTGCCTATACCAGTCGTTGCTTGTGGAAATCATTACCATATAGACCACGTAAGCATGCTATCAATATGTCTGTCTTCAAGAGCGCTAACATATAATTTGGCAACTAGTCTACTCCCACAGGCAAGTGTTATGAGTATGAATTGAACCAACGCATGGAACCCATCGGCTTCAAGAAGCCTTGGTATTTGACAGAATACGTAAGTATTGCGCTTTCTCCCTATATCAGGCTTAGCAATTGACCAGTTCTCACCCTTCTGCATCAACACTGACTTGGGAGTATGACAGGAAAGACGTCTACATCCGCAACATGCATCATGAAGAATCTAGTCCCTTTTACATACTGAAAATGCTCAATTCGAAATTTTGCGAAGTACGTCGGAAAGGAGATACGGCACGAGACTCAATGAACTGTCGTAAATGCGAGGACTACCGAAGCAATGCCATACTATTCCGATATGAAGATATCAAATCGGAGCCATGGAAGGAGGATCTGGAAGTGAACCCCAGGCTCAGGGAGCGTTGGACCCATATCTCAAGAGAGCGCCGCAGGCGCGAGGAAGAAGCGAGACGCAGGGAGGTAGAGGAGGAGCATAGAAGGGAGGATGGGACCCCTCCGCCACCTTATGGGGATACGAGTAACAGCATACTCTATGATGACTCAGTCGGAGATTTGACATATGGAGGACTTAGTGGCCCGCGCTCTCACTTTTCTTCACCCGGGCACAGGTTCTATTGAAACCCCAAAGGCTGGTGTCCTCATCGAAGGTAAGCTTCAGCATTGGAAAAGGAATAGCCTGGAGCCCATCTGCTTCATCGAAGTGTGAGGTTTCAGTGACGGTGAAGAATCTTGATTTGCATAGTATGCATAGACATGTGGATTTGCAGTTGGCTAGTTTCACAATCAAGTGTTAATGAATGCTGGCTACAACGATAGGCTTACAAGATGGTCTACTGATGTCTCGCCAGTGGTGAATAATGCTTTGGTCATCAGGGCATCCGATATTCGTGAATTGCTCCTTCCCCCTTTGATTTGTGACTCACTGTTGTCTCACATTGCTGTCACTTAATTATGAGAAAGTTCGAGAAAGCAACAGACAACGATGCTGTCGACACGTTACAGCTGAGGAAAGAGGTCACAGTGTACTGATATTGCATGCTCATCGACACGGCGCGGATAATAGCGTGTGCTAGCTCCGTGATCAGAGCGCTTGCCGCACACAGGGCCACTAATTCCCTTTCTAATTTGAGTGAATACTGCATTTCACGTCCTCAGTCTCACACTCTAAACCTCTGCTCGTGACATGACAAGCACACAGTGACTGTTTCATGTCTCATAACGCCCCAAACACGTCTTCACTACGCCATTACACTTCAGTGCCTGGGTATATAAGCCCCCGAGTATCCTCCCTCTCCTCACCTTCTTTTTTTCTTACATCGAAGTTGCAACCTAGAGAGTCCCTTCTCAACGCAACATTATATAAATACATATACCCAGACCAATATTGTACCACCTCGAGTAAAGCAAAGGAGTTAAATGTCCTGCGGAGGATAGAGAGAACCCGTACACATTGCAACAGCGAGAAGCTGTTCAACCTCAACAGGCAGTGTCTTCAAGGAACAAGCCTGAAAGCGCCAAAGGCCTACAACTAACAAAGGCCCAGGGTTGCTTTCCTCACCGATTACGGTGTTGCGAATGTCACCAAAAGTGACTCATAGATCCACAGTAGGGTCAAAAAAGCCTGCCTGCTGGAAAAGCAGCCATGTCTACCATGGACCTGGGCTCTGAGAAGCCACCTCGAACTCACAGCATGCAATGCAGCGCGCCTCAAGTCTGCTTCCTAGATGTGGTTAACGCAGAACTAGGTGGAGAGGGAGGGAGGAAGTTCACACGTATCAAGTCTCAAAGGATGCAGCACACTTCCGTGCTGGACTGGCTGGGCGACTAGCGAATATACCGTGCGAAAACCTAGGCTACAAAGCTGATGCTTCTACCCACATGAAGGATCTTATATGGAGAGAGCAATTATCTGGTCCAAAGAAACTCCCACCAAACGATCTTCGCTTCCATTACACTCTAAAAAAGGTGCTTGCGACGAGAGGGATCCCAATGCCTTGCCTCGCAAGCGTGCCAAAAAGGCTGTCGTCGCCTTGTTGCTGACATTGATTCTGTGTGTACATGCCTGTCTTTTCGGAACGCGACTATTGCAAATTCCTCTCTCACATCAAGTCAGCCACGCAAGAACCCGTCAAGTTCCTACAACAAAACAGAATGACCCAGTGAAGCTACGGTTACGCACATTGCCGTCAGGGTCAGACAATATGGCAGCTGAGCTAGACTTTACAAATGACTTGCTGGCTGCGCTAGGGCAAGTTATGGACAAGATGATTGAGGATCATACTCAGAGAAGAGTCCCAACTTTAGATCAACAACGAATATAGTCGTGCCGGCACGATCGACTGGTCAAGAGCTGGGCGGAAAGGCTTGCCGAAGGCCACTGCCTGGGGTTTCTACACGGCGGATGCTACCAAAAGAATATGCATGGAACTCCTATTATCTGGATTTTGCGTTTAGGATCTTCATCCTTTCCGGCTGCTGCCCTGGAGCATAGGCATGACATGGAATGATAGGCAGGAATAGAAAGTACTTCAGTCAATCAAGGAAGTCGTAATCTGGTACCTAGCGCTGGTAACCCTTATCGCTGACAAATGAGAAAAATCGTTGCCACCAATGCACACGCAACAGCCCTTTCGTTGTCCTGAGGAAGGATCCTCGCCTTGCGATGACCAAAAAGATTGATCTAAAAAGCAAACACGACAACGAACATCTGTTTAGAGATGAGGGATCTACGGCTGTTTTGATTCAGCACTACTCGTGGCGACAACTCATGCTACAATACCACGCATGACTGGGGAACAATCAAACTCTTTTCGAATTTTCTTTGAGGTATTTCTGGCTGCTACCTATCTATTCTTGATCTGAAATACTATCTCCTTGTACAATCCAATGAAGTTCAGGGGGTCATCAAGCTCTGCATGTATGCGTAAGACTTACCGGGATCTCAAAGCCTTCCAACAATCACTCGAAACATTTTGTCTTGCACTCGAGACGCTAACAGCCGTGAGAGATATCTTGGACGATATCAAAACTAAGGGCATTATATCCATCGGACATGAAATGAGAAAAGAAATAATTGCGCAGGCACCATCGCCTGCTGCCAGATCCGAAGTAGCCGCCGAGAAACCCGCGACCAAAAAACACACTCGCAAGCTCAAGGATCCCGAGATTCTTGGAGACGCGCTGTGAGGCATGTAAAGCTTCAAAACACACTCTTTGCGTTATGATAGTCAAAGGTAGTCAGAAGCCTTACATCGCGAGCAGAGTAGACTGCCTATCAAAAAGAAGCGCGTTCTCATCTACGAAGAGATTTTACGGCGAAATGAAGTAATGACCTAACCACAGGATGCTCCACCTTGAAGAGCGGACCGACGTTGCGTATTTGGCAGGTGGGCATAGAGTATCATGTGGCTGGATATGGGCATTAAGTCTCTATACCAGAACTGTCTTATATACTCGAAGATGAAAGAGGAACCCTTATGCTATGCTCCACAGGAAGAAGCTATATGTCGAAAGAGAGTCTTCTGGTATATTGTGAGAGGGCGTATGCAGATGAAATAACAGTGCAAGAAACAGGAGACATTAATCGTCCAACGCTCATCCTAGCAGCTATTCATACTACATTGCCACACATAGCAGGAAAAATCAATCAGTGTAAGCTTCAGGGCACTGTTTTGATCGAATATGGAACGGGAAAGAATTGGTGCGTAGGCATTTGTGGAGGCAATCAAGACTGTATCCATTAGGCAATAATATATGTGGTCGAGGAAGGAGAGGAGAGTTCAAAGGCAGCATCAGGTATAAGCCTTGAACTGCCCCGGAGAGATTTTCACCATCATCAAGGTCATCGTTCTCCCAGTCTTTGGCTATGGCATCGCAGTAGTCAGGCAGCGAAGGTTTTCGTAAATGCGGCATCGGCTTCATTGTGATGAAAGATATCTGGTCGAAGACGCAGTAGGAAGGAAGCAGAATTGAAAGCAAGATAATAGGACAGATCATTGATTAATTAATCTTTACATGACTCTTACTGGACGCCTTATTGTCTCCATGTAATGAGCACCTCTTTTTATGCCTGTCTCGCTCAATCTGACTTCTTACTAAAACCACTGCTTATGGCACCTCATGAATCATATCAATCTTACACAAACAGCCTTTCCACCGCTCCCAGCACCCCCACAACCAAAAGAGGTACAACGCTCCACCACACCTCCACCCTCAGAACACTACCCGCCGATTTCGACGAACTCTTGACCGCGGTCGGCGTCGGCGCACTGGGCGCGACAGCCTTACAATCCAAGTCAAACGCCGCCGTCGCGCCCCCATCCCCGCTTTTCGCACTACCCAACACATCCCAATCCTGCGCGCCATCCCCACTCTTCGCCGTACTCGCAAAAATCCTATACCACCACGTATTCCGCACCTCTGCGCCCGTGCCGCCTCCTTCCCCGCCGAAAAGCGTATCACAACCGACGCCCTTCCAATAAATCTGCGCCTCCTCCTTCCCCGGCCACGCCAGCTGGCCCGGCATGCCCGAATCGGCAGGCGGGCCATTACAGCATTTGGGGCCCTTGACGGGCCAGCCTGTCTCGGTCGCCCACACGGGGATGTTTCCCGCGGCCGCTTTGACGGCCGCCAAAGCTTCCGTGCTGTACGCGGTAAAGTTCTGGATCGCGTAGCCTTCCCAGTAGGTGAATTCTTGCATGCCGACGAAATCGATGGGGGCGAAATCGTCTTGGTCCGGCTGCGCTTTCAGGAGCTGCAGGCCGTAGTCTTTGTTCGTCCACATGCGCCAGGTGTCGGAGTGCCCGACGGGAATTTTCGTCGCGAGCGAGGGCGATTGTTGAGATAGTAGTTTTCGCACCGCGTTTATTTGTTTTATTATTACGGCCGATTTGGACCCCGCGCCTTGGTTCGCTGCCATCGGCGTGCCTTGTAGCGATTGTCGGTAGAAATCTTCGTTGCCGACTGAGATGCCGACGATGAGGTTGCGCGAGAGCAGTTTGCCGTAGGTGCCGGATTTGTCTTTGAGGATTGCGGTCAGGGCTGTCAGTTCGTTTTGGAAGGATGCGTCGCCGAGGGAGACGGCGAGGCCGATTAGGACGGAGGTATTGGTGTCGCCTGCGACTTTGAAGGCGGGGTGAGGTACGGGGTTGGTGGTGTTATTGGGGTCGAGCGCCGTGTAGAGGCGGGCGCTGGTGAAGCCTGAGGCGCCGATTTTTGGGAGAGAGGATTGGACGAGGGGGAAGAGGGTCGCGGCGTCATCTTGGGGGTTGTAGTTGAAGCCTTTTAGGGGGCCTTGGACGGGCGATTGGACGATGGCTGAGGAGAGGGTGACGAGGAACGGGAGGGAGAGGATGGTGGAGGAAAACATTTTGAATAACGAAGGACGACTGTGAAAGCAAAATTGCAATTAATGTTTCCAACAACTTTTTTTCAAAAGGAAGAGACAGCTCGCACGTGGGAAAGCTTCAGACTTAATAAAGGCATTCTTCTCTTATTATTATTTCTTTCAGAGGCTTGATTGTGGTGTATTAGTTCCAAACCCATTGTTGCTAGTGTGACACTGTAGATCAGGCACAGGGACTCGCAAACCGCAACGGAGTATCGAAACGGGTTTGGTGTGAGGATGCTTTGCCTTACCGCTGTGACAGCTTTAGCCGTTTTAGGAAAAGTTGTCAGATGCTAAGGTGCTGCTAGTTGTCTCACATTATTATGCGACACGGGACTAATTTACCAATTTCAATCTTAGATGATCGTGACGGCTGGTAGCAAGCCACATAAAGTAAAGAAGCGACGACGCCGCCTGTCGTGCCTCAGGTCCATATCACCAGCCATGCCGGCGGTGGTACTGGCCGAGGGGGTTGGTGGGCAGGGGAGCAGGCCTCAGGTCTTCCTGTACGTGGGGCTGCGAGGAGGGCTGTACAGATACAGATGACCTAGCTTTTGTAAGATGTTCGGGCAAGATCATGTACACCGCGATGACCCGGTTCATGCTGAGTATGTTGATGGATCAATAACGATAATGTTCTGCGGATTATGAGAGTCCGGTCAATCGTAATTCCTACTCCGGGGGCTTCTGGGCGAAAGGTTCCCCCCGGAGTGCTAAGGGTGCTTCCCCGGATAACCTGCTGGAATAGGCTAAGCTCCCGGGCCGCTTTCCGCCGAGTTGGACACTGACAGGCGATTCCTGGGGAACATCCATGTCGATTTTATTCAGGAAGTCCTTCGCACCTCTCTCTCCAGCCTCCGCCGAACATGTCGTGCCGTCTCCTCTCTGAGCTCAAGAGTATCCAACTTTTGCCCGCACACGTAATGAGAGGATGTAGATCTTTGCTTGCGTGTTTTTCTAGCACAAGCTGTGTCTTTTGTGCTGTCTCATATTTCATATCCACAATGCTAGATACGGTCACAGGTGTCGCATTCCAGCTGCTCCTGACTGACCGGAGGGGATTACGTTGCGGTCGATTAAATGACTGCGTCTGGCACCCTTGAGTCTTGTTGATGCGGATCAACGTTATTCGTGTCGCTATATTGTTGAATATTATCAGATAATGGTACTACCACGACGGCCTTAGGAAGCCACGTACCACATCCTGAACTCATTGAGACACTGAACCTTGCCGATATTGATAAAAACCTGCGTAGTATCTCTGTGCCTTGTGCAGCTCCATTTTAGCGTCGTGATCTTGACTGCGCAGGCCGATCGATTGGTCAAGTATTCACGCCTGTCCACCGACAAGTCTTGTCTTCAAGGGCTAGAGAGGAGGTCTCAATGACCACTATCGTATCCAGAAACCAAATACTGGCACTTTGAAGTATGTGATAAGCCTCCGTTCATTGTCGAAGGAGTAAAGAATGAACAGGATGGCCTCTTACCTCTATTCTGAATATTTGATCTGCCTCGCACCAGTCGGTGTCTCCCCTTCCATCAAAGCAGTTGAACCTTCGACAACGCCCGAGCGAGCTGCGCACATAGCAGGAGCGACCGAGATTTCTAGGCTTTTATAGCTTTCCCGCCTTTTTCAATCTTGTTGACGGCAAGATACAGCATTTAGCGAATTCTGTCAAGCGGGACTAACAGATCATTAGCACCTCCTGTGAACCAAGCCAAGGTTTTGGGGACGCCCAACGGACACATGGCTGCTTTCCTGTATGTAGATATGGGGATGAATCAAGTCCAACATTCATATCAGCCGAGATTGCTACCAATCGCCTGATCTTCTATGTATTTGAAGGATTTGTCCATGCCATTCGCGTGCTCTTCTTGGACAAACAATGTGCTTTTGCGACTGAGCTTGTCAAGTTGTTGGCGCTGGCAATGTAGTCAAGATATCCAGCTGAGGACAACATTAAAACTACAGGGAAGTCGAGTAGAAGTGTCTGGAGAATATTCATTGCTATAGCACAGGGTGTTTCCGAGGAAGGTTTTAGTATGCTGGCGCTGAAGGAGAAGGACAAGCCACTCGAGAAAGAGACCACGCTATCAAGGATAATTTTTCGAGGAGCATGACTAGCGAAGAAGAAATAGCGTTAGTGATGCTATGTAGTGAAAGCTGTCAGTGGAGTAGCTTACATCGAATGGAGATTCCCGCAGCCTCGTTAGTCCTGTGTCTCAATTGTAGAAGTTCTTCATAGAACAAAAGGTTAGAGCTAGTATGACCATTTACTCGGCACCATCAGGTGTCGACTGCCAGACTCTTGAGCGTCGTAATAGGACCTCGCATGACAACAGCTAGAGAATCGCGCCGACGGTTGGGAAGGACCTCCAGTAGATACTTTCTAGACACCGATTTATCACGGCAAAAGGTAGATTTCTCAGTCCAGCGAATGGACTTTCTTTTCTCAGAATGTGATGTAGGAGGACGAGAAGGAGGATGTTGAATGAATAACTTGGTCCAGCCGGATTCATTCGCGCAAGATTTGAGCTGCATAGTCCTGGGTTCGTATTTTTTCATAGCGCAAGATCACCATATATCATATATTAGTACTCGAGTCAGCTTTAATCTGCCATCGAATGGTACGTACTCTCCAAGACGCAACTGGCATCTCTAGACCGTTTCCATTCCTCTGCACAATCGGGGATCGTTCTGTTCGCTCCATTCCTGGGGAATGCACACAAGGCTGCTGCAATTGTCGGAACAAGCCTCAGCTCGGGCACAGCTTGACAAGGGTCAGATCGAGTGAGATATTTTGGAGGACGTGCAGTATCCGCTGAGTCTTCCTTGCACATTATTGGCGAGCTACAGACGACTGCTTGTTCTGGCACAGCAAGTCCCTGCGTAGCAGAATCCCGCTACTTTTTATGGCGTTGCCACCTACCTCTGGGCGGAGCGAGCCGCTCAAGAGCCATCTTCCGGCACAAATATCCTGTCTTCCTAACTTATTCTGCACTCACCAACCGGCATATGCAACCATCATGTCCCGGAATCTGACAATGCTGGTACCGTAGGCCGGCTGCATTCAATGCCGTCGTTCAAATAAATCCTGTTACATGAGCGAAGAGAATGTTGAATGTCTCGCTTGTTACGAGAGCAAAACGCCATGCATCTTCAAAAGGAGGACCCCAAAGAATTTGTTGAATTTGTTGACTTGGAGTGAGCTGGCAGGTACCTGCACATTGACTCACCTCTGCCGCGATAAGGTCTCAGAGCATTTCTCACAGCAAGGCAGGAACCCGTGACGAAGATGAAGATGAAGAAGAAGATCGGTCACTGCTTATTACATCTCAGGGTCAACTCAGTGGCCTCTAGACAGCATCATCGAGATCACTCAGCTACAGGCCGAACCTGCAAAAGAACCACGTTTGAAGCTTCCGATTCGATTTGCTCCAATCATGCCCGCAAAGATGCCTGACAAAGATGAAAACAAGCCGCATCTACAAAAGCAACAAGCGGCAAAAGAGGCGGTCATTTCATCAAAGTTGAGCAAAACTATTCCAAATTTTCATGTCAAAGAAGCGTCTATCAGCAATCACCAAGCAAACGCTTGATGGGTCAAGCTGCCCCACGACAAGAGTTTCGCTATGCAGGCACCCGGAAGTACGTCACAAAAGCAGAAACATGGCCACCATCCTTCAAATATTGGACGCGCTGATACTGTAAAGTGACAGGCCACAGTAAGCTGTGATGACCATTACCTCTCGACCGGAAGCGCCATACTAGCGAACCCTCCGAGAGTGCCAGCCCCTTCATCCAAAGCTGAAATTGAAGTCTACAGCATTGAGATTGAATGAGGCGCTCCGTATTCCGACCAGCGAATGGCTCTTGGTATAGTGTCCTTGCCCAGGCGACTGTATTCCTCTGTTCAACGAGACGCTGAATCGAACCACAGATCTCATTAAAAGAATACACACAGCTGTTTTGAAATGTCAGAAAGAGACGAATAGCTACTTCAAAGAGGAATGCATTCCATTGAAGAAGGCATAAATTTCATGTGCAGGATTTCGATAGAGGTAATCCGTACTTCTATGCTACGTACAGAAAATGATGGACGAACATTGATATGCTAGCTCTAGACGGCATCGTTCCTTCCTTTTGCTATCACCATGCGTTCCTCCGTAAGAAGTTATTTCTACAATCATATCAGGCCATTAAGGCATGTAGAAGACCACAAAATGCGCAACCATATCTCCTTTTATGGCATGGAAAGCCTCACCGACGATGTTAAAACCCATCGAATATAACATTGGGAACAATTACATTCGCACACCGCAGAGCAGAGAGGTCTCAAAGGCAGGAGGTAAATATGTTCCCATCGCTACAATGAATTGCACTTCAGATATTCATTAAGTGTGAGCTAGGATATCAGTTTATATCGAAGAAGCTCTCAGATCCATCATGCGTACGCTCCTACACTACGCCATACTTGCAGCGTCGAGTCTTCACTTTGAAGTCTCAGCATCAATACAGAGTCACTGCGGCCTCGAATACGTGTGTGACTACTTGGGCTGCATCAGCCGTGACCTCTACAAATCACCACTGCGTAAGACATTCCAGATCACACCCTTCCGTAGATCATACGCCGTTGCACATTGCGTCTTCACCCGTGCTGTCGTGAATAGAATTGATTCAAAGAATTGGAGTCACTTTGCAGATGTCTTAGCTTCTCATTTCACGTGCTGAGACATCGTAGACCGTTTGCTGGACTGATATCGCCCGATCTCGCTTCCATTCAGCCCTACCCTGCTTTGTCATCGCTTGCACAGATATCCTGCCTTATCGCTCTACACTACTCACAGTCCACGTATACTTGTCTATCACACCGTAAAGCATCAATAGCATAATTCTTCACCCGTCCATGATCCGCAGACGATTCACCAACACCGATCACTAATCTCTGCATCTTATTCACGCGTCCCCCAGCCTCCCAAATCTTCCACTGCTCCGACCACCCTTCACAACTGAGCAAGACATCACACTACAATCATACATCACACAATGTCTCAGTCTCCGAGACCATCACACACTCCGTGACTGGGACGATTCATCTACAATTAGCGTGAGAAGGTTGACCACCAGCCCCCTGCTGTGGGTATATAAGAAGCCTCCTCCCCCCTCTGATTTTCCTCCTTCGTCCATCGACCGGGGTCCTTCCCAAGGGCCTCTATATATATACTGACGGTCCTTGCAGTACAGAACAGGGAACAAGACTCTCTTGAGTGCCGATCTGACAATAGACCGTGTTTTCTCAAAGGGGTTGGTGCTTAACCAAGTCTAGTATCAACTGGCTTCCTTGTCCGCTGCACACCGAGTACAGACCTCACCGCAGAGTGCAAGCTTTGTCAACCTGGTTGGCATCAGATTAAGCAAGGTTGGAAAGACGCTTCTACGTCCGCTGCAGGACATATCTTACCTTCAAACTGCATTTACCATTGGCCAAGGGGCCGCATCATTGCCTTATGCCTCGACAACGGGTGAGGTCACAAACGAGAGTATCAATTTGTGGTTTGTAGGGGCTTTGAGAGCCTTCGTAAGTGGATGCAATATCATGATCAGAGTGTGCAAGAGACGCTAATAGCTTTGCAGAATAGCGTGTACGACTGAATCATATATTATTAGCCTGCAGATGGACCATGCAAAATTATCGCCGGCAAACAAAATACTTTGGGTCCACTGCGAGGACGATACTGTGGTGTCTCTCCTACTGGATCCTTGATACTTGTGTCACCAAATCGCAGCAAGTACAGGAACTCCACCCGCAATCCCCAGCAAGCGACTACTTTGTGGAGTACGGCGAATACGACGTTAGATATGCGGTCATCTCATCTAACAAGCGACCGAGGTGGCCGGTCAATCAATCTAAATCTGGCCGTTCGACAGGTACGATAGCTGTCAAGGCGACTTCACCCGAGGCTTCAAAGACAGTCAAAACAGGCTCTGCTTCATCACAAGCCATTTAGCCTACTGTCTGGATCGACTTATAGATGGGTTGGTACGCACGAAGAGGGCATCGCAGCATTGATGCGAGCATTTTCGAAGGCAATTTACCCATTGGCTTTTGTCGCAGCTACCCTAAGATAGAGACATGCGTTCGGCTTCCATTCAGATGGCTCTAGGGAGAAACTGCAAACAGGGTTGGAGATAAGACCTCAGCAGCGAGCGCTGTAAGGGATAAGAGAAGTATCAGGAGGTATTTCATGATTCGTGTTCATTCCCGAAGCTTCCGGCGATGATGGGGAAGCTTCCCATGTGAAAGCTCAACATGAGAAGGTTCAGCCAACTCAAAGGGCGTTTCCAGAACGTGGTTCGGTGACGTTGATCTACTGCATCAGAAAACTGAGACGCTTCCCAACGCGTTGGTGAACCCTTTCCATTATTGGAACTCACAGCGATGGTCAACCGGCAAGGAGTTGGCTTACATTGGTCGTTTTCTACGCTCGGTGTGACAAGAATCGCATTCCAAGACAGGCTTATCAAGTGGTCGTGTCTCTCTGCTTTGGCTGCGATGGCCTACTTATTGGGAGTTTCTCAACAATGCGTAGAAAGGGTGGTGAAGATTACATTGCTAACGACTCTACTACAGTGCATGTGGTAGAAACTTCCACTGCATACGAGGCCAATAAACAGTGCTTCTTAAGAGTCTAAGCACAATTGCCCAGGCAGAAGACGACGCCCAGCCACGCCTGGGTATTGTGGCAGCAAATTCATTACCAAATAATCTGTTTCGACGCATCTGGTGATGCAGAGTGCACTATCGGGGGACTTGCTACGGCGCACGTTGTCAACGATTATTGTGTATGCCAGGCTCAACAAATTGTCGTGTCTCACGTATTCGACCGACAATGTCCACGATCGAACAAGTTCTTGAAAACTCTCCGCTCCGTCCTTCTATGGCGATCACTTCCGAAACCTTTACAAGAGAGGTGTCTAGAAGGCGCGTCAAAGAAAATATGGCAAGCCTCGGCATCGATAGGGTATGATCACCTTCCATACAGAAATGGCTTTAAAAGCTCATTTAGAACTCAGCTTCGTTCTTCTGTGGCTACTGCTTCAAATTTTCAATAGAAGAAGTCTTCTAGAGGCGCGGTCAAGGGACTGTGGCAAGCGTCGGCGTCAAAGAAGCATGAGATATTGAACGCACCAAGCCTGGGGATATTCGAAACTTCGGCTTCCTTGAATCATTTGACTGGTCTTTCCTTCCACAGAGATCATTTTCAGAGTCTCCACAAGGGAGCTGCTCTGACGTAGTGGTTAAAGGACTGTGGTAAGCGTTGGCGCAAAGGAGGTATAGAACAGCGCACCTACCATGCCGAAATGGCTTCAAATACCTGACCACAACGCAGATCTATTCCATTATTGCGACCATTTCCAATATCTCCACAAGAGAAGTTTTTCACAGGCGCTGTGAGGCGACCGTCGAGGGGGTATGGGATGATGCGCCTACCAACTATATACGAATGCTACATACAATCCGATTACCTGCCCAATCTATCCCCGCTCTCTTTGGCTACCACGTCTAAGTCCATACAAGGGAAGCCTTCTGGAGGCGCTGTACAGAGTCTACAGCAGGTGCTGCTGTCAAGGAGGCATCGTACTAATATCTCACCGACACGCAAAAGGGGAAGCATTTCGATATCTCATATCAGCGAGCTCGGGCTAAAGCAAATGCGATAGAAGAAGCCCAGAAATCGTGAAGCTGAGGGTCCTTAGACCTAGCTCATCATCTCGAGATGACACGGCTGGCGTGAGGTCGTGATGCTCCCGAGCCCGGGGGCAGTCACTTGAAAAGAGGGCTATCTATTTTTAAAAGCTATATCTGGAGAGATTGGAGACCTCATCCTTTAGCGTATGGGCAGATCGCAGATCACAGCTCTATCAGTTTCTAGACATCAGTTCTAATATTTAGCAAGAGCAGTCTTTCTAAGGCGCGGAATAGAGACTGCAGCAAGCGATGCCACAGAGCAGATATCAAACGCAGATCCAACCGACGTCAATGACAAAGATCGCTTGAGTATATCGTATCACCGGGGCTGAAAAAGACGTGATAGAAGGTGTGCACAAGATGCGCATCCCACGCCAGCTGCTTGTACAGTGGCATGGGCTTCAACAGCACGACTTGCGAATCTTGAAGCAGAGGTCACTAAGATGTAGCTCAGGATCACAAAACGATGCCGTTCGCACAGTCTAGTGTACCTTTCGAGCTTGGGGGGCCACAAACTTGGACAGCCGGCTCCTTAGCGTCAGACGCTACATTCAAGGAGACTGAAGCCTTCACGTTCTATCATTTGGATAGATCACAGCTTTATCAATTTATAGGTACCACCTCGAAGGATTTCACAAGTAAGATGTTCTAAAGGCGTGGCAAGAGGGGTGCAGTAAGCGCTGGCGTCAAGGAGGTATCGGACACAAATCCAACCAGGCCGAGAGTGGGAGCCATCTCGGTATCTCATATCATCGAGGCTGGAACAAGTGTGATAGAAGGGTTGTATGGTACTCAATGTCAGGAGCCATGTTTGAATCCATTGGAGCCTTACATGTTGGAAGGAAGAGATGCAAGGTTTTCTTCGGACAAGACTTGTATGTAGCTTGATAGTAGGCTCGGGAGGGCAAATACATTGTTGCCGGTACCATGTTAGAGGATGACGTCTCGGACGACGTTTACTGGCAAAGGTATTCGTTCACAGGTTTTGAGCGAAGTTTGACCTCCTTTCACGTTTGGGATCAACCTGCATAGATTCCTCAGCGATGATAAAAGGCAGGGACAGTGCTCGAGCTCAATTAGGCAAAATGCAAGGCGCTCTTCCAAATGTCAAAGGGAGCGCCAGGTTTTTTTCAAAATCAAAATAACAATAGTTACCGATGACTCTTGCAATCATCCAAACTAATCATAGCCGGGTTTTGTGGCGGCTTTCTCCTAATAGCGACAAAGATCTTATTCGAGGTTAGCTTAGGGGACACACTTTATGCTTCTTCTTCTTCTTCTTCTTCTTCTTCTTCTTTTGCTCGTTGCTGCCGCTGGTGAGGTATTGGTTCAAGCCTTGTTGGACATATGCCAGGTCCTACGTGTGATGGTTTCTTAGCGACTGTAATGGGGTATCTGTGCAAGGTCACGATGAAGATGCATCTGTTCCGCTCTTAGGGGTGCTCCGGGGGACAATGTCTTTGAAGCCTCGCCCGGAGCTAGGCGGTCTTTAATTTTTGCCCCCAAGGTGGCAGGTGTCTCGGCCAACTGCTAGATTGTGGTATTACTCTGCGCATTTCTTCAAATCTACTCCTGTCCATCATGCTAAGGAGGCTTTCTATAAAGACTATTAGTTAGTGGAGTATGAATTGAACCGACTGGTAAAACTATCAGTTAACTGATAGTTGTAGCGATTTTGAGACTAAGCCATATCTAGAAGATGCTAAGTCAAAAGAGGGCTAGCTCTGCTTCTCCTCCCTACTAACTGCTTTCTAAAAAAAAGCTGATTTTTCTATATAACCAATCAGAATTGGCTTACCAAGCTTACTAAGCAGCCAGCAATTTAACTATTAGTCTTAAATAAAAAATCGAACCGACTAACAAGAGCTTAGAGTCCAGACCTACTAGTACGAAAACCCTAGCTGTCAGTTGTAAATATCAGTTCCTTAATAGTCGCTTGACTGTTGCCAACGCTGCCATCAGCACATCAGAGACCCTCCATTTAGATTCCAACTGCATCCGCTTGCCCCCAAGAGTCCGCCCAGCTCAAGGTCACGAATATGGAGAACAATGACGCAGACCAAGTCCAAGCAGCCGCAAAGCTCGCAGGAGCCATTCGGTGCGGGGCTTGCATCTCCGCTAACCTCGCCTGCGTGATCACAGAAGAACCAGGCTGCCTTCGCTGCCTCGCACTATCGCAGCACTGTCAGATCGACCGCGTTCACGTCTTCATTTACAAACAAACCTACGGGCCAGAAAACTGGTGCTTCAAAACTCTGAAGACATTTGGCCCTCTGATCGATCCCTTGAGTGATCCAGTCCCTAACCCAGACGCATTCCTGTCGGGTCTACCGAACACAGCCATCTCACCAAGTCGAGTGCCACATTTACCTGGTACGGAGCATGGGCTAGATGAGCGACAGCGACCATCCACCTCCGTAAGACCAGAGCCGTGTCAGAGCAGAGATAGTCCGAGCTTTACAACGGAGCAGCGGCAATTTTCACGAGAGGCTACTCAGCCACAGCCAAACGAGCAGCGAAAAAGGCAAAATCTACCCCCTACTGCGCCCCAGACGGTGACAGCACACCAGACTCAGACAACTACGTACGCGTCTCCACCCCTTACTATTCGCAACCCCAGCCCCCTAGAGATCAAACAAATAGCGCCGCTTGGCCATCGTAAACAAACACTGACTTCCTTGACAATTCTAGAAAGCGCAGCGCGAATAGTCTGGCCGGAGAAAGTAGCGCCAGAATCAAGAAGCACAGAGTGGAAAAACCAGATGCCAACGGGAGGCAGGGGACGCTCCAGAACAGTGGTAAGAAACCGCGACCGGCGGGTACAGCTTGCAGGTATCATTATGAGAAACATATGAAGGTATGTCACTTTCTATGTCGTAGGGTTTAGATGAGAGGTGCTGATGAGGGGGGTATAGTGCGATTGCCCAGTTGCTATGGATGCTGGCATCATCCAGAGTTTTTGAGAGGGATGCTCCTTCTTTTGTTCAAGAATCGCCCGGTTGTCCTGGGCAACCGTCAACTCAATAGGTCTGCCTGGATACGATGCCTTCAACGCCAGGCAGTATCTTTACCGGCGCCTTTCAACGTCTGCGTGCGTTGTCTTGCGGGACTACAGTAGGCGATCGGCGGAATCTCGAGGGTAGAAGGAAGAAAGGAGGGCGAAGTATTACGCTGTTGGAGGCCTGGGGGCTATGACGGGTTGATTGTTCGTTCACATGAGTTCTCTCACACTCAGAGAGCCTGAAACCGTGGTTTGGGAAATTTGCATCAAAGAAATACGTGCTTGGAGGGTTAATACTATTTCGACTGAATTTTGAATCATCCCAATGACCATGAAAATCAAACCCTTCTCCTATTCAGGGGGTCCTCTACAAGGTAAACATTCGAAGTACTATTAAGTTCTCCTCCTTCTCTTATAGACATTTACATTCATACATTGTGCCTATCATCGTCCTCCAAAGACTTATGACTTCAAAGAGGACTATTCGTTTACTTTCACCCCATCGAAGCTCAATGTATCAGCCTCTTACTTTGTCTTTAGTCTTTCCCTCTGTCCATTTGCTCGTTATTTCTTGTGCATCGACCAATCCCTTCAATGAAGTTGGAGAAGTCGTAGGAGACCCATTAGGGAGTGTGTATTGCAATATTGACCTTCCTCCAGTAGGTGGCTTGCTGACCTCTGTCCTGAGACGAAATCAGTCTGTTCGTTTGAGGCTGGTATACCATCAGGAAAGCGTAAGGTCCGTCGGGCGATAAGATCAGTCGACGTCCGAGGGACAGAAAGGGGAAGACTGCCGCTGTGAGGATGCAGAATGCGTGTGAAATGTGAGAATATTCGAGCGTGTTTCTCAAATTGGGACAGTGAAATAGCATGAGTTAAGGAAGTTGTAACGAATTGTAGGCGCTCCACCTCTCCGGCAGAAGAAGCTGAGTAGGAGAGATTGAGATGGAGAGAAGGGGGAGTGCTCTGTTCTGTAATGTGGAGGCAAATGCTCCTTTACAATGAATCGATTTGCAAACATAGACCTCTGATGCTTGTAGGAACTCTCCGATGCTCGTGCTGATTAGTAATCTTCTCTTTTCCCAGTCGTGAGTACATGAATTATTTGGTCATGCCTCTTCCTCCATTTTCCAGTAGAGCTAACAAGATCTTTTCCCTCAAGAGTAGAGATCTCGCCATTGTCACGAAGCAACACATACAAAATCGTCTTCGGACCAAAGAGGTGACGCTCGGTAACTATTCACGACGGCGTTTTTTGTTATTTGGCCCTTCTGCGGAGGGTGCAGGATTTGGTTGTGGGTCGTACTGTCCAAAATATTTAGCTCGGGATCGAGGGACTCCTTGGACGGTGTGAAAGCTTACCTGACTCCCTTGTGCCAGGTTGTCAGCACCCGAGAGGTATGGTGGAACAGGTCGACGATAATCCCCGATACTCATAGCTGTTCCTCGGCTTAAATGATGATTCATCAGCTTCTGTTTGAGCAGATCTCCGAACAATAATAAGTTGGAGGAGAGAGACTCACGCGTGAGGAGGAGCATCCACCGCTTCTCTCCTCCTTGTAGCATCGGACGTCCCAGTAGCACTTGCTAAGTTGTCATACATGGCGCCAAATCCCGCCAGTTCCGCACGAGCACGAGCTACATCATCCTCAAAAGGAACATCGGTTTCATAAGACTCAGGCGAAGCTCCTGGGTCGGATATTTGACTTTGTAGATTGATTGATGGGCTCAGAGAGGCGAATGACCTGGGTCGAGAAAGGGGCTCCCCGACTGCTTGAATGCTTGAATTCCTCGGTCGTACTACTGCAGCGGAAGGTATTTCACTAAATTCATCGCCAGACTCCATCGGTGGCTCTGCAGGGCGAGACATGTCACTGTTCTCCAGTCAGTCAAGCTCGGTCGAGCTTAGTCGAGCTTAGTGGATGACTTTTTTCGACATACTCGTAATCCCAGCAATCTAAGCCAGTAACGGCGCACTCGAGGCAATGATACCTATTCTTTACAAGCCAGCATGGCTTGTCGGCTATTGCACAAGGAGTACAGCTCTTTTTTGGAGCCAATTTCCCAGCAAAACCGTCTTTGGTGTATTGGGTCTCATCAGTGGTGATCTCGTGAAGGTTCTGCATGCTAGGCATCTTGGCTTATCTGTCGAGATAGAGTTAAAATTGACTAGAGGAAGAGATATTAGGAGTATGCTTCTGTAGATTTGCAGTGGGCCAGAATAGTAGGTTCTAGCGCGCTGGCAATCATAGAGAGACTAGCGTTTGCCTTGGGCCGGGAAGATTCCAGAGTTGCCGAATGGTTTGCTACCATAACATAGTAGGCCATTGGTGTCCCAGAAGAACTATTACAGATCGTCTCTTTGGTTGGACTAGCTATGACTACGGGCTGCAGCTCCCAAGAACATCATTCCTCATCTCTTAGAGGGCAGCAATTGTTGCTCAAAGCTTTGCATCTGAGAGCGTCGTCAATCTGCCTCAATCGGGAACCTCTTTTGCAACATGAAGACTGCCTCTCATCGGTAGACTCTGGCCATTGCTGAGGCTGGAGTATTTACTCTCATATGTGACATGACTCCATGCTTTTCCTTCTCGGTGTTTTACAACGACTTCGGCCGGCTATACCGCCCAGCTTTCCTCGCCGTCTCTTGAACTTCCGACCTGTAAAGCTCAGGAAATGGGCTCACCGACGAATGCCCGCTCATCGTCAGGGGCTTTCGGAGCCTCAAATTCAAGTTATCCCTGAAGTTATAATCTACAGATTATGCTAACCCATTCACTAGCCCTCAGAAACATTTTGCAAATGACAACAGCCGTCGAAGGCGAGTGGAGAAGGAGGCTGCTGACCAGAGACAAGCATAGCGAGCAAGTCCTCCTCCAGGCAACTACACGAGAGGCTCGGTCCTGCGCCTGAATGAGAACCGAGGAGGAGTCTCCGCCGACCATTGGCAAGAAGAAAAGAAAGCACAGATTATATATTGTTGGATGGGGATTGTCATCAAGATAGATAAATGCCGATTTGAGTGCTCAAACAGACGGATCCGAGTCATACATCTGACTGGATATTCATGAATAGATAGCTACGACATCCAAGGTGGTCTCTTTACAATTTAAAGGGAGCCAATAATTCATGCTTACGGGTCGAGAAATGAACACGTTACGAGTATGTATGGCCTTAGAGATAATTCTTAAGCCCACTCCTGATATCCAGTCGTCTAGCACCTCCAACATTAAGGCCGGCACATCATGATCCTCTTGAGATTACTAAGATATCTTGACTTTCTGATCATTGACAAGGCTTGTCAATCTACTTTCTCTTGGTTTTCAAGATCTGAAAGAGGTTCTCCGGATGATAGCCACGAGGGAGTGGATACAGAGAATTATGGGCCAATTGATTCTGGAGGCGCAGGATAGACTATGGATGTATGCAGATAGTTCATTTAGAATCAATAAGAATCAGGACTTTCTCACCAGTGTACTAAAACCTAAAGACTGACTCCCCAGTCCGAATTGACTGCCATATCGAGCTTGACGATCATAGAATGAATTGTGCCGATGGAGTTTCAAGTAGTCCGAAATCGTTCCTATCGCCTCGCCAAGTATGCACTAGTCTGGGGCATAGCAAGCCCGTCCACTGATATTTCTTTTGCAACCTCATTATTGGTGAGTTACCTGAGCTCAGTCGGTTGCTGATTGTGATCTCGAGCGTTTTAAGGCTCCAGACGACTTCCTGCATCTGAAGTGGCGCACCGTGCCGTATCATGAAAGCTTATCTGGATGATAAGTGTAAAGCGCTGCTATTTTCTGAGTATGACTTTCTCTTTCAGATGCTTCGATATGACAGCTTTTCCTCTCACAAAAGTCCTCTCCTGTCGTGAGACAGCAAGACCTTTCGGCTGTCTGAGGGCTAAAGGAACTTGTTCCTTGGAGGATGATGATTCCGGGGCCTGATATTCTGTCAGCAGTCTCTGGTGGGTTGACGACTACCAACCCTTTGGTCTGCTCAACAACAAAGCAGTACTCCTGCCGGTACATTGAAAGCATCAAGAACAATGACAGGGCATAGATGAGATATGTGTACTGTGTAGAGGCTGATGCGTATTGTTGTCATTGACTTTGGACATACTTGCTATCGATTCACGATCAAGTTCCAACCATCACTGGCTTAAGAGCCCGGAGGAGAGGGTTGGTGGAGCTGTTCAGCATTTGTGCTGTGCCTGCAAGATATTCCTGAGCTCTTGATGTAGGTGAACAATGTTCAAGCGTAGTTATAGCCAACGTTAGCATCCAATCGATGGCTGGCCTCAGTGACGGGGATCTCCCATTCGTGACATCCCATGAAAGCCACTACTACCCGATTAATTGTTGCTCTCTCCCTTCTCTCGGATGCCAGAACTTCAATCGTGATCCAATTGGGTGATAAAGACATCCGTGCAGAATGATTTGCCACTACTATGAGCGCGGCTATTCTATTTCCGGTGCTCGAATTCGCTATCAGCCCCAATCGCAGGCGTTGGAAATATTAAGAAGTCAGCACAACTGGCTTACAGCTCTGCTACTAACCTTCTCTGCACAGTAGATTCACACAGCGACGTCCATTTCTAGTGTCCAAACATTCTCAAGCTTCGATCGGTGAAACCTCAAGCCTAGTCTCTCCGCTTTCGGCACCAACTGCGATTCACGCGGATTGTTGACTCAGTTGCTTCAATATCAAGAGATGGAGCCGTATAAGTCTACGCAATTAGTTGGAGCTATCGGAGAGATCAAGCTTGATCATAGGTTGCGATGCAATGTCTGCAAGTCTCAGGAGAAATCCTGTATTGTCAACAGAAATGACAACAACTGCCTCTACTGC